AGGGCCTAGTCGGCGTAGAGTTTCCGCTAGCAGTGGCCGAAGAAGCACAAGAATGAGAGGTAGGAAAACGGTGTTGTGGACAGAACTGCTTCTTGCATGTCTAGAGAATATATGAGTATACGCATGCGGAAACAACAGCTTATTGAACACACACACACCTCACACTTAATTGGAGAAAACAACACTTTCCCGCATTTCACCTTTGCACACACCGGACTTGATGTCTTCCGAGAATTTCCTGTCGTAAAGGAGCATTCCGAATTGATATGACCATCCATGCGTATATTAGGGTCCTGCCCTGGAGGAATAGCGACCGGAGTGTTGCATAGGGGACCTGAAATGGCTGATCAGACCACCTCGTTGAGTGTAGAACTGTGATTGGGATGCTTACAAGAGGGAGCAATTCGATCAAACTTGGTCGCATCAAATTGAGCACATTCGTGTACTTGAGGACGGAAGTGGTCGCTACAAAAGGCTTGATGGCAATGTTGGCAGCGGAACGGAAGAAAGTCCACTAGCATGCAAGAACGGTGGGAGCACTGCCGACCGATGCTCAGGAGTTGCGCGTCGCGGTCGGGGGTTGTTGCGCCAGACATAATGGTTCGTAGAACGACAGGAGAGGTCGAATGAATAATGACTGAGGGAATCGTAGCTTATAAACAGCGATCTAGTGGACGCGCGTCCACCCAACAGATGGACACGCAAGCAAACTGAGTCTGCAGGCTGCAAGACGAGCTGCCACTGGAACATTCCGGTGGCGTATTAAGGAGGATACACGTGATCATGTAGATTTAGCGCTCGTATCGGAAGATTGGCGCCAGCGGAACGCTAATTATAGTATTGGTGACTAAATAGCTGAATGAACGAGGGCTACTTCAAGTTAAACTGACGAACGTTATAAACATACCCATGGCACCCACTGTCACAGTTACATTCGTAAGCATTTTAGATTTAATCGTTCGCTGCTTATACGAGCACACAGATCAGGCATGGAGAGTCGACGGATAACTTGGTCAGTTCAAGCACATCTCGAGAGCCTGAGCTCGGATTCACCCAGTATTAGCGAAATGTATGGGCAGGTTGGAAGGACTCACCTCTGTCCAACCATGGTGAGTTCTTAGAGATTCTGGATGTTGCAGGAGCGCTGACCGTCGTTCAGGAATGAATGCAAGTTTGAGATCTCACTGCTAATAATGCGGGGACATTATAGTGACTCACGGGTTGCGCACAGCAAGCAAAAGCGCTGGGCAAGTCACTCTCTCACATCCGTTTCACGGCAATACATGCCTCCCCTTTGAAACGGGCACTCTGGACTGCACAGGCAGTACACGATGCACAACAAGAGCCGCAACCCCCGCTCACAACCTCCCCGCTTCTGCGCGAACAGCACTGGGGAATCGCTGAGGGAAACCCTTGGATAATGCAGTTCAAACCCGGTCTTACCCTTGAAGAGCATTACGCTCGCAACCTATATCCAGTGCTTCCGGATCGCTCACAGAAATTCCCTGAAGGAGAAAGTCTGGACGACCTGGCACAGCGAGCGAAACAGGCCATCAACGATATCGTGATGCCATATGTCTGGCAGGCCGTAAAAACGGGAGAGAAAGGAACTCATATCGCCCTTGTGAGCCACGGCTTGTGCATAAGCGAGCTTGTTCCCGCGTTGCTCTGCAAGGATGTTAGTGGCATACACCCGGGACACAAGTACAGAGGCCTTTTGAATACAGCTTGGGCAAGAATCACCATTAATGTTAAAGTGAGCTCACAGTTCGCCATCATATATCAACCTCCGTAACAGTGAGCCGCAATTGCCAGGGTGCAAAGGAAGGTGAAGCGCTAGCTTTTATAGATAGTAACCCTCCTCCGTTAGAGATACGGGTCGTAGACTTCAATAGCCATGATCACTTAGACGACATGGTATATTTATCCATTCCTGCCTGTTTTTTATCACTGACGACATGGAAAGATCCGACAGAAGGGCGGGATTGGCAGCGCACAATTCGATCCGAAACAGCAGAGTATTCGTGCTTTCTTCGGAGGAGGGGGAGGAGATGCTGATTTGGAGGAGGGACGTAGTGAAAGCAATGTACGGGATGAGGTAGACGTTGAGGTCCAGGATGAGGACACGCTGACGGCAAAGGAGGCTCAGAAACTCTAGTATATGTCTATATATGAATTTGTTCCCGGGACTAGTTATATGAGAAAAATCCGTGAGGAGTAACATCAAAGACGCACTTTGTTACCGGATTGACTATTCTAACAGGCATCTCATGGCGATCCATACGGTAGCAATTTCTTCAGCCGTGACGTCTGCGAGTCATGAGAATATGCTGTTTGGGACAGTCGATTTTTTCGTGCTGGACTTTTATTAACGTTGAGATGCTTGTGGCCAGCATGACCCTATATTCCGGAACGGAAACGCAGCAGTTAACAACATACGGCAAGTAGTCATAAGCGGGAAAGGAGAGCAACGTACGCGTTTGAATATGCCGGACGCCAGAGACCGCCAGCGCTTCTTGGCTCCTGAGTGACTCTTAAGCTTGGGATATTGCACCAGCGCAGATGTCGAGAAAAGACGAGCAGTACACAGGAGCCGACCAAACATGTTTTGAATGTCGAGGAATACCGGGTGAAATGTCGCGCTGGTGGCGTTGCACTCGCGGAGGCGCTAAATCTGGAGCAGACTTATTTGATCGACGTCACGTGCATGTACTCGCGTACCGCATACCGTTTGAGGGATGCGCGGAGTCTACGCACCTTCGTTCACACTTGTTGCTTGCCATGGCCTCCAATCCGCAGGATGATGCTGATCGCGTATGAATATCATCTTCACATTGTGCTCAGTGCTAATTGAATATACAGATTCGCCTGAAACGGCTGGCAAGGCTCCAGGCAGCGAGCCCTGTAACTTCACCATCCGCCCCGTCAACTCCTCCGCCCGCTACTGCAACTGTACCCAAACACAAACCTACACAAACCATTCAGAAACGTCCTACGGAGGCCCCTGTAGTACCAGTGCCCGCTGTACCTAGAAAACGCCCGTCGACTGCGCCGGCGCACATTGATCTCTCCCATTGGGAGCACGAGGCGGTCGGCAATGTCTTCAACGTGACATTAAGTGTTCGTTTTAACACACTAATTGCGTTGAATATTCTCTGACACTTTAATTTAATAGAAAGACGTCGCGGAGAAGAGTGGTTGGGAAGTAGTGTGGCTCAAGCATCTCGCCGCTGAGCTCGCGTCAGAAAACATAGGTAAGTGAGATCATCATATGCGGCGAAGTCAGTCTTGATCATGAATTAGGAAGCCCTGATGCAATCCGCTTGAACGCTGACATTGCAGATCGACTTCTGATTTCCCGTCTTGAGTTGGACCCACAAGCAATGTCGTAGGTCGCGCATTAGTCATGCGCTCTACTCGCTAACATATCCGCAGAGACGATCTGGAATATCTCGCTGTAATTGCATCCCTTCCCGCGGGACAAAGTGCGTTTGAGTACGTGATATGCTGCTGGAGACGGCTCAATGCCCTCAAGTCTGCGCTTTTGAAGAAGGTAAAAATGCAGTGATCCACTTTCGAATCTTTATTTATTCCAATTTCTAGAATTTATCACCTGTTGAGACACAGCAAGGTCTTGATATCCTGGACAAGTTGCGCCATTTGATTATCAGCTACGCTGGCTTGATTCTCCAAGAGCCTGAAATGTTTCCTCAGCCGGAAGGGTATGTAGTGCTTGTCCACAGTATTTCGCATGAATTCTCACGATTGACAGACGTGTTGTTGGTCCTTCTGAGCTGGTTGCATCGCTCTTATCGCTCCACTCGCTCTCGGCGCCGTTATTCTCGTCACCTGCATCCTCTTCACGGACGTTAGCCCCCTCAGAAGTGGAACCATTCTTGCAAGACATGGTTAAGCGGTTTGAACCTGACAATGAGATCGACGGCGTTCTTGGCCCAGTTGTCACCCAACTTTGCTTCCACGAGTCGCTTTTCCGCACTGAAGGCCTTGCTGGCGGCGTACAAACCTGGCGGGGAGTCATAAGTGGTCTGGAGGCCTTGGTGAGCATCAAGAGCTTGGCAATTATGATCACGCGATTGGATGCCTGGGATCCTGCGAATGCGCTGGCCCCCACATTCGAGCGAGTAAGCCTGCTTGGGCCTCTCCTTAGAATGGGCGTATTTGGCAGAGAATGGGTCAGTGTGATATCATTTAACTGCACTATCCACATTGACAATTTATGAAGCCGGTGGTTGCGGACACATATTTTTCCAAAGCCAAGGATCGTTCTCCAGGCGACATTCAGTCATCTACTGCAAATCTGCGCGGGACCTTGAAGACTTTACAAGTAGTCATGTCTCTCACAATTTGACTATACCTCTGACAGTATGCTTGTAGTCTTCTCTCTTCCAGGTCATGAATAGCCTTATCCGTGCTTCTCCGGAATCTCGAGAGGCGGTTTTGCAGTACTTTGCGCATGCGATTTCCCTCAATGGAAGGCGAGCTGGATCGCATGTAAGAATTCACTTCTGGGAGATGCTATGGTCATTCACGCTAGGATAAAGGTTGAAGCTGAGACGGTGTCATCCGATGGTTTCATGGTCAACTTGCAAGCGATTTTGTTCCGGTTTTGTGAACCATTTATGGATGCTAACTACACTAAGGTTCGCCGCGCGCGATCACGGTATTATTGTTTTATTGATGATACCCTCGTAGATGGATCGCATTGACAATACATACTATGCGCGCTCTACCCGCATCAATCTCAAAGAGGAGACCAGGATAAATGCTACAAGCGAAGAGGCGGAGCAATGGCGTCAACGTAACGAGGTTTCAGGCGGTATGGCCTTTTTCACTGGCAACATTTTGTTCGTGGTAGAGGATACTGATTCACATGAGTGCAGGTTCACCAAATTTCATCTCTGACATTTTCTATCTTACCCTTGCCATGAATCACTATGGCTATCAGAAAACGATATCGACGTACGAAGAACTTGCTAGGCAGTACGACGATATAAACCGGCACCTAGAGACGTTGCAGGGCGATGGGTCTTGGCGCTCAGTGAGTAGAGCAATAGCACGCTCTGACTATCTGTCTAAAAAAGCACCATTAGACACCTCTCCGAGCCCGAACGGAGGCGGCTATCAAAGCAGTACAAGTAAGCTTTATCAATCTGATTGCTGAGCAAGTTATACATATATTACTACGATAGGCCGAGATGAACAAAGTCATGGCCAATCAACTTGCGTACACGGTACAGCTCGCCGATCCGGAGCTCGTTTTTCGATCAATCAGCTTCACCAATTTTGTGTCGACGTGGCTTATTCGTATGTGTGACCCTAGGCGAACACACCCAAATCCGACAGTAGAGTGAGCCCAGAGATTTTAACTTGATACGGATTACCATGTCCTCACCTACCCCCAGTCTCCCGCTTTCCAAAGATGTTCCAGAGTTATTCAAGGTAATGCCTGAATACCTCTTTGAGGACGTCGTGGACTATCATTTATATGTTACTCGGTTGGTCACTCCACTTACTAGAAATGCGTTCTCCTGCTCATAATGTCTTAGCGAGAGTCCCGATAGCTTAGATCTATCTGGCAAGAATGAAATACTTATATGGGCGTTGACGTACCTGACATCGACCTGGTATATCAAGAATCCTTTTCTCAAGGCCAAGCTTGTCGAAGTATCTACCTATCTAGTCTGTGGCATTGCATGCGTTCTGACGATATTCAGGTGTTGTTTTACGCATGCTGGAACTGGGGAGGACGTCGTAGCGCAATGACGACAACGCTGAACTCTCATCCCATTGCCCTAAAATACCTTGTACCTGCTTTGACGCATTTCTACATCGGTCAGTTTTCTTTATTGAACCGTCAACGAAAAACTCATATCACATTAGAGGTGGAACAGACAGGTGCAAGTTCACAATTTTACGACAAATTCAGTGAGTATTTTAATCTTTGACACTAGTTATATCTGACAATGCCGCTTGCAGACTCTCGGTAGGTTATGTTTAGAGACTTGGGCGTAGATATTGATAAACGACGTAGACGGAACATTGCTTATCTATTCAAGACAATCTGGGAGAACCCTATGCATCGCGAGGCGCTCAAATCTGAGGCCAAGTAAGCTCCGTCCAATTCACTAAGTGAATATGCAATGCTTAAGCGGCTCTTAATCTGTAGAGATAACATTGAGAAGTTTGTCCGCTTCGTAAACCTCATGATCAATGACGTGACATATCTCATGGACGAATCCTTGAGCGAGTTGTCCAAGATTCACGAAATTCAGACAGAGATGGAGGACACTGTCACATTTAACTCGCAGCCACCACAATATCGTCGAGAACGTGAAGGGGCCTTGCGGTCTCTTGAGCGTCACGCATCTGGCTACGTGCAACTCGGGAACTCCACGGTCAACATGCTGAAAGCCTTCACAGGAGAAACGAAAGATCCTTTCATGGTTCCTGAGATCGTAGACCGTCTGGCCGCTATGCTTGATTACAATTTAGTGGCACTCGTTGGTCCCAAGTGCCAAGACCTTAAGGTCAAGAATCCGGAGAAGTACAAATTCAACCCTAAACAACTCTTGAGCGATATTCTGCAGGTATATCTTAACTTGAGCGATCGAGGCGAATTCGCCCGGGGCGTAGCAGCGGATGGTCGTAGCTATAGCAAAGAGCTTTTTGAGCGCGCCGCGGGTATCGCAAAGAGAAGAGTGTTGTTGAGCGATACGGACATTGAGAAGCTACTCATGTTCGCAATGAAAGTAGAAGAGACCAAGGCAACTCTTGAAGCTGAGGAAGATCTGGGTGAAGTCCCTGATGAATTCTTGGGTATGTGTTGTAGTCCCTTCGTCTAAAATCGGCACTAATCACTCGATCGGTAGATCCGCTAATGTTTACTCTCATGCGCGATCCTGTCATCCTGCCAACGTCGAAGGTAGTAGTCGACCGGTCTACCATCAAGTCTCACCTTCTCTCCGACTCGAAAGATCCGTTCAATCGTATGCCCCTCTCCTTGGAAGACGTCTATCCAGGTAAGACAATGCTGCAATTTCCTTTTGCTCATTCACCGAGCGATATACTGTAGATGTGGAGCGGAAGCAGCGCATCGATGCATTCTTGGCGGAGCGACGGAATAAGAACACCGCCTTGGACAAATCCATCAAGGAAGTTGTGAAAATGGATGTTGACGCGTCGGAAGGCTGATTATTGAAATCCATGTGTAGCATAGACTCATCTGTATATTTACATATTATGCACGGACGATCCTTGGATCCTACGAACCCCGGAGCCAAATACAGCTGTGCATAAGGAATTGCCCGGAGAGTGTGGTATACAAGCATTTGTCGTACTAACCAGGTAGCGATTCGCACAGCAACCCTATGTCCAGGTCACTTCTTTTTCCGCTTGGTACCACGGCCTCCAGCTGTAGAGCCACCCCTGCCTCTGCCTCCGCCGCCTCGTCTCGTGGGCTTTGTGGTCTTCCGCGTCAGCTTTGTTGCAAGCGGGAGTCCTGATCACCAGAATGTCATCAGCGAGAGTACACATCACGCTGTCGAACTCACCTGGTGACTCTCGACCTTCGGGGTCCTCCTCTTCTGCGTAATCGGTACCTGCGTCTGTGCCGGTAGCAAGACTTGGGGTGGGCATAGCGCTCTCGTCGCCGCTTTCTTGAGTTAGTGCGCTGCTGTCGCTGTCACCCCCAACGAGACCGGCCATGTTTTTGAGCTTGCTTCTTCCCTTCCTAGTCTCGCGTACTGCTGGGCCTGGTCGAGAGACAGCTGACGGGGACTGTGCCGGGGATGACGAGGGGAGAGAAGCGGTGGCTCGCATTCGCCTCACAGCAATGAGAGACTCGTAGTGCTCTTCTGACGGTAGTGAATACTCATGACGGAACCAGGGGTGCGAGAACAGGTTTTCTCCTGGCGAAGGCGAGCGAACAGGGAGATCTGTCGGTAGGCGCGTCGGCTGAGAACCAGGAGGATCGTATCCCTCGACCTCCTGCAAAACATCAGCAACAGCTATTCACGCTTACATACTATGCTTCTTACTATGTTCTCAAGTACGTCCAAGTTGTAGCAGCTGCGCAATTTCTTCCAGACATCGTCTATCGAAATTGAGTGACCAGTGTCCCTGAGAATCGCGTTGCAGATGGTAAGGACGTGGAAATGGCGATGAAGCCCAACAGGTCGTGCGCGCATTACAGAGCGGAAGAGGGCGATCTCCCCCTCGACAGTGTCCAGGAAGTGATTGCCAGCGGTTCCAGCATCATTTACGACGGACATTATGGGATAGGAACGATGCGCCGCAGGGTGCATCCGCGATCCGTTCCATGGCAGAGACAGAACGGCGCAGTTGCCGCCCGACCGAGCAGTCGTCGGTGAGCGTCTGGCCATTTTGGGAAGGTTGAGTTTTGCATCTTGCAACGTCTCAGCAAATCCGGGTCGAAGGTAGTCCTGCAGATGAGATGACTCCGTGCAGACAAACCAGTTTCAGACAGTCTGATTTCGGGCATTCATGCTTCTCTTTCACTACCTTGTGCACGGTTGCAACTCTCATCATAATTGTGATAGGTTGGATACCCACTTACTCTTAATCAAGTCACGCTAGACTTCCGCTCACAGGGATTAGCTTGTAGCTAACACTAGTAAATCCGTAACATACGGGAGGGTGGAGGTAGGATGGCGGATCGGAATTCATGTAATGCTGAGATAGTCAATTTTGCAACATGGCATAATGCATACACATGAAGACGGCATTAGCTGCTCCGCACCGTGAGCATAGTCATACCACATCCCCTTCATCTACACACCCAACGCTCGTGATGCCTCACGTCCGGGCAGCCTCAATCCGCCTGCGCGCAACCTGTCGCCTGTTGAGACCAGCGAACGATGGTGCGACTACGTCCTTGTCCTTGCTCCGCTCAACTTCCTCAGATGATGCAGACAAGATGATCTCAACATGGCAAGGGTGGCCCTGGTAAGGGTTAATACGACCGTGAGCACGGTACGTACGGCGGCGGGTTTTCTATATAAGAATGAAGAGATCAGAACGACACGCAGACCGCACAGCTGAAACAACAGCCTTACAGGTGCTTGCTGGACAACGATGTTCTTGATGAAAAGATCCTCCAAGTCAATGTTTTTCGCGTCGGCGTTTGATTCAGCGTTCTTGAGGAGACTGAGGACGAATTTTACAGATTTCTCGGGCCAGCGACCTGTGCGAAGTGAGCGGTCGCGCGCTGAAACTGGTGCGCGTCTAGAAAACACGTACCTTGAGTTGCTTTGAACTGCTTGGCCTGACTCGCACGTCCGACACCACCAGCGAACCGACGGAAGGGTACGACCTGCTTGTGATCCTTCACGTCGGCCAGGTATGTATATGCTTTGGTCAGCTTGAGACCTACGCAGCCTCTCCTTAAACGCGCATTCGGGCACGATAGAATGACACACTGACCAGTCAGAGCCGCCGCAACTTCACGCATGTTCTTGAAGTGCGTGCGGAGATATTCACCCCGAGCACGCGAGGCTGCAGATGTGCATCCCGACGACGTTAGTATCCTTTTGCCCAGGGGACAGCGACAGCACTTCTGAACGCACTTTTCTCGGGGTTGGAGGCGAGGGCGGCGGCAGCGTAGCGAACTGCATACTAGAGTCAGTGGAGATTTTGGACAGCGAGACGACATCATACGCACCCATGATTTGAGTCTTGAGGAGTTCGGCCGGACGGGTAGTATCTTGGGGGAATCAAGGCTGGGTGGCTGAACTTTTGCAGCCACAACTGGCAAGCACCCGGCAACATCCGAAGCGCCATCTCGGCGTCGAGGGCACGTAGGCGAGCGCCGGTCTTCGTCTGTTCCTCTATGATCTCAACGCAGACTCTCGCCGCGTTTGTTCTCCACCTCTTGCCCGAACAGAATGCACGACATATGCACCTTTTCCTGAGAGTGTGTCCGCTTTATGCTCCTGAAAGATCCGCCGCGATGATGCTAGGCCTCCTGATGACACGGAGATGACACAACGGAGTCCACCTGGTGGGCACTGGATGGCCTTAGACAGCTTGTCTTCGCGATGACGAATGTCTTGGACTAGTTATATACCGCGTTCTCGACGGAATCTGTTTTGTAAGATTTCACCATGTCTCCTTTAATCTTCAACTCCCCTGCACCCCACGTACCGTATTATACCCCTGCGCAGTATCCCGCCGCAGGAACTGCTCTCGACCCTCAACCTGATGGAAAACCCATCCCGATGCTTTTTCAGCCTATCAAGATACGCGGCCTAGAATTTCATAACCGCCTATGGGTAGGTTTCCGTCAATAAACATGACGAGTCTCTACTCGGACAGGGCTTTCATTCACCTTTCAGCGACTACGTAAAGTCCCTCGTAAAATGGTTCGCTCATGTTTCGAATCTAGTTGTCCCCCATGTGCCAATACTCTGCTGAAGACGGCAAGCTTACGGCTTGGCATTTTGCGCACCGTAAGTAGCGGCCGGCTGGCCCTTTCCTCCACGTCTCACTTGTTCTTCCCCAAGTTGGCGGTATCATCTCTCGAGGACCTGGTCTCAATATTGTCGAGGCCACTTCTGTGACTCCTGAGGGCCGCATCACCCCTGAAGATTCTGGGCTCTGGTGTGATGAGCAGATTGCGCCCCTCCGTGAGATCGTCACTTTCGCGCACTCACAGAACCAGAAAATCGGCATTCAGCTCGGGCACGCGGGAAGAAAGGCGTCCACTGTTGCACCCTGGCTCTCCAAGGGCGACACTGCCTCCGTGCTCGCCGGTGGCTGGCCCGACGACGTGTGGGCGCCGACCGCCGGTGCACACAGCGCAACATACCCACACGCGCACGAGCTGACGAAGGACGGCATCCGGCGTGTCGTGCGCGCGTTCGTGGATGCAACGAAGCGCGCGCTGCAGGCGGGCTTCGACGTGATCGAGATACACAACGCACACGGATACCTGCTGCACGAGTTTGTGAGCCCTATCACTAACAAGCGCACAGACGAGTATGGCGGGAGCTTCGAGAACCGTATTCGGCTTACGCTCGAGGTCGTCGACGCGGTGCGCGCGGTGATCCCCCACGACATGCCGCTCTTTTTGCGGTGCGTTCTGATGACGCTCCCCTGTTCGATGATTTTGACCATATATTTAGTATATCTGCAACGGATTGGCTCGAGAAGAGCCTCGCTAACGAGCCATCGTGGCGCGGTGAGGACACAGTACGCCTTGCAGGTATACTCGCCGAACACGGGGTGGACCTGCTCGACGTCAGCTCTGGCGGCTTGCATCCTGCGCAGAAGATCCAGGGGGGGCCTGCTTACCAAGCGCCATTCGCCGAGATGGTGAAGAAGGAACATGGGGACAAGATCCTAGTCGGATGCGTCGGTGCGATCTCGGACGGACGGACAGCACAGAGTGTGTTGGATAAGGTGGGTGATACCTACGTTTTCTCGAGCTAGCTTCATACATGGTGAATATTAGACCTGTGCTAACTGTGCGTGGATTAGGGTCAGGCAGATGTTGTGCTCATGGCGCGGCAGTTCCAGAAGAATCCCGGGAGCGTCTGGCAGTTTGCAGAAGAGCTCGGTGTTGCTATTAATGTTGCGCATCAGATTGAATGGGGTTTCATGGGGCGTGGAAATGTTGGGCGGTCGCCGGTAAAGAGTAAGGTGTGACTCTTGTCTCTCAGCGGTATGTGTATGCGATGGCAACGATCAGTATTGTAAAGTTCATTTTGTATAGTAGTTGGCAAAGAATTATATGAAAGTCCGCAGTTCATGGCTCCAGCACCGACATGTAGGGTTGTGCCCAGCCTGGTTGTCTGGATATAGATAGTTGGTGCTTGGGCACAGTACTCGTTGTGAATTACAACAGTAGTGGTGCGAGCAAATTGGGAGATTAAAATATTATAAAAGTAATCTGTAGATGGAATATAGGTCGAACTAAGACCATGAGCACATGCGGTTCAACGGTGAGTACTGGTACAAAGAAATAGTTGGAGTGCTGCTTATCAGCATCTAAAAGAGTGCGGGTAATTCGAAAGTACACAATATGTTACAGATAAATAGCGCCATCCGCCGACGTCTGCCTTCGTCCTTCTAATGGACCCGCAGCGCCCACCTGTACCCGAGCCACACATCAGACGTGAAGGGCATCTGCACGCCTTCGAGGTCAACACCAGGAAGTTGCTCGAGTCTCTTCAGCATCAGTCTCGTCCCGAGCACACGTCTCAGCCGCACGAGCACTGGAGGAGGGACTTGTACCTTCTTCAGTGGCCGACCCGCCGCTCTACGTGCAACCACGATCGCGCGCACCATATCGAACAACAAGGGACCCCACCCGTTCACGAACGCCGCGGATTCGTGCTCCTGGTCCGTGCCAAGCGTAAGGTGCTCCAGCCGCGGGAGCACCCCTGCGGCCGGGGAAGACAGGACACTGGGTGCCTGCATGAGCTCGAGGAAGCCCTGTGCAAACGCATGCACGTGGAAGCCGGCGAAGGCGAGGTGCACGATGCTTGGGAAGAGTCCAAGAAACTCGCCGAGCCGCGCCCCAACGATGAGCGGGGAGGGCTCTTCAGGCCGCCCGGTCATGTGGAGGCGCAATGAGCGGAGTCGGGGAAATTTGCCCTGTGGTGTTCCTTCGTACGTCTCGCCGCGCAGCGCATCGATGTAGCGACCCGCTAAGCTGTAGTGCTCGATCTCCATCTCTTCTATCTGGAGAACCTCGAGAGCCGGCGCGTGCAGCACGCGCAGAATAGTGTCGTTTTGGAAGTAGTCGCCGATCTTCAGGAAGCGCAGGGCGGGGAAGTGCAGCTCTACGTTCGCTTCGAGTTTGTAGCTGGAACGCACCGAGAGGTATGTGAGCCGGGGCGACGTCGTTGCTAGGCTGTGGAGATCGACCAACGTCCAGGGAGCGCTTGCGATTTCGAAAGAGGTGAGCTGCGGGAAGGGTTCGTCCGCAGATAGCGAGAAGCCACAGTGATCCAGACGAATATGCTGTAGCCGAGGAGCGCCGCCAGGAAACGGTCTTGGGTATCCATTCGGGTTCCCGCCCAGAAGGATAGAATGGAAGGGACAGTCTACTTCCAAGACCTCGAGAATGGGTGCACGAAGACCAGTACCGCCGAGACGCGCCAACATCGCCCCGACCAGTTTAGGGAACGGGCTGACAATGCGCAGCTGCCGCCAGCGGGGAAGATGATCCAGCAGTATATCCAAGACAGAGAGCGCGAAGGACACCGGTGTAGGTTGAGTGAGCGATTCCTTGGATGCTTCGAACCGAATGTGTAAGTCGAGCGGACGAATCCTAGACCGCTCCAGCTGCAGGCGCAAGGCCTCGAGTGGTGTGTGAGCAGTGACACGGACGGTAGCCCACAGCCAAGAAGAATCCATTGCGACTGCTCTCCAGCGCCGAGACACCGCTGCAACCACGGACGAGAAAGGCCTCGCGCACTGGCATTCTCGTTCCTCGACAAGCTGACGCTCACAGTCGCACTGTGTGCAGACCGTGAGATCCTTCCCTAGCAGAAAGATGTGTTCCAACAGTTCGTCCGGGAGCGAATCGATTGTGACGGGGGCGCGTTCCTGACGCGTCAGTTGTGGGTATAATGCGCGCAGAAGTGGCTGAACACGTTGAGCACGCCAACCAAGTCAGACAAAGGAACGCGGTACTGAAAGCAAGCAATGCGTACCGTACAAGGCGAAGCGGACCTCACATAGTCAACCAAATCTAAGAGTCGCTGGAACATGGCTGGCTATGGAGGGATTCTGAGCATTTCAGGGCGTTAGACCAGGATTAAATACCTTTCTCGCCACTCACCGATGTGTGGCATGCTTATGTACGACGTGAAGAACAATGCGAAGCCACAGTCGAACATTGCTTTGACTGTGGCTTGTGGCCAGACTGTGATAGCGGCCTCATGGCCAAATCTGAAGTGGCGGCCTTGTGGGTGGCGCGTCGTGTCGCGGTCACGTGGTCATCGATAAGTACTAGACGCCAAAGCAATCGTGTGGCGGTGGCACTGGTAATTCGGACTACCCTCTTCCACACGTTATAGCAAACTTGTGGTTGAGCTCCATACGATCACCGCACACCAACTTCCGTGAAAACAACAGCAGACTTTGCTCAAATAAGCAGCTGAATTCTGTCATCTTGCAAACATCCAGGAAATCAACTGCGACACAACTCCCCCGTCTCTTTCTTCTGCCTCCTCTAACCTTAAGCGTTCTCGCACGGCTTCTTCCTCTTCAACAGCCTCTTCTACCATTGCTTCTCGTAACGAAACAGAGGTCAGAATTGTAGCCGCGGTCTCGTCCGCAGTAAACTGAGTGGCGGCTGCGGGTGGCGGGTAAGGCGACGCGGCGGAGATATCATTTACTTGATGCGTTGTAGGTGAGTGGCGATGGTAAGTATGTCGACCAACATGTGCAAAAAACGACGACAATCGCTGATGCATCCCAGTCGGAGCCACAGCGCCGAGCGAGAGATAGCGCAATCCGAGCGACGCATCGCGGTCACTATACCTTAATTCCCCAGTTAGATGGATGCTGTGGCTTCCATACTGCCTTCGACGGGACGGGCCAGGGCGTTGTGTGTACGTAGCTGTCTCCACGTCATTCTCTTTCTCAGCCGCACCAACTCGAGATAGAATGTTTACTGGCAGCTGAATCCGCTCGTTCCCGTTAAATCGTCTTTGTCGACTGTTAACAGTAGAATGGTCATAAAGACTACCCGGGCTAGCAGCGTCAGTCAACAACGATAGCCTTGATGAGAGGAATTCGTCTTGTCGCCGAGCGCCGAGCATTCCTGAACTAGGTTGGGATGTGAGAGATCGGCGCACGACGACCGTGTCGTCCAGATCGAGAATGCCGAGAGGATCACGAGGAAGCCAGAGCTCGTCTTGGATTGACCGCGCGAAGTACGGATTGTCGTATGTGCGATCTGGAGATGGCTCGTCGTCCCAAGCTGGGTGTGGGGGATGAGGGACGACCAATGGCGCCTGTGAGGACACTGGTTGCGTCTCGTCTGGTTTGGGATTGCCAGGCTGTCCTCTCGCACTACCAGGTACAAGCGACGTACGAGTGATGTCCTCAAGCTCCGATGTAGAGTTCTTTGCGATAGCAGGTGGCATAAACGGATTAGATCGACGACGTTGACTACGACGAGGCCGCCTGGGGAGTGTAGCATATCCGTCTTCAATTCTATCTGGAAATCGCCGTGGCTGTACCCCAACAGGCAAAGTTCGAGGGAAGTCATAGTATGTGCCTTTGTGTAGCTCTCTAGGGCAACTCTCGATCGGCTGCACCTCGTCGAGGAGTTCTTCCGTCACATTGCCCTTTCCGCAAACAATATCTGCTTCGATTATATCATCGCGTTCGAATCGGGCGCGACAAATACGAGTCAGCCTATGGTGGCGTGAGTGGCACGTACGCTACGTTTTGTCGACACAAACTCACAGAAGTTTTGCACTGGCCGTTAATACAATGAGGATAGCAGAGACCACAACATTAGCTGTTATCTTAAGCACCACCATGTAGGCCATAAATACAACCTACAAGCCATGTATCAGCGACTCATAAGACCGCAATCATCTGTATTTAAACGAACCTGCGACAATATGAGTCCTTAAAGTCAGGCCAGCTCTGTTAGCAACAGACTTCTGGTAGAGGCATGTTGATTTTACCATCACATGAATAGCGTATCAACCGAATCAGAATGGTTTGTCCATTGCCTTCGTAAGTTTTCGCGTATACGTGAAGAAGCTGGCCGTATCTATTTAAAATACACAAAATGGCGCATACAGATAGCGCTCTCACCTGATTCTTAATGACAACTAATAGCAATGAGCACCCAGATTCAGAAGCACGATTACATACAGCTTACTCACCTGCCCCGACGCAAAAGTAAATGAATGCGAAAGGTATGACAAGAGGATTCAAGACCGCAAACATCAGCAGAACGTGAACTGCTAGCATGTGGTTTGGCAGCCAGTCTAGCGCATGGATGAGTCGGACAAGATGTTAGATTCATAGTGCTGCAGGCTCTCACAGTAGTAATTGAATGTGCGCGGACGTATGCCGACCGCCCTCTTGCGAGGTGTAACTTGTCGCTTGGTACGCGGATAGAGAATGAGGGGAAGCTAGCACACCTATTCTGGATTAACGCGCCTATACGCAACACTATGACGCGTACCCCGACTGCAACAGGTAGGCGGATCGTTAGCAATCGAGTCTCGAGCGAGTAACACGAGATACGCCTCACATAAAGCCAGTTCAAGACCGCCATGCATCGCCATCGTGAATATTACTAGGATTTTCTTAGTTCAATTTCGCGATGGATCCGGACACTACGTACACCATCCAACATAAAACGGCCCAGCTGTTGGAAAGCTGTCCGCGACAATTTGAATCACCTTCAGGCCGGAGGTGGCGGTGAAGGACACGAGAAACGATTGCAGCGCGGCGGTACCGACGCAGAAGAATATAAGCACATTGACAACAAGAAATTTGTAATAACGTGTCATGATGCGGTCATGCAATGTAGACAGCATAGCGATGGTATGAGCCTTCTTGGCTATCAGAACTAAAAGGATTCTCGTCAGTTGGGCATCACATTTGGATCACAATGGTCTTACGGAGAATAAGAGGTATCAGGAGCGACAAAAGCGACACGAGGACAGTGGGGACAAAGGACTGTAATAATTCTTCTTCCCATTCATGGTTGTTGAGGTATGTTTCCTGCACATATACTGAGCTACACGTCCCAACCTTCCGACATCAGACATTGAGCGTTCACTTACGAGGCCGGGCCAATATGTACTGATATTTTGAATTGATACTAGGCCAACAAGAATTGACACTGGGAACACCCAGAACGTAGTGAATCCCCTGAGGGCTCGTTCGATCGCCGGTAATACTCTGTAAATCATCATCGGACTCACCAGACACCGAGGTTAACGAGCCAGTCCTTTACAAACTACAATTTCGCTTTAATATTCTAACAGAGGATCTCGGAGCGTAGGTTATGACTCATACCTCGACTCTGAACGATGGTTTCATCAACCGGAGCCAATCTAGATCTTCGTAGGCAGGCGCCATTGTCACAAAACACTGCAAAGGATTGGTAGGGTGCACGGCCAGGAACTTGCACGCTCTCCTCGCGTCAGCAGGATCGGCAAACGTAACGAAGGCAGTGGATGTCGGCTCATAATCTCGGAACGCTTGAGCGCGCTTCTCTGTAATGAGCGAAGTGAGCAGGTCGAGCTTTGCGGTATAATAGTCGATGGATGGCACTGTGTGGCCGCGAAAGAGAGTCGACAAGTGTATGAGGGGCTGATACGCATCGAGCACACTACGTGGAAGACTTAGGAGTGCGTCCCAAACGCTTGAATGTGGGACAATGGAAGGAAGGTTTGTGTCCTTCCTCCAATCCTTACGGTGCCAAATCCGACGTTTTTGCCCTGGCTGGACACCTGAAGAGGATGGGGAAACATATATCCCAAGTGTCCGGATAAGCAACTCTGTACGCTCTTCACCGATGGCTTCCTCATCCGCTAGGATGTGGCCTGGGCTGAGACTATTATTCGCCATGATCTGACTGACAGAAGCCAAGGCCCTCTTAGCCAATTTGATGTGAGCAGTCTCCAGCAGCGACAGAACCTCTTCCCGTCTCTCGAGCAAAGATGCCAGCTCAGACATTTTACGCACGAGAATTACTCGGTCGATAACAGGCGTGTCGGGCTTGCCCTGATCCACTTCAAGGTGCGTGTTATCTTGGGTAGTCAATTCCGACGGGGCAAAATGAAACCGCGGGTGGTTCAGGTGTGCAGGGATGTCCGTGAGTCTGTTGAGCAGAAATGTGAATGATTTATTGAGAAAGCCGGGCTGAATGGTGCTAGTAATGCCCAATGCCGGCTGAGCTACATGGCGTGATAGATAGTATTCAAAGTATTCCTTGAGTTCCCTCTCGGACCGCAATGAAGGTGGTACGTTTGTAACCATGACAGTCCGCATTCTAACGCCACAGCTTAAGCGATCCTTCTCGAAACTATCACCGAAATGAGTATCGTTTGGAAGCTGCTCCGTGCGACATCCGGCTCGGTCCATGTTGGCGACAATATTCGTTGCGCGAAGATGGAAAGCACCGCGGCATAACCACAGCAGAAGACACATCCAGCTGACAGTAAGCCATATCAGGAGGAGCAGGTGGATCCAAAGCAATGACAGTCCTTTCTCCGTAAGAACCAGGGAAGAGATTGAGGCGCGAGTCATTGATTTTGGCGAGACAGAATCGCCAGAGAAGATCACATGGATGGGCAGTAGGATCGGAAGGGTGGTGAAGGTGTGAATCAACGTTAGCCAGATACAACCACGCAGAAACCGTGCATATAGCGTGGCATCAATTCCACGGAGCTCGTTCAGACGTTCCTCAGGCAGCTTTAACACCTGTGTTACCCAACCAAGAGGAGCACCAAGTGGCGTCGGTGGAGACGGTCTCCTTTATGACCATGAAATACTTAGGAAGGAAAGTAACACATAGCGACAAAAGTACATACCTGGCCCAAGACCTTCCTTGATACAGGCTTGCAGAGCTCTCAGCATAAGGATGTAGGCCGGAATGAACAACTTACTATCCAAACTCCCAAGACTCGACGCTGCCTAGACCCTGGTTGCAACGTGCCTTGCGACGTTGCCTTTTCATGAGTTCATGAGATACAATACAAACAATTATGATACATCCGCCGATGACCGATTGGTTTATGAGACCGCTGTGTACGCCGCATTCATTATGGTAACAATAGAAAGGCAAAGTACGGACCTGTAGTCTCTGGAGAACGGTCGTGACTGGATGGTGGCCATCGTGAAAGGGGCGCGTCCACCCGACCAGAGGTGCGCCGGCTGGGAAGTGGTTCTTCGTCCATGTGAGTTCGAACTTCGAAGAGTGACCTGCCGAAGCAACAAATGTCTGCAAAGGTAGCGATCAAAATCGGCCGCGGAAGTCGAACCGAACCGGTAGTTTGGTTCTTTGAAGTCCGATTCGAGTCCGATTTCCTCCTGCACTCCAGCCTGTTGAAACCGAGCTGCATCCTCCGAGTCCGTACCGTCATTCGCTATGTCCGCCCTTCGCGCCTGCCAGCAGGCCCTCCCCAGGCGTGTGCTTGGGAGATCTGTCGTCTCCCTCCGTGGCCTCGCCACCGACTCCTCGATCCCGACCAAGGCTGCTGAAGAGCCCAAGTCCGAAATTGCCTCTACGCCAGAGAGAGAGGTCCTCACTGCCGACGTGATTAGCGGCGCGCCCGGTGGGTCACATAGGTTGTCCAAAGTCTACATGAAAGCTCAAGGGGATCATTCGAAGCTCAATTGCGTCACCGCGCCGTTAGAATATTCCAGCCGACGCGAAGTACTACACAGAGTGGTTCGGGCAAGTCGCATCGCTGGAGGATAGACTGGGATATTTTGCCAGGAGGTGGGCGATGGGAGAATCCTCTTATGGGATGGGCCAGCTCGTAAATCTTCCCGAAGAATCTGAGTGTCATGTTCTGACTCTGCGTAGAGCGGACTACATGCAGGGGACACGCTTGTCGTTCCGATCCAAGGAAGACGCTGTCCATTTTGCTGAGAAGCAAGGTGAGATACAGTTGGACTTCATGTATGTGCTCAATGATAACATGATTATCAGGCTGGGATTATTATGTGTAGGTAGTCTGGGATGAGAATGAATAAACGTAAGAGCTGATGTCTTTTTACAGGCAACAGCCGGAGATTAAGAGAATTCCTCCCAAGAACTACTCCGAGAACTTCCTATACAAACCGAATAAATTGCGTATTGTGCGCACGAAGTAGTTTCGCATGTATCTTTATCGCAGAATATATGCGGTCTGTCGCGCGTATTCTACTGATTTGCCTTGTCCGGACTCGCGATCTTATAACGGTGTGATTGAAGGGTTTGCTCACCCTCCTCCAACGTAAAGCATCAATTCGTGCTCCTTCCGCTTGGCAATACCCGAAGCCGATAGCACGCGTTACTGGCTCTATTCTTCCCCACTCCTTGTCGATGCAGTGTAACTCTTCCTGTTTAGTCACCGGTTTGTTCGATCTAGTAGACTTGCAATGCAGTAGTTGTGGGTATATTAGTATGGTGACAGTAGTACTACACGAAAGCTAACGTCATGAAAGCAAAATCCGAATATATACATGATAGCAGTTAGTCAAAATAGCTGTTGTCCTGGAACCCGACGATTCGGCTCACAGGCCGTAAGCTCATCGCAGGAGCTTTATCCACCACGGCCGTGCGTTCTCCGTGATCAGAAATAGACTCCTCGTCGCTGTCAGATCCTCCCTCTTGGGGGTTTGGCCGACCAATGACACTCATGATCCTGTTCCTTGCGGGCTTGGCTGGTTTAGTAGTTGGTTTCAATAGGAGCGTCTGAGCACATGTCGAAAGCGTGTCGACCAAGTCACAGTCGAGCTCGAGATTGAAGAGGTCGAAAATGTATCGCCGCACAGGCAGTCGATATTTTTGCGATGAGATGGTATGGAGAGCGCGACAAAACATGACAGGAGAGCTGAAAATGTCTCGGAACTCTGGACGAGATTTCATTCTGTACAGAAGAGGGGTAAAACGTATGAGACTGAAAGTCAGCCCTTAGAATCATGGGACTTACTTTGCTAACGATCTAGACGCATTATTTGCGATGACGGTATTCGCAAGATTATAAATCGCAGTTATTACTTCTATCTCCTCCTCAGATTTCGGGGGCTCCAACTGGACTTCATTTGCTCCCTCGTGAGATACACACTCCCAAGGAGGTATCTAAAGCAGAGTTTATTCCTGTGTGTAATGTATCCAAAATAGAACGTACATAGGTAAACTTGTCCACATCGACAGGAACACACAAGCCTGTTGGCATCCCTAAAGGTGACAAGGTCGCTTCCCACCGATAGTCGTCCAGAATTTCGGCACCTTGAGGAGTAGAGGAAATCAAGCCGAGCACAAAGAAGCATGTCCTAGAGGATACGTTGCGTTCAGAAGATTCGATTTGACACACGGAAAGCGATCCACGCACCCTCGGACCGAAAGAACTAATGATTGTTCGGCTATCTCCATAATTGACGGAATAATCTCTTCATCCTCAAGTAAATGTAGACCGCCCTCAGTGGCCCCAATATTCCCCTACATAGAGATAGTTACATCTCAATACGCTGCAAACACAAATTTAAACGCACGACAGCCCATAAAATGCTCTTCAGTTTCACGATGAGATCGTGATCGTCGCTCTCCAAACCGTGCTGTCTAATAAATTGAGCAAATTCAACAAAATGTCCCTTCTCCTGGAGGACTTGGTATCCAAGTTCCGTTTTGGCCATAACGCCATAGAAGTGAGGAGGAACGATCGACTCGAGATTCCTGGTGAATGTAGTTGAGTTGAGGTCCACTGATATCTCGCAAAATCTACTAACTGTGGCTCTTCATCGTCCTCCGCAGAGACAGAGCTCAATGCCTTTGTGAGATATACCTCAACATGGACTACATATTGCAAATTTCGTTCCTGGATTCCGCTATGAGTGAAGCCAACCCAAAGGGCAACATCAAAGTAACTTACATGAAACCATAGGTCCATTTCACGATCAATGTAGTCAGCTGCGTACAAGAACCGGAAGCCCATTGGTGTGGACATGAACCTGGTGAGGCGTAAGTCAAATTCTCAGTATATAGATGGTTTTTTTCACTTGAGCATGAGCCCATGTCCGACCTGACCCAGATGGTCAAGCGTTGGTTGCATCTCGACTACTGTCTGGAGAACATCGGGAGCTTCACAAGCTTCCTCTAGAAAATGAACGGCAAGCTCTTGGACATCGACTGCAGGATCATAAAGTTGAGTTAATAGTAGGCGTAAGGTCCACGCGTTGGCCATTGGACTAGCACGTATAAGAGCACCCAATCGATTCGTGGCGAATAACCGAATGTGCTATCAATTGAGGGGTCAGTACAATCTAAGGAGCTTGGGTCGAGATGTATACCTTATAACTAGACGTGAGCGCTTTCGACAGCACGATCCGTGAATGACCATCTCTGCGACGCGTATCTTCATCAGACTCATACAACATACACGAGAAGACAAACCAACGAACATGCCGTAGTCCAGATGCTCAATGATTTGCGTCGTCAAGTCCTCTCGACTCCGCAGCTCGCTGAGGTGGTAGAATGCGGTGAAGAGTTTGAACTTTTCCATCAGTCTGGAAAGTGTTTAGAGCCATGGTCATAAGAGTGCATGATTACTTACTCCAATCCTTCCTTCCGCTTGCTCATTGTGCCTAGCATCTCGAAGTAGCCGTATGTCAAGGTATTTTTAACGCGATGCTTCGAGAATATTGGGTCCGATATGGGATTGCTATTGAACTGCTTGACGTTGTAAGATGATACCATTAAATGTGCTATGATTAAGGTACCGACCGGATCAAGTTGAGCGAAGCTCTTTACAATTTGATTCAATAAGTCATCCTCAGACAAAAACCGGACACCCTCTGTACACGTCATGAGAGCATTTAGGAGGATGCATCCTAGCTTCACCCAGCGTTTGTTTGACTGGACTCAAGGACTCATAAGCACACAACAGTCACATGATAATTCGCATTCCATACCGGAGTATTGGGGAGGTCTGAGAAACGATGACTGAACGGGTGGAAAAACGACATCAGTTTTCGCATATAGCGTGTTACCCGAATGGCTTCCTCCAGTCTTTTTGGATTCAAAAGGGGACCCTCAATCAAATCTTGTAAGACATCGAAATTCCACTTTGTCTGATCTTTGTGTAGCATCACCTAAGAGCGGGAAGATGGGTAATATGGCGGCACTGTATGATAATTTGAGTACCTGGCTGTCCAAAAGATTTGCCTGGAACGTTTTGTCGTCCATCTGCATTGCAAGCTTCATCTTGGCCTGCTCAACCTGCCTCTGACCACGTCGAACAGCATCTTCGATAGAATTTGATCTAGGAATGAAAAAAAAAAATGAATAGAGCCAGCAGAGCGAACCCAGTGGTCAAACCTCGGTCGAGTGTCCCCCTTCTCCGTGCTGTTGGTAGGTTGGATCCGCGCCTGATGCCGGTTGAAACTGTCAATAGACAGCAAAGCCGAAGTACCAACGATACGGTGCTCTCCAGAGTGATAATTGGAAGCAAGACTGAATACCCGACAAAGAGACTGGCATTACACGCAAAAGGTGAAAATTACAAGATGACCGATTCACATGCTACGCACCTGTACGTGGGCCGCGATAGACAAAGGCAAAACCCTGTTAGCAGTCTGTAGGACCTCTGCCATTAGCAGTGTGGCTTTCCGTGATAAATTGGATCCGACAGGATTCTCTTCCAGCATACACGTCAGTGCCTGTAAAACAACATAAACACTGTTAAGATCAGGGCAAAATCGCCACATACATCCAGAAGCCCAGCTCCACAGAAAACTTGGACCAAGAGTGCAATATATTGGTTAGTAAGCTTCAATGACGGTCGCTGAGAAGCCTCTACCGGCTTCTGAGTCTCGAACGGCTTTTCGGACTTAAGAGGGTCCGAAGTTTGTTTTGTTTTACGATAGACTGAGTAGCATACATTAATCAAATCTTGAAAATTACTTTGGAAAAGACGGACTTGTGAGGCGCTTGCCGTTAATGAAGGCCTGATGCCATTCTGGCGCTCTGATATTAAGGAGGTCAAAAAACATGTCAAGAATGATTTCCTATGAGGCGGACTGTCAGGCATCATTCAATTTGCCTTCGAGTAGCGCACGTACGCGAGTTTCAAGGGACGGTATACGCAGCGCATCTATCAACGTGCGGATTGCCAGTTTGTCCTGCAAGCAGAAATACATCAAACCTGAAAAATGCGAATGACCTGAGCTACGTTGCAGCTTAGAGGAAAGTCAGGTACAAACCACTCCAAGTCCGTAGCATTGATGAGATCAGGACTGTGCATTCTTTCATTCGTTCTGCGTGCTCTTGCCCTTTCCCGTACGCATCAGTGACACCAGAAAGAGCGATCTGATCCTGGCTCAGCATATAGACAGAATGTTTAGCGATCCTGCTCACCTCCAGATCTACGCCTGGACATAGGTAAACCCGCGTCCGAGGCGAATCCACGATATAAAGGAACGCTGATGCCAGAAGTGATGACATCTCGGGGGGACCGTCAGCTAACGCATGAAGAAGTGTCCTGATGCCACCAGTATCCGCCATTAACTCAATGTCAATCACCACTGTTGGAAGAACGTTAGTGTGAGAGTTTTCAATGCATTTTTCCCCTTCAAGTATATACTGACAAATTTCGGTCAGAGTTTGGACAGATATTAATCTGAACGGATCCTCGATGGACTCTGCGACGGCGATCAGCGCACGCATGACTGCATTGGAGAGAGGGACTGCTCCGCAACCCGCCCCGCCGCCTGGAGCACGTCGTTCAGAGCCAATTTCGACGATAGCCCGAATGAGCTTGATGACCTGCTCCTTTTCGATGGCATGCTTATTGTCTCGAGATAACGATCTATAGTCGGGCTTTCAGTTGGCGACAATAAGTGCCAATGGCACCACCTACTTCACGATGAACCAATCAAGTTTCTCTCTTCGTAGACGCTTCACGGACTGGGAGTCAACTAAAGTATGTCGGATGAGTCGGTAGGCAACAGCGCGGCAGCGTTTCGACGCCCGATCCGAAAGCGAAGGTAGTACTCTACAAAAAAAAAACCAAATGAATCACCTACAACAAATGGCGACGGAGCTTCTCACGCTTGCACCACCTCACCAACATCCAATTCATAGCGGACGCGCATATTGCGCTGAAGTATATCGATCAGCTGCGACATTGTGTCGATCCTAGCACGGCTCAAGTCTGCATCTGTCGCATTTTCCGGAGCAGACGTAGAACTTGAAGGTGATGTAGAGGGCGATGTAGATATTCCAGAATGAGGGGATCGAGAAAGGGACACTAGCTTCCTGAGACACGAGCTGGCCTGCTGCATAGCAGAGCGGAAGTCGTCTAGTGAGGATCGTTAGAACACGCTTTCAAATGAATTTATCCTTCCAACCTCGCTCAGATGCATCCGTATTACGCCTAGAACCATGAGTGATGATGGGCTTGACAGATTTAGGCTTGTTGTTGGACTCAGCGCTCTGCTTGCGAGTCCTTGACGAATCTAGTGGACCATAAGAACGTCAAGACGACCAGACGACCATCGCAGCTCACGAGTCTCGATCGTTCGTGTCAGCGCATTGATCTTATTATTAGCAATCTCGAGTTCGGATTCAACCTGCATACGGAGGGTCTCCTGCGGAGGCTATTCAACATTCAGACATGAGTGATACATGAAGTGAACCCACGGAGAGGTCCTCGATCTGTAGCATATTCTCTGCACCCTCCTTTATACGATTTGCGAGATTGAGCTCATCGTTCAAGATTTTGAACTGTGCAGAATGAAGGTCATGACTAAAGTATCTAGGGATGCATGTTGAGAACAGCTCACAGGATCCTCTCTCTCCCTTTCCGGCTGGATGGGCACACTGGACCCATCCATATTATTACTTCCATTCAAGCCAAGACTTAAGTTGCCGGAGTTGAGAGTAGTTCCACTGAGCGAGACATTGGGACTCAAAGCCTGTGCCTCGCTCTGGCCAGGGCGCAGCGGTGTGAACGCATTTGTTGACGATTGACTGTCGACAGAAAGAGCCGGCATCTACTCAAAATGCGGAGGTGTTATGCAGGATATCAAGCAAGAGTGCAACACGCCATGCAACGAAACAGAGTGTCAATAGCTAGAAATGACCGACTCGTACAGTGTCGCTGTCGGGTACTGCAAGTCCGAGTCAGCAGCCGGCGTTCCAACGTTCACGATCAGCGACCACTTCAATTCTAAATAGACGCCTACATCAGGGGGTATATCTAACTCAAGGCGTACTTTATATATATCAGTTCAACTACTCGACATGTTATTCACGTAATGCAGATAATCCTAACAAATCTACTCGAGGAGGGTCGAGTCATGGCCATTCAGAATCAATCGAGTGTGGAATCGGATGACCTCCAGCAACCCGTCCGCCCGCATCGCTATAAGGGATGACAGCGTGAGCGAAGCACCAAATTTTGGCCGATAGAACGTACCCTCGTTCACAGTGTGTGCACCGTTGTAGCTGTCGTCACCGAATGTGTGTCCGTAGCGGAAAATGTGCTTGGTTAGCTTCCAGTAGTGTCTAGTATCTATACATTCATTCCGTGAGTACACTGAAGTCATAGACCCTTCATACATACCGGTGTTTCCTAAGCAAATAGTGTCAGTCCTGTGAAGTTTATCGTATGAATAAAGTGATCTGCGCACCCGTAGAAAGACTAGGCGCAAGGAAAACCTTTTTAGGAGTGTCTGACCGCTTTGAGGTACTCAAAGAGCTAATGATCGTCCCAGCGAGGAGCTCGTATGGACCGCTGCCAAACGTCGGCGTAACAGGAGCAGGCTCCAACTGTGTGCCGTAAGCGTCCGTAATCTGCATATGTCCATACGCAGCCTCTGTAGAGAAAGGCCCGTACTGCACCCCGAAGGCATCCACAGACAAGTTCATGCCCACCGCCAAAGGTCCGATGGTCTCCGTAATATGAGACTTGACGTCAGAGACGGAGCTACAGGCGTCCTCGAGCGATGAGCATGTCTCGAGATGTGTATACAGGACAAACGGCATACCTGACTGTATTGATTCTGTGGTTCATGATGAAGTATGCGTTCTCGGGGAGGGCATTTGACTTGACACCGCCATGGATGATATCAATGGCCTGCGTGGTTCCAGAGAGAGGAGGGTACATTCGGTCCGTGCTCGCTAGCTCTTCCTCCAACTTCTTCAACGCTTTGTTGCTCTTCAGCGACCTCTTGATCAGCTTCTTCATGCGGCCGGACATCATGGGATCATATTCAGCTTGACACTGTAGCTGCTTATAATATGTAGAGGTTCGGTTCAGGTGTACCGTGTGGGGGTTCGCTTCGATATGCGTGATCAGCTTGGCGAGCATACCAATGGTCTGCGATTGTTATCAGCATCCTGTTTAATGTAGACGTAAGAGTCGCACAGTGTGAAGGGGAGGGACGCTGGAATGTCCGCCAGGACCAGAGAGCTCCACCCGCGCATCCAGCTTGCCTTTCTCCGCAACGGCAGGGCTTGACATGAGGGCATCGCCGCGGGAAGAGTATCCTCCTTCATACAGTATACGTTATGGGGATAGTAGGGCGTACGTATGAGCAGAAGCACGCACCGCCTTCGTCAACAATGATAGAGAACGCGTCTTCGCCATACGTGGGCAAGAGGTAGTCTCTGATGGCAGTCGCACCCTAGGAGTAATTAAGCTGAGTGCCAGGAATTGAAATTGCGCGAGGCCTACTGCGACACCACTACGTTCCTCATCCATGCCGTACGCGAGCACAATAGATCTCTTGGGTTGGAAGCCTTTCTCGAGGAGCTTCTCAACGGAAGTCCTATGAGGCGATGATACACAATTACAATTCAGTTACGTTTAACAGGTTTGAAGAATCAGCTGGGCTCACAATGTACTAATGAGACCGGGCTTGTCGTCACAGCTGCCTCTTCCCCAAATCCACTCCCCTTTCAGTTCGTAAGCGATAGCGATCGACAATGCACACAAAATTACCGCACCATCGTAGTACCCTGAGAATGGAGGATGAACCCATTCGTCCCAAGTGAGCGGCTCAACAGGAACCACGTCTGGCCAAATCACTCAGTCGGCGCTTTGGCCACACCTGGCACCATCAGTCCGTACCTTGATGTGCTGTCAAGAGCATGGGTTTGAGAGTGTCGTCGGTTCCCTGCCAATGGTAAACGAGCGCGTAAAGATTGACCGTTGTTTTCTGCAACTTCGAATGGCTGCCGATCCACTGGGGTCAGTATGCGACGGCGATCACAAAATATCCAAACGCACACCAAGGGGAATCTCTTCTCAAGATATGCGTGCATCTCGCCGAAAATCTCCCATCGAGGGTCCTGACCGGGTGGTTTCAGGTCATCATACATCTGCGTGCTGAGCGCGGAGCCATGAGATTGGGGCCGTTTCAGTCGAGAACAGACGTACGGTATCTGGACAGCTCCACTAAGGCTCCCAACGGCATACATCTTAAACTCCTCGGTAGCATATTCGGCGTCGAGCTCTGCCATCAACTCCGAGGAGGGAGAGATGGGAGAGGACTGGGGACAAGTCTCCGCCATGAAATCGTCATTGAAGGCGAGCCAAGATTCGCTTGCTTCGCGAATGTTGATGCCGATGACATTAGAGAAGACTCTTGCTCCGAGAGCAAAGATGCAGAAAACGAGGAGTGCGGCACGTAAAACCGAAGCGAAGGTCGACTTCGAAGTGTTAGCAGCCTTTGTATGAAGGGCGCGGCCCTTCACGTCGACTCGACTGATGGGCAGCTGAGCATTTCCCATGGGGGTGATTATGTTGGTCACGAGGATATCACTGGTAGGAGGAAACGGTGTTTGGCGTCTGGTCGAGCTCTGCCAGAGTCAAGCGTTGTAGCAATCTCGCAGCATCCGAGCCAAAAGACCTATATACCGAGCCGCCGCGGCTTCGAATCAGGACCACACTGCATTTCAACGCCGAGCCTGGCCCTGTATGATGTCTTCAGGTAAGTTTCCGATAAGTAACGGGACTCCAGTGTGGCCGCACTGCTTATCGTATCCACACTTGGGAAGACTGATAAGTGGCCCAAACCAAGTCGATGACAAAGAGCCCTGCTTCGGTCAGCAGATACTGAAGCTACTATCCAGAGCTTCCAAAGTATAGATCTATCGAATCCCTTCGGCAGAAAATATGACTCATGCGAGTACTAAGTAGTAGAGCCCGAGTCGCCGGGAGGTTCCAGGATGAGTTGATTGGTAAACGAGTCGGGCACCGAGCGCCCGAATACACTACACGAAAGGATGGAAGTGACGGTCTTTTTGCACATTTTGGCAAGGACTATAGGGTTTGATACTTCCGCCGGAAAAACATTCTGCAGCCAACATCATGTATATCTAATCGAGACGGGTCCATAATTGTGAACTACCTGCTGCGGATATGACTGGGCAGATGGTTAACGATCAATGGCCCGGGGGCTGCGTACCCATCGCTGCCAAGTCGCTGCGGTACATGTGCACGACTGGACACAAGGGCACTTTGTTACCGCTCCGCATTGCACAATATCTATCGCATACATGAGCAAAATACACGCTGCAATCGAAGTGTCGCGACAATAGTGGGAAACAAGCCATGAAACGTACCGCCCCTCAATCATCTCTCCAGGCGACCTGCCCAGCTGCCCATCGTTCGCCCCACATCACTCGCTTGTGGTATACCTTTCTCAGCTCTTTGAACTCTCGAACAAAATCGTCAATGTCCCTGCCATTGGTGCTGATGGGCACAGGCTCTGCAGATGAAGCCTGCACGAAATCCGCTGCACGAGCCTCTGAAATATCGTCTTGGGCGGTGGTCGCATGTCTTAAACGCATGAGAAGGAATTGGGGCGTAAACCGCTATTGGCAGCTATGGGTACCACGTCAACGTGGGTATGAGATATCCACGCGCACCTGGTATACTTCCTTCTGCTCCTTCTCTATTTCCTTCCACCGCGCTTCGAGGTCGCGTGCCTCGTTAAACGCGTCTTGGGTCTCGCTTCTGAGATGGTACAGAGATTCCTCCAGAGCAAGGTTGTTCTCTACTAGCTTCGAGATCAGCTCCAGAAAGCCAAAGCGTTTGACGCACTAGCGATAGTCTCGTTTGCGGAACCCAATTCGGCCTGAGCCTGGTACAGGGACTTGACGTGGTTTAATGTGTGGAATACGGCCTGGAAATATACCGGGTCGTAAAGGAGTTCTTGGAGGTCGTCGCGTCTAAATAGAATATCTGCGTTTCAGTTGCCAAAGGTACGACATCAAAATCTGCCTACGATAGATGCGCTAGCTCTGGGAAATCGGCGAGGAGTGGGGAGGACATGGCATTGGGAAGTTGTTGGGAAGTGCCAAGTGCGATCGAGCTAGGGTTAGGGTCCTGGCTACGCCATGGCGGAGCGCGGACCGTGCCGCCACAAAGCCAGTGCCGAGGCATTTCTGCCGGGGCTGATTACTGACCATATGAGTGAAACGGCGCACCGACGACCGCAAGGTCAACACCTTTCCTCTCGCCACCAACCTGCGACGATGGACAGCGCATTTCAACGTCCCCGCCAGAGCAGGCAGCCCATCGTGCTCACCGCCCTCGGCACTCTCGCCGCCGCATTTCTCTTCTGGGCTGCCTTCCTTCGGCCCACTCCCGTCCCTGCGGTCCCTGTCGTCGCCAAGGTAAGTCGGACGTATATCAGCTCAAAATTGATACAAAATTTGTCCACTTTTGAAGGCTATCGCCGTTTTGAAAGGGGAGTCTGGTGCGAGTGGCACCATCACGCTCACCCAGGCATACCCCGGCGCACCCGTGAACGTGAGCGGTGAGCTATACGGCTTAGACCCACGCGCTCTTCGTGGATTCCACATCCAGTACGTGTGCGATATGTCTCAGAGTCCCGGTCATTCTTACTAATATCTATCCAGCACGGCGGGCGACTTGTCTGCCGGATGCTTATCCGCTGGCCCCCACTTCAACCCACTGGGACAGACTCATGGAGCACAGACTGACGCAGTCCGGCATGCGGGCGATTTGGGAAACATCGACACCGACTCCGAAGGTGTTGCACATGTATCCCTCGAAGACAGCATCATCTCGTTGAACGGCCCGATGAGCGTCATTGGGTGAGTTCATAAACGCATATCGAATTTGCTACGGAACGCTGAGTGCAGCAAACGCTCTGCAGACGGGCCATCGTACTTCATGCCGTGAGTTTCCGTTAGTACACATACCTGTCGTGGTCAAGCTGAACATACAATCCTTATTAGGGCCAAGATGATCTGGGCAAAGGCGGCAATGAGGAGTCTCTCAAGACGGGAAATGCTGGCGCGCGCGCAGCATGCGGTGTCATCGGTGCGTTCCCTCAGTTCCACAGAACGGTCGAGATGGCTGATATTCGCTTGCCATTTACAGGGATTGCCGAGTAGATGAAATACCACTGAAGCGTTTTGGCTCCTTGACCAAAATAAAAATATCGACATTGGTGGGCGACCATCCCGCCATGGATCATTACATGTTGATAGTTGTACATGGATTGACGTACTGGATGATTCAAATGATATTCTTGAGTATGTCTGTCGGTCGCACCACGCTCAGCATGCAGCTGTGTTCCATTCATGCATACATGTCAGCCCTCGTGAGTGTATCGATTCTCTGATACTCTGAGCAATCTCGGAAGAACTTTCGTCTCCCAGAAGCGGCAAGCAGCGTGTTGCGGAGACATGGGGAGTATGAATAACCGGGATCACTCGTTGAGACTGAAAATGCGTCGTCAAATCAGAGCTCCGGGACGGAGATACATACTCTGTATTCGATTTCGTGGCCTCCCCCTCCGCGACCACGCGACAGGTGGGAGCAGAAACCACTAGACTATACCATTGGCCATTCTGTAAAGACCCCTTCGCCAAACCTGAAAAAGCTAATCATGCCAGCGTCTACGGCAGCTATGACAACCATCTTCTTGCCGGTCTTCAAGGCAATGAAGGGATTCGTACCTCTCGGCGGCTGAGGATTTTGTGGCGACGGTGGTGTAAATGCCCACTGAAATAGTTTTTGTGCAAGAGTCAAATTAGAAACGGGAAGAGGGGCCTGAGGGGGCATTGTTGTAGCAGCCGATTTCTGCTGCGCGTACGATAGACGTTTACGAGGAATAGGGGGAGGAAGTTCCGGGAGGATGCCAAACAAAGCGGTAAGCTCCACGAGTGAGGGTACGGATGTGGTGCGTGCACTACAGTTCACAGTTCAGTACAACTCGGGGTATATGTGTAATGAATCAGAACGTACTCAACGACTACTACCGAGTAGTCTGGTGGTGGAGGTGCTGTCTTCTTAAACGGCGTCGACGGCTTATAGACATTGTAGAAGATTTCGTAAGGCGAAGGCCCTGCATTTGGCTTCTGCTTAATGTGGAGAGGTACATGGTGTCCTGCAGGTAAGAAGCGGAGAGACTTAAAAAGCGAGCCTAGAAAGGTCCGTCTATATCATTCAAGGCGATCCGAAGATAACAACATACTGTTGTTGAAACCATGGTGCACCCAATTGCCCAACCGCAGTGGTCTCCACCAGTCAAAAGCCCGCGTGAATATTCGCGCGACTCTGCGAAACGCAGATTGTACCGTTGACCATAGTCGCGCGAAGAAAGAACGAGATGGTGAGAATTGTGTAGAAGAGGGGAGTGGAGTCGGATAATCTGGAGTTGGTGGCCTAGCACGCGTCACAGCGTAACCCAGCCGTCTCAGGTAGGAAAAAACCTAAGTCCGCTATGAGTAAAGGAAAAGTCGAAATAAATTTGGCCGACCTGGTATTTTTCGAGCGTAAGATTGTCTCTGCCTATCATCTCAGAAAACGCTTGCTGCACAGACATGGGAACGCCATCGATCTCTTCCAGGCCTGGAGTCTCTGAAAGAGGCAAATTGGACGCCTTCCAACAGAGCATAGCGCCCCGCTCGACGAGATAGATAGCTTCTTCAGGGAGCAACTCAAGCCTTTTCTGTAGCTTTTTGGTGTCATTTTGTGTGGAGGATGCCCTAGCAACAGAATGGCCCATAGTGCCGAAGTGGACGCCTCGCGCTACGGTTACATGCGCCCGTGCAATGTCCGGGTGCCATATGGCATAGCTGATGGACTTGCTAGCATAGAACCATGCGCAATGAGCATTTCAAGAGTCAACATTGTCAAAAAAACATACCTCGAGATCGTCCGCGGCGCAGAAAGCGCGTCCAGCATCGCGTTGCGCGCGCGATCCAAGACATGTCGTTGCAGGCCGGACCCCCCAGTCGCGTTGGGCTCAAAATCCTTCTCTCCTCTCTTCGGAATAACAGGTCGCGCAGCGGAGCTCGACCTGATGGACGAGGTCAGCGCGAGTGAGAGATTGCAGGAGGGATGCGCACGGCAGTTTGGTCCAATCCGGGCCCTGGTCCTCTTCCTCGCCAGACGACTGCTCGTCCTCTTCCCGATCTTCTGGCTTTGATGGCAGCGGGGCTGCGGTTGGCTTCTCGAGGTTGTCGTCCATGTCTGGTTAATGTGCAAGTTGTGCGGAAAGAAATCTACATGAGCGCCTTTTGTTTGCGAGTCATTCGGCGTTACCATACTAAGACAATCGTCTTGAACGGCCTTCACACGGCGACGCTCAGACCTGAACCAGCCGAGAAACTCGGACGAGCAGACAACTCATCGGACGACAAGTCCGCGAGCGGCTGCGGTAGTCGACTTCCATTTACCCATTGCTGCTTCCTATATAAACTACTCTAGATATCTATAGTGTTACCGTGAGTGCGCTGTTGATAGCCCAATGGCGTCTCAATCAAGTCCGACGTTCTACCAATCGCTTGCGGTACGTTTTAGTACCATTGAGCTCTGCGTGGCCAAAATGCCAACAATTTCAGGCGGGTGGTCTTGCAGGAACGTCCGTCGACCTGCTCTTCTTCCCAATTGACACGATCAAGACGCGCCTGCAGGCGTCGCAAGGCTTTATCCATGCAGGCGGGTTCAATGGCATATACAAGGGCATAGGGAGTGTGGTTGTCGGCAGTGCGCCCGGAGGTGTGTCTTAAGCACTATATAACACGTTGAATCATCCTGCTAATGCCCGTATCACGTCGCAGCGGCCGTCTTTTTCTGCACGTACGACTCGTTGAAGCGGACGCTTCCCTTCTCGCCGGACCTCGCGCCCGTCACTCATATGGTGTCAGCATCCGTTGGCGAAGTTGTATGAGAGTCATTTCCATTGGCGTGTCATCATCTTATTAGTCCAGGATGATGCTAGGCTGCCTGCCTCATACGCGTACCGACTGAGGTGATCAAGACGCGTATGCAGACCTCGACGTACGGCAACATGGCCAGCTCGTCATTTGCCGGTGCTAAGCGATTGCTCAAGGATGAAGGCATCCGTGGGTTTTATAGAGGTTTTGGGACTACCGTGATGCGAGAGGTGTGCTTACATATACTATCGTATACCGACGCGGCGCGTCTGACATGCTTGCGCTTAGATTCCATTTACCTCCCTCCAATTCCCCCTTTATGAATTTCTGAAGAAAAAACTGTCTCAGGCTCTAGGTGGAAGACCACTACATGCGTATGAAGCCGCACTATGCGGCAGCTTCTCTGGCGGAGTCGCAGCGGCTCTTACTACGCCATTGGATGTGCTTAAAACGCGAGTTATGCTCGACATGAGAGTGCGTTGCTTCCCTCGTCCCTCGTAGTTCGATATGCTAATTGATACTCCGCCTCAGGATACGTCAAAACATGCTATGCCCTCTTTGTCTGCCCGATTCAAACAAATATACGTATCGGAAGGAATTCACGCCCTATTTGCCGGTGTCGTGCCACGGACACTCTGGATATCCGCGGGAGGGGCCGTATTTCTAGGTGTGTACGAATGGGCTGTCAGCAGCGTCGCGAGTATATAGAGCATTTCGGTGTTTCAACTACATATATGAGTACCTATACTACTGACTTCTCAATGTGAGGCATTTCAAACTATGGAGCAGGGATTAAGGATATAAGATCTCGGTTAGTCTCCAGACTGATTAGCAGGACGCGGCCCTAGACGCAATATCACGCGAGGAAGTTTTTTTGGCTCCGTGCCTTCCTCTGGGATGTCGGACAATGGTAGACAAGGTGTGACGGGGTTAGAGTCGCTTGGGGGAGACTCCAGCCCGGACCGTTTCTGCCTCAATTGATCGGACACTGCCTGTGGTTCCTTTATGGACTTGTTGTCTGTTGCTTGGACTGGTGATTCAGTTTCATCGTTACTCCCGACCGGAGGACTCTTTCGCCCGCGCAAAACCCTCGATGATGGGGGAACAAACGATCGGGAAGATGTGGAAGGTATAAGGTACGATGAGTCGATGGAGGCAAAAGCGGTGAGGGTCTGTTCTATCCACAGTGCAGGTGCAGTAGGCTGCGAAGTCCTACCGCCACGGCGCTTTTTCGCAGCCTTCTCCAACTTGATCAAGTAATATCAGCCAAGAGCATAAAAGGCGACAGAATGAGACTGCGCACTTCGACCAGGTTATTCAAATTCCACCATGATTCGTCCACGACCGCATCATTGGAGCAAGCCAATCCGGTAAGGTGTGCCATAGCTCCACTCGTCAAAGCTCGATCGCTATATCCACCTTCCAGAACGCTAATCACTCGTCCATGGGCGAAACTATCTGCAAATTTGCGTGTGTCTTGCGCGAACCGATAATAGAAAGTAGTAGGCACATGTCGATGATGTCGTGACATTGATGGGTATTCGTGTTCATTCGCATCGAAGCCACAGCTGTGAATTGCATAATTAATGCACGAGTTAGGATCGAGCTAACGAGGCCTACCTGATGAATACCAGGACATCGTCACCAGGTCCCCCTGTCGTCTCGAGAAATTCACCGGCTTTACCCAGTAAACTTGAGTAGGGGCCTGCATACAGCTCGGTCCAGAACTGGTTCTCCGAGTTGTACGGAGTTAGGTGTACGTTCTCGATATATTGTCCGTGCGGCCCATGAATGGAGACCGAGGCTGCTTGAACGAGCTCTGGTTTCCCGTCCTTCGCCAAGGAGTGAGACCAGTATTGGATGACCGCCAGGATGGTAAACACATACCTCACATGGATAGGATAGCACGTCGTGTATACTACCATAGTAAACTTGTAAGCCAGGCTTTCCGACAGGTGCATCTGCTTCCTCCTCGAGATGCTGCCTGTATGTCTCTTCGTTGATTTGCCAGGCTATGGACTGTGTACCGTTCCCTGAAAGCCCAGTTCGCAGATCAAGGCGAGTTTACGTGGGTATTGCATACCGTGGTGCAAGTCAATGTCCAAAATCACCACTCGATTGATACCATGTTGTAAATGCGCTGATAACATCCAAAAGCGTCACAATCAAGCCGTTAAAGAGATTGAATTGTCTGACCATGTGCTGCTGCGACGCCGACATTGTTCACAAAGCAGAACCCAGCAGGGCTGTCCTATGGCACAATGAAGTAAATTCCATTATCAGAATAAATCACTGTACCTCTCCACAGTGATGTCCAGGAGGTCGAATCCCAACGAAGGCGCGAGAGGCTTTCGTACCTGCCTCCGATACGCCGCGGCTTGTTGACTTCAGAACCGTGTCTACAGCCTCACAAACTGTGCCCAAAGCACCTTGAATAGCATCTATGGACTCAGGACATACTGCCGTATGGACAGTGTCGGCTATCTCACAAGTGCAAAATATCAACAGTGACTGAACATACAGTATAGGTCCCCTTGTGATAAATGCGAGGGGATTTCGCTGTCTCCGCGACTTATTGCGTCCTTGCTATACCTTGCCCAACGCTTTAGGCTCCCCAAATACATGTCCTCGGTTATATCACCGTGAACGAATTTGACGGCAGGATGGTTCAAAAGGTCGAGAGTGGCATCACTGTGCACGAATTCAACGCGTCCTTGCGACAGCTGGGGCGAAATCGAGGAAGAGGTGATGTTTAGATGCTCCAAAGCTGCCGTAAGTTCGTCCGTACCCTCGGTAGGATTTTGCACACTTGAACTTCCACTGAGGCCTTCGGACTTCACTGCAGTTTGAGCCGATGTAGAATTGGAATTGTTTAAACGAGCGAACGCCGCAGCTAGGCCAAGATTGACCGCGCGCAGGCGCTCCGGACGTTCCACAATGGAGGATGTATCCTTAGAGCGTATAAAGCGATGCTGTAAACATGCCTTTTGCAGGAACACAGCCGTTTTATCACCACTGTTCGGCACCATACCTCCACACAAGACAAGCCTAGAGCAGTTGTATCAGGAGGTGGGGGTCGAGCTTCAAGCTTCAAAGTTCAAGTTCGGAACGCGCCCTAATAGTAACAGTCGCGTTTGGCGTCACAATCATGTGACGAGAGTTAGTTTATAACATACTACGCAATGCTTACTCCATATGGCTATTACTTAGCCTTTCTTGGCCCAAGTGCCCGGATAAGTCCTATGAGCTCGGAGTCGAGCACACTCTTCCCCAGCGCGCGACTCGCACATTCTCCAGTGCCCGCACTATCATCGCCGTTCGCTTCCTCCCTGCCTCGTGGAGGGCTTCCTCTTTCAAGTTGTGCTAGTTGCATATCTCTTATACAGCCCTGTGAAGCTATTCCATGATACGGCACTGTACATTCTGAGGCATGGACTTCCCTCTCGATGCCAGGAGTGGCGCGATCACCTCGACTCATGACACTGGTCAAGTTATCACTGCTGGAGCGGCATTTCTCAATGTCCAGGGATTTGTTGATGCACCGCGCGAGATTCAGATTTCATCACAAATGCCTCACCAAGTCAGTGGCTTCATCCGTCATAGCCAGCCCATTGGCGAGAATAGTCACCAACCACTGCCGAACGTTACTCTCCGTCAAGACGCAATGACTGCCCCATCCGGGAATGGCGACCGTCATGTCGATAGCTCTGCATTGCCTCTCCGAGACAGATCCTTACATTCGAGCGCTCAGGTCCCGGTGTCTCCCAGCTCCCCTCATGTTGTCGACATACAGAACAGCAATAGTCAAGATGATACCCCCCCTCTCGCATCCGACTCCGACACTCAGTCAGATACTGGCGACTCAGATGACGAAGATTACGACAGCAGTAGCAGCATGCCTGTCTTGCAGTCCGTGTCCGACTCTTCAGAATCTGAGCTTGACGCCTCCGACTCTGATGACTCGGCATGGGACGAACCAGCTTCTCAACGTCAGCCTCTGATCACTCCAGTTACAGCTGCCGGTGCAGTACGGGCTGGCCCTTCATACATAATCAGTCCACAACGACAGGCTGGCCTTCCATCATATACAACTAGAGATATTTTCGAGTCGGAAGATGATGATGATGATGACGACGAGGACGAGGACGAAGATGAAGACGAACCTGACGTTGAAGATGAAGACATCTTCGATCTGGAGGATTACCTGGCCCATGGTGGTTTCTTGAATAATCCTCCGCCTCTAGACGTAGGTAGCAATCCTCGCCTCTCACCATCTTATGCTCAGTGCTGGTCCAGATCCCCTTTAACCGACATCTCAGATCTCGAGATCTCCTTGACTTGCTTCTCTCTCCGCGCCGCAATGCTGTGGACAACGACCCCGTACGCGCGGAAACCCTATTGGAAGGACTAGAAGTGATACCCGAGGAACTTGTCCGCCGATACGAGAAGCTGCGATGTGGTCATGGCGAAGACAACGACGGGTGTGCCATCTGTCGTGACGAGTTCTTCCTCGATTATGTCATGGAGCCAATAGAACAGAAATCGTCGGCGAGTGATTGTGCTTTTTTTGAAGCGCTTCCCTTCCATATGCCTCCGTGCCAGATCCTCGCATTTCCGTGCCCAGGGAGACATTTGTTCCACAGTGATTGCCTTTCCCCTTGGCTTGCGCGCAAGACGACATGCCCATCTTGCCGTTTCGATATCGATCCCGAGTCGCTGACACTGCGTATACCTGGGTCATCCATGCTTGATTTTGATGGAAGGCCAAGGGCACCATTTCCGAAGAGGTGGGAACCTCCACGAGTGAGTAGACTGAAAGAATGGTTGGAGCAGGAAGAGCTTGCGCGTCGAAATGGAGCGAATTGCTCGAAGCCCGTGCCAGTCGATCAAGGTATTTAATCGTGAAGCCTACCTACTTGTTACGGCATTCTGACAGTAGGATCATCCTATAGATGATGGAGCTGACGCCGACGATGAACTAGACGAACGAGAAGAGGTTTGGGCTGATGTTGAAAGACAAGCGTTGAATTCTGGACAAACTTCGCCGCCACCAGATGCATTCAGTGACCGTCACACGCCGTCGTTTTCCCAAATTCCGCCTCTGCCTCCACCTTTGCCTCATAACCTTGGACAATACCCCCGCCATTATGCCGCCATGCTGACCAGGGACCTGCGCGAGGCTGGGTTAGAGGATGTGTTCACGCGTGCTTCACGCAGGGTGCGCGTGAGCTTCGGTGTGCAGACCCCGCCCTCGTTTATGCCTCGAGAGCACCCCGGGTCCGGGCCCGCCAGTGCAGGCGCGCAGGCTGATTTAGATTGATAACCGTTAAGTGTTTCGATCAGGATTGCTTTCTCAGACTTGTTTGCCGGACATACTTACTTCAGCTCATTGTAATTTAGCAGCAAAATCGAAATTTACTCGCATCTGTGTAGGAAGGGGTTCTCACTCAATGATATGTGCTCAGGGAATTGTAGGACCGTCGCATCAATAATTTTATCGCCTCATTGCTCTGCAGACTCAAATGGTAGAGCATGGACCGCGTCTCGCGGTACCGCTATCATCGAGTTTGCTCTACTTGTAACACTACCTAAGTATCTTATGTATTAGATGATCGGGATCCAACATGGAACGTATAACGGAATCTAAATTGTCAAATTGCCCCGTTCGTTTCTCGTTTATATACATACATGGACGAATTTTTCTCTCAACGGACTTGCGTTTCCGTCCTCTCGCTGTTTCGTTCTTTTGCTTGAATGGCGTTGCGACGTGGAGAACTTGGTGAGTATTCAACACTAAATCAAGTACAAGATCGATCGATGATGCAAATCGTTACTAAGACGTGATAGTGTCACTTATAATTCATCCCCACCCATCAGCGTAGCTCTGGTTCATACTCGATACCTTGTCGCTGCCCCAGAGTCAAGGCCAAGTGTGTCTTCGACACCCTCGCCGCCTTTTTTTTGCTCTTCACACTGCTCTCGCGCTCATTGGGAGCATCCTCGAGCAGCTGATGAAAGCGAGGGGCGACAAGGAACCCACTGGGGCCTTCGTGTCCTGCAGTACAAGCTCACCTGATAATTGGCGCAATCATGATCCCCAAAGCGAAATGGACCAAGTATTAAGAGCCGAGTTGCTTAGCACTCGATGCAACAAAAGACGGCCTAATTTGAGCTGTGACGGGAAATGAGGAGCTGAAATGGCTCGTCTGCAACCCCTCTGAGCAAGGTCTCATTACCTGAAGACAGACGACATCAACCAGTGCGTCCTTACTACAAAACTAATCCTAATAATACACAGAGAGAAGGATGAAGGTACGCGCGACATTTCAGCATTACAATAATTTTCCAACTGGTTTCAGCCCGTCGAATCCATTGTTATACACAAGCTTTCCGCCGACATATGTTTGCTGGACCCGCCCATACAGAACTTGGCCTTCATATGCGGTCAGCTTATTCTTGAAATTAAGCGACTCTGGCGTCACCTATGATTTCCATTAGATCTCTCGATACCTCGATACAAATGAATTATCACATACTGTGGATTTTGCGCTGGGATCCCACAATATCAGATCAGCGTCGTAACCAGCCTTTATCTGTCCCTTTCTATCGCCTAATCCAGCGTGTTTCGCCGTTTGGGTGCACACCCAATTAACGATACGCTCGATACCGATACTGCGTTTGCGGCATTCCGTCCAGAGTAAGCTCAGGCCGAGACCAAGCGTGTTTATGCCGCCCCACGCATGCATGATGTCCCCGTCCTCTATGTGTTTGAGCGAGGCAATGCAAGGACTATGGTCGCTCACAACGCAATCGATCGTGCCATCCAAAAGTGCCTCCCACAATTCTTCCCTGTTCCCTTCTTCGCGGATCGGGGGACAACATTTGAACACGGGCTTTCCGTCGGGTATCTGTGCTGCGGATAGGCACAGATAGTGGAAGCACGTCTCTACAGTGAGAGGAAGACCAGATGCCTTTGCTGCTCGGATGAGGGGAAGTGCGAGGGCTGCAGAGAGATGAACAATGTGCAAGCGAAGCCCAGGGTATTGGCGGTGGAGGTCGTTGATCAGGGAGATAGCATTGACTTCCAGCTCTTGAGGGCGTGATTCCAGGAATGTAGCATAGAGGGTAGGATCTTGGGTTTCAGTATGAGGGTTGTGTGAGTTGCCCTCGAGTTCCGCGTGGAAACATAGGACGGTAGATGTGTTCTGATCGAATGCGTCATGTCAACAGTTTAACGTAGGCGGGGTAACAAATGTGCACCTTCAACTCTTCCATGGCGAGATGTAAGTCATCCGCTGTGACACATGGGAATTCCTGCAAGTACGTCAGAAAAGCGCAAGGACATGATACAGTGGGGGTCGTACATCGACACCACTCTCGATGAGAAAACATTTAAATCCCTTCACGCCTGCATCTATCAAGGGTCTCAGGTGAGACTATCGTGCCACTACTATCAGAAGTGTTGTAATGCGCATGCAGAACAACTCAAAAACCTGATTGCCTGGGATAACACCACCCCAGAAGGCAACGTCAGTCCAACACTGGTCCTGAGCTGCCTTCCGCTTCTCCTCCAAATTTTCGACTGTAGTGGTTGGCGGGATAGAATTCAGCGGCATGTCAACTACAGTGGTGACGCCGCCTGAGGCGGCAGCCCGGGTGCCGGTCCAAAAACCCTCCCAGTCAGTACGGCCTGGCTCATTGAGATGGACGTGAGCACTGGGATTGTACATCAAATCAGGAGCACCACAGCATGCCTCTCAAAGACCACGATACATACTCGACGAGACCTGGGAGGATTAAATTATCTCCGGCATCTACCCAATCTATATCGTCAACAGCGGCAGGGAGTCCGTCGTTCACTTGAAGAATCTTGCCCGTGGAGGTATCGACCACGATTGTCGCGGGCTGAATTTCACCATCGATCAATACCTTTGATCCTTGGAATACACATAGGTGACTTGACATCGTTTGGGCAGATCCAAACACGTACTTGAATGTCGAGATCGCTTTTAGATCATACCTACTACCACCGTGCGATGCCGTTTTGGGAAACCGACGTGGTTGCCGCGATCTTGGTGTCGATTCAGATCCATACAACATAACAATACAAGGTAATTGGAAAACAGCATACACAACATCCGAAAATACAAGAACACAAAGCCGAAGACGAAACACACTAGTTAGTTACAAGGTCTCCAGTTTGTCCATCAGAATGGCCCATTCCACGATGGTAACACCTTTCTTGAGTGCCTGCTCTTTGACCTCACGGTCTCGAGTAGCCTCGCTCAGCCTCGCTATAGCCCGGAGATGCTCCACCCTGTGTATTCCTAATTCTGAGAGGATAGGTGATAGGTGCAGCAACGATGGATCGCACGACGCCAGTATCAACTCCACTGGCGAGGACGTATTTGTCGCCTTTGATCCGCTAGTATCCCCCATGGCACTGGCTGTTATCGACGCCCTTCGCTGATGTAATGGTGACATCTGCTTCTGGGGTTCCGGCTGTGGTAATTGTGGACTAGGCGAACTGCCCGTGCTGCCTCCGCTGCGAGGTGGCGTCTGCGGATACATCACCATAAACTGTCCACAGAAAAGCAATGATGTCAAAATCAAAAGGAGGTAAGATAAAGATGTTCCTGACTTCGCTTCTAGTATCCTGTGATAACCGCCTTGAGGCTCGTCGTGTCGGCGACATTGGCGCCGAGCGATCAAGAGCGTTTCGGCGGGGAGGACTGATTGGAACAGGACCACCCGTTTCCATGAACGGAATCGTACTCCCGTTCTCTGAACGCGCATAAATGGGTGTCGGAAATCCCGCTTTAGAGGGTTGGTGATATGCTACCATGTACTGTTCGGTAATCAGCCATAGTATCTGAAAGTTTTCTCCACACTCACCTCGCTTCGCTCGTACGATGATTTCCCTGTCTTGACCATGGTCAGGACACTTCCCCTCCTTGGTTTTGATTCAACACTACTGCTTTTGGTTTGGCCATCACTTACGGTCCATCGAGGATGGGAATCGTTGGGTGGCGCTTTAGCATGCAAATGGATATTTTCCCGACTTCGCGCACCATCGTCTGTCGGAGTGCTACCTGCGCTGCTGTCTGCGACGCGTTCCCGCCAGAGGGAAATGGTGCGGCTCGGGCCATCCTCCATGATCCTAGACTCCACAAGCTCGAGCTTTCCCCTCTTATCGCTGACTTTTCGCCCATTAACAGGCATGTCTTGGCTGCCCAAACTGCGCCGCCCTGAGCCAGTTCTCGCGCCTCTGCCACTCTCGCCCCCATTGATGTTGCGGTTCGGGTGTGCTGCTTCCACAGGAGGCTTCCTCTCTGCAGCACGGAGATCTTCCTCCGCACCCAGCTTCCTCTCCATCTCGTTGACGTAGTTTTGGTATCCAGTGACAGACTCCTCGTAGTCCTGTTCGCGACGCACGAAGCCAACATCCCAGTCCGTTGGGGCCTCAGTAGTCATTGCGTCAAAAGTGTCATCAAGGGCGATACTCGTGGGTGCAGGAGGCGGGTGTCGCACAGATCTTTGCATAGACCCATACTGGTTATATTGATACATGTCTGAAGCTGTCGCGATATGTCAGATGAAGTGGAAGGCCAAAAGGTAGAACACGGGCAGAACATACCACTGGCGTTATCCGTGAGATACATGTCGGTCAGACCGGGGTGAGCTCAAGACGACTAGTGAAGTAATGTGGGGGGCGCCCATCGATGCGGTGGGGTGGCTGGTTGACCGTATCAAGCGAAACACGCGTATGCAGCGTGTTTGGGCACGTGTATCGTGCTTCGTGATCACGAGCTCCTGAAAAGAGTTGTCCACTTCCATTGCGGCTGGAAATGGACGTCCTTTTTGCGAAGCTCAGGAAGCCATTTTTTGGACATATTCAAATAATGCGGCAAGGGTTGATCACAGCATTTATTTGCATTGAACATGGCGTGCATCGACCAACAGGCTCAAGTTTGCGGCAGGAACGGCACCCTACTGTTCACAACTGCGGTGATTATTAGCACTGGGGTAAACGAATTACAATGCTACCTGCCATGATAGTGTGAATGAGCGAGTTTCGGCACCTCGCAGTCCAAAGAGGGTGTGTTCTCTCGGATGCATCCTATCATCGAAGTACGACAACTAAGCTATGGCTGAGAATGTAAATGACACGACTCTCGAGAATCTGATTAGAGCGACGCCACCTATGTCACCCAGTGAAAGTAATGCGGACTTGCATACGTCGTCGTGAGACCATCCGATGTTTCCCCAAGTAGTCCGCCTATACACGAATGGCCGGGTGCCCATGTGTCATAGAGCGAAAGTAACTTGAAGTAGGGATATGTTGTCCAGGACACGCTGTCAAAACGATAAATAGATTCAAGAAGACACACTGAAGATCCACTCACATGCAGGAAATGAGCTTTGGAACACACGAAAAAAGCACTCTCCCCAAGATATGTTTCCTTCCCTCAACGTGATCGGTTATAGGCTCCTGGCGGCGAGCTGGTGAATCTGTTAGTCGATTAGGCAGGCAAAGCCATGTCTCCCAGTGCAAAACATAGCCAGCAGGCTGGATACCAGTTGTGGATAATATTGAACACGCGCTCTACTGAAATGAAGGCGGTTACGCGAAAGCCAAGAGTGCCGACGACCGCAGTCCCACAGCCACAGACGCGTTATACACGTGTCACGCGTGACGCGTCGGGGGTATATAAACAAACGACGCGCTTTGTTGAATGCTATCAACAGCTTGCCTTCTGCTTCCATCAGCAACGCTCAGTCGCGCTCGCCGCCCCTCACAACTTCCTCCAGCCTAACTTTTCTTCCTCGTTATACTCCGCGTACCCAATGGCTCGTACCAAGCAGACTGCTCGCAAGTCCACCGGTGGAAAAGCCCCTCGTAAGCAGCTCGCATCGAAAGCTGCGCGCAAGACCGCTCCCGTGAGTAACTCTGGAGCTCATTGCGCACGTGTCTTTCGACTCTGACACGTCTTTTCCACTCCAGACCGCTGCCGCTGGTGGTGTGAAGAAGCCCCATCGTTTCCGTCCTGGAACTGTCGCTCTCCGAGAAATTAGGCGTTACCAGAAGTCGACAGAGCTCCTTATTAGGAAGCTGCCATTCCAGCGGCTTGTTCGTGAAATTGCACAGGATTTTAAGGTGTGTTGGGTGGGTGCTATGTGCTGGTGTATGGCTTATAGATCTTTCGCCTGCAGACCGACTTGCGCTTCCAGTCGTCGGCTGTCATGGCCCTTCAGGAGGCTGCTGAGGCTTATCTTGTCTCTCTGTTCGAAGACACCAACTTGGCTGCTATTCATGCCAAGCGAGTGACAATGTGCGTGTTTTGCCTCCTGTTATTGTTGTATGTTCATTCCTGATGTACTGGACAGTCAACCAAAGGATCTTGCTCTGGCCCGCCGTCTCCGTGGCGAGAGGAGTTAAATTATTCCTGTTGTATGAGTGGAGAGGCTGCTTTGTACGATCTTTTTTTCTATACTTATGTCTTTCTGCGAGCATCACTTGTAGCCACCTGTATTGGGTGATATATTGTATGCCGACTACGTATATGCATCATGTGTATCCCTGGATCCGATGTGCAATGTGAGCTTGAGTTACGGGGCCGGATTTTATGATTAGAGTCCAATGTCCGAAGGCGATCCGATGGTGGTGTATGATAGTTTGTGCCCAGCAGCTCACCCATCTCGTTGATGGTTATTTGCGTGTTGAGTATTGTCGAGGATATCCGTGGTCAACACGGTTGTGCTATGCAGGACTCGGTACAATAAGTAGCTGTGTCTTGCAACTTGAAGGTGAAGGATCCCTTTTGACAGCAACACAAGCTCAATTTATATTGTTCACCACTAGTGATACCATGTTGTACTTATGTTTTAATTCCTTCTCTCGTGCCGAGAATGTACTCCCGCCACTGTGCCTCGCCGGAACCGGTGATAAAATCAAATACGCACGATCCAAAGTTACGCGGGGGCGGGCGGGCTCCGCGGTCCGCGGTCCGCGCTGTCCGGTGCGCGTCATTTGGCGGGAGACTTGGATCGGACCTGACTCGGGCTGCCCCCTTTCCGTATTTCTTGAGATGTTCTGAGGCTTTGCCAACACACCTTCCTCGTCAGGGACGCATTCCATGTCGAAGATAGCTGCGCTCCGGCGCGCTCTCTTTTCTCCTCGCTCCCTCGTCGTCGTATCCGGCGCGACGCTCGTGGCAGGCGGCGGTGGATACTACTACCTCAACTCCGGGCCCTCGTACCCACCCTCGACCAAAGAGACGAGGAGGCCCCCTCCGCCATGGACGCCTCCATCTAGACAGCACATGATAAATGCGCTCAGGGCTTCTGGGAAGAAAGAGGGCGACGCGTACCCGGAGGAGTTCGATCTGCTGATTGTTGGCGGTGGGGCTACAGGGGCGGGTGTGGCGGTCGATGCTGCCAGCCGAGGTTTGAAGGTTGCACTCGTGGAGAGGGACGATTTCAGTGCAGGTGGGCCGTTAATATGCTTTCAGAGCCTGGGAGGAAGAAGAACTTCGCTTCGACCTCTCACGTCGCGAAGCTCGTCTGCTCCGCGATCACATGAGGCTCGTGTCGACACGCAGTCTAATGTGCTTTGTTGATAGGAACGTCCTCAAAGTCCACGAAATTGGTCCATGGAGGCGTCAGATATCTGCAGAAGGCGGTCATGGAGCTCGATTACGAACAATACAAGCTCGTAAAGGAGGCACTCCATGAACGTCGGATCTTCTTGCAGACAGCTCCCTATTTGTCTGCTATGCTTCCCATCATGCTTCCTATTTACAAGTAAGCGCCGTACTTCTTGAGTAGGCCGCCAATCTCAGGGTATTATTTAAGGTACTGGCAAGTGCCGTACTATTGGGCAGGTTGCAAGATGTACGATATCCTAGCTGGGAAGGAGAATATGGAGTCGTCGTATCTCATGAGCAAAGGGAAGGCCCTCGAGACGTTCCCCATGCTCAAGCAGGACGGATTGGTTGGCGCTTTAGTTTACTATGACGGTTCGTGAATCGGACTTGTCTACTCAATTGCCAATTGATTAAGCATCAGGGCAACATAATGACTCGCGCATGAACATTGCTCTCATCATGACTGCTGTACAGCAGGGTGCGATCGTAGCAAACCACGTTGAGGTGACTGAATTACACAAGGACGTCAACGGAAATGGTAAATTGTATGGTGCTCGGGTACAAGACAAGTTGACAGGGAAGTCGTGGGACGTGCGCGCAAAGGGTATCGTCAACGCGACGGGTCCCTTCACGGATGCCTTGCTCACAATGGACAATTCGGCACATACACCGATTGTGCAGCCGTCATCTGGAATCCACATTACTCTACCAAACTACTACTCCCCGCGGACAATGGGACTGCTCGACCCTGCAACATCTGACGGACGTGTAATTTTCTTCTTGCCATGGCAAGGCAACACGATTGCGGGTACGACGGATTCACCAGCGAAAGTGGAGACAGAACCAAAGGCGCAGGAGGAGGAAATTCGCTGGGTCCTCGAGGAAGTGCGGCGTTACCTCTCCCCAGACATCAAGGTCCGGCGCGGTGACGTTCTCAGCGCATGGTCCGGTTTGCGTCCGTTGGTTAGGAATCCGAATGCCGCAAGCACAGAAGGTCTGGTACGGAATCATATGATACATGTGAGCGACAGCGGGCTGCTTACAATTGCCGGAGGCAAGTGGACTACCTACCGCGCTATGGCCGAGGAAACGGTGGACGAGGCTATTAAAGTCTTTGGGCTCAAGCCACATACTGGCTGTGTTACCGATACCTTGCGACTTGTTGGCAGTGATGGATGGAGCAGGAATATGTTCATTGGTCTTATTCAGAGGGTAGGTTTTGCTGTAGTTTCTCCACCCGAGCAACCCTGATCTCGACCCTGCTTGCAGTACGGTCTGGAGACCGAAGTTGCCAAACATCTTTCGGATAACTATGGTGATCGCGCCTGGACTGTCTGTTCACTCGCGCAGCCAACTGGAGAAGCGTGGCCACTTCACGGCATCCGCTTAGCTCCAGGATATCCCTGTAAGTCTTCTACGCTACAGTAGAGGTGTACTGCAGATGACGTTCGTTTCAATAGTTATCGAAGCAGAAGTGCGCTACGCCGTCCGCCATGAATACGCTCAAACTGCCATCGATGTCATCGCACGTCGGTGCCGTCTGTCTTTCCTCAATGCTCAAGCCACTCTAGGTGCTCTCCCTCGTGTAGTGGATATTATGGCAGAGGAGCTTAGGTGGTCCAGAGCACATAAGCAGGAGGAGATCGAGAAGGCGACCAGGTTCCTCTCGAGTATGGGTCTGCCACCAGGTGCATTGCCGACGAGTTCAATGTTTCAGCCGAAGGGCCTCCTCGAGCGCGTTGAAAATGTGCTCGGCATTGGCGCTGGCGCACGTAGAAGGCGTGCTGCCCCAGAGATGATCTACAGCCGTGCCCAATTCGAGACTGGCGAGGTTGACGCGCTGCGTGAAGCATTCGCGAGCAAGACGCACGGCGGTGCGGACCTCCAGGCGCGGATGAAACTCGACGAGGTTCTGAGTCTTGTCAAAGGGTTGCCAGGTTACGAGGGAATCAAGCGCAAGGACTACGATTATGTGCTTGAGGAGGTTGGATTTTCAAAGGTGTCCGACGTTGATTTTGATCAGTTTGTTGAGGTATGTGGTTTTCTCGTCCTGTTGATGAATAAATCTCACTCTTGACGTCGAGATCTGCGCTGAGCTCCGGGAAATTCTCTTTGCGTCCGCATCCACAACCCCATCGAAGATCGAGCGTCTGAGGATTCCGGTTGAGAAGAGCGGTGGAGGCGTTTGATCAGTTGCCAATAAACATCTCCCTTCGAAACTTGAATACTATGTGTTTCCCTCGGATGATATTAATTGCATACTTACCGACACCTGATACATCTACCCTACAATCTGTGCACATTACGCGCCGATACACAAGTCTGTCGGTCTTCCTCGACGGTGCATTGTCCGGCGTAGCTGCCAGCTGGGAACGTATACAGTAGCTACGATTAATACAACCATGACAGTGGGCGTCTATGAAGATGTGGCTTAAACAGAGACTCCGGATTGCAGTCTTCTCTCGCGACTTGTACAGCTCCTGCTCTTCTTGTCGTGGGCTGGTCTTGTTGGATTCGGGGCAGCACTCGTTCTCTTGAATTCAAATTCGGTGACATCTCTCTGACCTGGGTTGATGCGGTTATGCCTCCAAATGTTCTGACTCTCAAGCAACGGCTCGCTGCATTGTCAACTTCTCTCCCCGGTGCTCGCCAGGACACCCCTCCCCAATCTCCCAGCGGGAAGCGACGCTTATTCTTCAACCTCCCGACGCGGCTACATACTTCCGATGGCCCTCGAGAAGGCGCGGGGCAGGACGATATCCAGGACGTCATGGGCAAGGTGATCTTCCAGGCAGGCGTGGATTTTGAGTCAGTGCTCCTCTCCCGTTGTGTGTCACCGTTATGAGAACGTAGCGCGCAGAACTCGACCAATGTGTGTATCAAAGGCTTTGTTCTGGGTGCAGTGACGAACGCAGCTCGCTCGCAGGGTCGTGATGAACGCATCGGCGCTGCCAGACCCGCGGGAGGTAGACTATGACATCTTGCTTGCGTGAGTGCCTTCTGCTGTGGTTCTCATTCGGCAACTGAAATGGAAGAAGACGCATTCTGTCATATCTTGATCTGTATGGTGGGTTCTCGCAGGGTCTCATCCTGTGGCTTTTCTAAATAATCACACAGTCGAGTCGGATTATACCGTTGTCTTCTTTGCTGCAGGCGGGAGACATACACCGGGCTGGAATTGGGTATGGAAGGCATATCGCAGCCTCAGTCGCAAGTACCGCAAAAATCTGAAGAAATTGGTATGAACCTTTTTCTGGCGTGGTGCGTATACCCTCATCGTCATTTCACAGTTTATAGTCCATTCTAGTTTTTTCACGAAGAGTATGGTTATTCGTTTGCCTAGTGAATGGTGAAGTTGACTCGCGTTACTAGTGCTATTCTCATTGGCTGGCACCATTATCAGGTAAGATTGACGATGGCGTGCCAAGCCGACATATTCACAACACTCCTCTAGCCCAAAATTCTTTCGCAAGATAACTTATATTAATACACTTTCGGAATTGGCGGCTCAGATACCACTTACTCAGATTGATATACCTCCGATGGTGTACCAGTGCGTCCGCATACCGCCTCTTCTGGTGTTTTCAGACGTCATAATACTTGTTCAGGGAGAATCTGAAGCACGAGAGACAAGTTCAATTGCCGACACCTAGTCGTGCGGACCTGTTTGGTGTGCCGCTCGAGGAACTCATGGGCTTTGATGGGGAGAAAGGCGGGCTTCCTCGAGTTGTGAAAGACTGCATACAATATCTGCGACTAACTGGTATGTCAATCGTGCGTTTCGTGATGCGATGACTGGATTGATATCCGGTGTTTCAGGCTTGCAAGACGAGGGGCTTTTCAGAAGATCGCCTAATTCTGCCCTTTTAAAGCAAGTGCAACAGGCATATGATCGAGGTAACATCTGAACCTGTTGCCCAGCCTCTCCTTAAACTGATTTAAATTTGCAGGACAAGTGGTATCTTTGGAGACCTTTGGGGATCCTCATCTTGCTGCCGTACTATTGAAGAAGTATCTGCGAGATCTGCCGACACCACTATTTCCTGAACATCTCTACCCGATAGTATCCCGGTGTCCTTCTCCTACAGATGACCCCACCGATCTAACCTGCATTACATATTTGCGCGACACTTTGCTCCCAGAATTGCCACATTGCTGTTATATTCTACTGAGCCATATTCTGCGTGAGTCATTCAGCCTTACGGAAATAAATCATTCGTAACCTATTGGTGGCAGAATTATTACACGAAGTATCTCTACGATCGGCGACTAATCGGATGGATGCTCACAACCTCGCCGTCGTCGTCACCCCCAATCTGGTGTCCGGTTCAAATCCACTGCGAGATGTGATGATGTGCACCATTCCGACCGGACCCTCGCCCTTTGACGCTGCTCCGTCATTCTCCCCCACAGGCCCGATCTTTGGCAAGACGACGCTCGGGATGCTGATTAAGCTGTGCGTTCAGCGATATTACGAAGTTTTCGACGAAGTGCACGACCGCAGCGAGGCGATCCCGCAGGTGCCGTTCGAGCCGCGCCCGTCAACGCCGTCTTCGTCATCGAGCACGCGCGTCCACGACGAGGAGGAGATCGACGATGCGATGCTCGTGATGCCCATTGGTCCCAGCTCCAGCGCAACTTCCGGCTCCAGCAAGCGCAGCTCCGTTGGCGCGGTGCCGTCTGCGTGGCACAGCGGCAGCGACAGCAACAACGCCGGCCCCGTGCCGCCGCCGCTGCCATACAAGCCGCGGGACTTGAGTAAGCGTGGGCCGCGTAATGGGGCGGGGCGCTCGGTGAACACGACGATCGGGAAAGGTGCAGGAGCGAGCGCGAGCACGCACGGCGGGTTCGGGACCGCGCACCGCGCACGGTCGACGATCAGCATCGAGCGGGGGACGGCGGCGCGCAAAGGCTCGATATCGATTGGGCGGGGCACGTCGCGCAAGGCGTCGGGCGCGGGCGTGGAGGCGATGGGGATCACGGCCGCGGGGTTCTTCGCTGCGCCTGAGACTGCGCCGCCGGTCCCGGTGCTGCCCTCGCAAGTGAGGGCGAACGGGGGCCACATGCCTGCCGCCTGAGAGCGTGTCGCGGTGTTGATGGTGGGGTCAGTTGTTCCTGCGATGGGGTGTGAATTTGGGCTGTTCTGAGCCAACTCGGAGCGGTTTCTGCGGGCAGACACTGCGGCCGGTGGTTTAATGTAATTAGTTGCGATAAGTGTTCTATGCATTATATATTCGTGCCGCGCGGCATACTTTCCGTTTGAACTGGTTAGGATGATTTTCAAGACATGACAAGCAATATCTAATGGGTTTTTCCATCGAGAGGCGTACGCTGAGGTGAGATAGACGCGTACTGAGTAGCCAATGCGAACTTGTGTCACTCGTCCGGCTGCAGGTGAACAGATAAAAGACTCGGAAGCGCCTTGGTCGCAGCCGAATTGCAATCTTGTGTCTTGTGTAATACTTAGCATGTATGAACTAGTCTCATCAATCGCGCATGAGAGGCACAGAATGGTGAGACCGTCGTGGACTAAGGGATATCGACGTGAGGGAACTTGTTTGATGGGGTCAAGAAACGGCGGAGTCGTCTCGGCCAGTTATATTTTTCCCATTGCGACAATCTTGTGTCTTCGAGCGAGAGTCTATGGAAGAGTCAGTCGTCCATGATCAGATCGGCGAAGCTAGCCATCTGAACATATACTAGAGTTTGAAATGAGAGGGACATGGTTCGTTTTCACATATAATCATTATGTCACATCGTCTACTTTCGTGCGATACGTCTTACGAAGGTATGCGCAGGATGTGCACTATATGGTATCCGAGCGGTTCTTGATGTGCGGAGTCTGGGAAACAGCATCGTAGTCAATAGTCTAATGAGAATGGCGTATACATACTGCGAATGGCGGCATGCATGATGACCACTGCACAAATCCAGAGATTTGCGCGATGCGACTAATGTTTTAATACATGTTAAAGACTCGTCTAGAGCCGCAACATCAACCTTGTCAATAAACACAGCGGCCTCCTGGGTGAACCGTCAGCTCGAGACATATCTAAGCAATGCACGTACCCACCGTACAATTAAAAAACGTAACTATAAATACCTTTAGCACTCAAAAGATGGATTCAGTATATGATGGAATGGCGGGAATCTCTCATCATGTGGCATCACATCATCTCATGTGGTCGGCGGATATTTTATTCGAATTGAGTGCGGGACCGACAAGTTTGCTTGGGATCATCATGCGGTTTGGCATATGTGGGATGGGCCTGTTAATAACTCCGCACCGGTGCCGAGGGGCGCTCTTGTACGAATCCTGTACGCTGCCGTCCGTATATTCTGCATACGCCCGGGCCAGCTATTCGAGTAGAGTCTTGTGAAGATGCAAGAGCGGTCGCGAAGAGCGCGGCCGGAGCAGACGGGCCCGGAGCGGCCGCGTCGACACTCGGCTCCCACCAGGCGGCGGACGGGACCACGTGGACGGCCGAGTCAATGATCCGATCTGGCCCAATTGGGCACATAACGTTGTGAGGTGGCTGACTCGAGTCAGCGTATAAAACGCACAAGGACCACGCTGTGGACACGCCCTCCCCCGCCCCCCCCATCCTGTCCCCGCTCGTCTGAGTAGCTCATTTTCGCTGGTGTTCTGCCCTTGTTCTGCGATTTCCTCCGTTTTATTTTGCATTTTTCTGGTGTTTTCTGCCGGACGGTGATGCGGAGGTGGGAGGCCGTGCCGGGTGACACGGGGCGCATCAAAATGGTGAGAAAGGCGTCGGTGTGTTTTCTAGTTTTCCCTCTTTTCTCCGTTTTCTGCAGTTGGCAGCCCTGTGGCCTGCGACAGGTGCTGTGCGAGTAGCCTACCAATGCAGTGCCTCTCTTCAGCAAGCATACAGAGGCTGTACGGAGAATTATATTGTGGTGCATGGAAGAGCCTAGGACAGAACATCCAGCACCGCCTAGACCCTGAGCAAGTGCAATACGGTGTGTCCACTGGCTTGGTTCTGCTTATGAGATGCGGCGGCGGCGACGTCAGCAGGGCACAGCGTGTAGGCCTCATCATGCTCTGCTGCCTCTGACTGGCTCGCGGTGAAGGGGTTATTCTGGCCGGATTGTCGAGAGCGGCGCGGTTGACGTCGGTAAGTGGCTCGCTGTTGTTCGAGTCGAGCTCGCGGCCTCGTGTTGATGTATAGCGGTGCAAGCACACGACACCGCGGCGGGGGGTGCCCGCGGGGCACCCACGCTCCTACCAGCGCTCCGTCCATCGGCGAACTGGTGTTCTCGTGGGCCTGCGCACGCCCTCGAGGTCGCTATCTGTTCGTCTGCGGGCGACGGCGCATGTGCTCGATGGCTGCGCAGGCCCGTCGGTGCAGGAAATCGGGCTGCGTGCTGCGGGCGTACGTGGCCAGGCGAGGGTCTGGCAGGACGCAGTCAAGCCACCGAGCGATATCGATGGGCGGGGCGGCTGATTCTGGCTTAGATTGGGAGTCGAACCCTGTGCCCAGCGCGCGCACCCGCGTGCTCATCCTGCCACGCCCGCGGTTCTGTCCGCCCCGGGGCGACCACGTCAAGATACCCATCCTACCTTTGCTCATGAATCGCCCGCGTATCGCCACTGTTCCAGCCGACGTCGGACGTGGGCGCGGACGCTCGAGCTCGCAAGGATCTCAATAGTGATATTGGCGTGGACAGTGCGGCAGCGGCTTGGTCAGTCGAGGCGGAGGACTGACTCACGCGGGGCCGTCTTGGGTGCCGGACCAGTACCCGCACTTTTTGTCCCAATCCTGTCGGCACTTTCTGCTGATTGGTTGTTACCGTTTATCTTGCCCGTTTGTGGGCGCAATTTGCATTGATCTGCCCCAGATTTGGACTCTGTTTTGCATTAGGCGCCAAGAGCGCATGGGGACCTGCCCGATTCAGGAACCGCTGTGGTAGGCGTCTCTGAGCTTGAAAACGGGAGATAAAATGAGCGAGTCGAGTCAGATCATTGCTCCGCCTTCCCTCCTCCCAACCACCACAACAGTCGTGCTCGAGCAGGTAGTCACTGTTCGAGACGTCGGAACCAAGTCAGAGTACTGTGAGTCCCTCTGTTTCCCGCCAATCATCCCTGTTCGTCGTCTCCGCCGGCGTCTTCCTCTCCGCTGTCCGCTATTTGTAGAAGCGTCAGTCGCCCATATTCTGTCTTGAGCATGTTTGCATCCTTCGCACTGCATGAACAGGCGAACGCGGTCCCTTCTGTGCAAGAGTCGCAGTCTGCGTCTCCGAACTGGTTCCCTCGCACAGACGTCGGTACTTCCCGGCAGACTGCGCCTCACCCGCGATGCAACATCGCTTTCACTGCTACCGAGTCGCCGGCGGACGTTTACAGGCCAGATGGCACATTTGAGAACACTGCGCTGATTTCGGACCCATCATCTTCCAGAGCACACAGCCGGTTGATTAATTCTCCGGCCTCCCCGTTGTCTCCTAACCCAGGCCCCTCTTCCACCTTGTTTTCGAGGCAGTACACACCACAACTACACCGCCGCGAAAATGTTCGGCCTTTCGTTGTAAGCGTGTCGTCCCACGACCCCCCAGGATCATCTACCGTCAACCATGGTTACCCTCGCATCTCTACCCTTGAAAGTGGAATACTTTCAAGCTTCTCACCGTCTCAAGATGGCTCGATAAGCTCTCCTAGTCACCGTCTTCGGACACCTCACCCGGTCTTCCAATCGACCTCGGACTTAGCTGCTCACCATGGCATCCCCCAGTTTTTGCCACCCGTCCCTCGTACAACTCGATATCCTTCTGTGCCCTCTACGGCCTCTCGTACAGAACCTGTTCCTGCGTCTAGCTCTACAAACAACTTCGATTTCGATACACTCTGCTCGTCTTATTTGACCATGTTGTCGCAAAAATCTGAGGAAAGAGGATCTGCTGCCCACAGCGCAGATGTTTCTTCGGAAGCGCCTAATAACGGTGCGGCGGTTCAGGCGTTAATGGAAGTCCTGCAAGGTAATTGTCGTGGATCACCATTTCCGCATTTAGTGCTCAATGCTTGTGCTCCGTCAGCCTCGCCTGAGTTCCAGATGGCGAGCGACTTCAACGACTACTTGACCTCGCCCATGGAGGACTCGCCCTGGGATGACCTCCTCACCACGCCTGCCATCGGTTCCACAGACGTCGCATCGGACTTCTTGACCAGTCCAGCGATTGTCGATGGGGATGACTTTGACTATGGTGGCGCACCGCTATTCGCAGACTCCTTGGGGCTGACGAATGCGGCCTACGATTCCCACAAGTCTGTCGACCGTTCTATCCATGCAGTGCCTGCGCCTGGCTTTGATAACATGTACACTATGCCCTCACCCTCGACTCCCGCACTAGACCCCGCTTCTCTACATCCGTCGCCACGAGCACCTTCCATTCCTCCACCAGCGACGTCATCTTCAACCTCTCGTCGGCGTAACACTCCGACGGGTACGCGCAAAAATGTCTCGCCCGAGTCTCTCGTTTCTGTCGACGCCCCCATTCAGCCACGCAAGTACCTGACGCCGTCTACTACATCGCGCAAGGATATTCCGGCCGTCTTCGCCAGGAAGCGGGCCCGATCCCAAGCGTTCGGTGACGATGATGATCTGGATACTGCCGATCTCCCTCAATCGGACTTGGATGCGATTGAGGCAAAGCGGCGACAAAATACCCTAGCGGCGCGGCGGAGTCGGAAGCGCAAGCTAGAGTACCAGCGGGAGCTGGAAGTGACAGTTGAGCAGGAGCGGGCGAACAGCGAGAGACTGAGGGCGCAGGTGGCGATGATGGAGGCGGTGCTGCGGAGCCACGGGCTCGAAGTGCCAGTCTACAATCCTTCGTGAACGCTGAACGCTCGTATGTCTCTCCTTGTCCTATGCTGACCTCAACTGTCGTAACTTGTGTTCGTGAGCATACTTTTATGTTTTTATGTTTCATTTAGCGCTATGGTGCTGCTCTCGCTGCTACCGCAGGGCGGCCTTCGTTGCTCCGTGTATTGTACCACACATCCCCATTCCCCACCCACTTGTAAGGAGCACCGTCGTATCCCCTTCCCCATCGTTACAATTGACATCCACTCATCATCTTCGTCTTTTGTCTGTGTTTTGCCTATAGCTTCGTAATCGACGCGGTCAGCGCGTTCGTCTTCCTCATGTCGTACAATCTAGTGCTGCAGAAGTTGCAGTTTACCAATGTTTGAATCAAAGAGATTGTTGCTGCTTCTGAGCACCGTGGTGACTCTGGGATTGCGTCTCCAGTGACGCGAGTGTGATCATGTGTGACATTTTTATCATGACTCCAATGAGAATGGTTCAATCGCAGTACAGTATGTAACGTACTTTGACTCTGGACAATGAATCAGATATTAGGTGATAAGACACTCTGATTCAAATTTACAATATGTTTCAAAATATTTATGGCTAGTATACTTGGTTGCATTGGTAACACTATAAAACCCAATCTGTTCCAAATATGAAAGAAATGCAGCCAGACCCATGTCACCGGTGTCTGGGTAGCATTCCAAGGACCAGAGGCACACCATGTAACCCAAAGCTGGCCTTCTCGGCTCGTCGTAGCTGTAGAAATGTGAGATTTAATCACCCGATTGCTTTCCATTTTTAGGTAGCTACGCCTAGCAACTTACGAGCGCCGCGGCGAGTAGTCGAAAACACGAACGAAAAACCACACCAACATACATCATTTGTTGTACCATACCATGGCGCAGAAATTTTCGAATGATCAAGTCAGGTTGCTGGCTCATAAGCGGGACGGGAGCAGGCCTATGAAAACCTGCGCGCCGCTCGAAGAGCGCCTGAACTTGAAAATGGGCTCGGCACGAATGTCATCTGGCAGAGAATGGCTGAAGAATGCACCTACCGGTCCAAAGGGAGGCAAGTGCGTAAATGGCAGCTAGATGCCGCCGAAGGCTTGTTTCTCGGTCTGGATGGTTCTGTCATTACTGGCACAGGATCTGGAGAAAAACCATCGCTTACATGTTGCCAAAATTCCTGGCCGAAATGCACGACAAACCTCTACTTGTAATTTTTCCGTTCGAAGCACTGCAACGTGACCAGACCAGAAGATTATTTTATACATATGACGGACAAAAAATCGAAATGTTATACTTGGTGCGCAGACTCACCGGTTTGGAAGAAACTTTTCATTCATGTTTTCGACTACTCGCGGCGACGCGCTCGGAAGGCGTAGCTACCCAAAAATGGAAAGAAGTTGGGTGATTAAATCTCACATTTCTACAACTACGACGGGTTTCTGCAAGGCTACCCCAGACGTGTCTTCGACACGTCTGGGTACAAGACCGCGTTTGCCAGCCTGCCTAGGATAGTATTCGCAACACCCCACACAAATGTGTGAATCTTGTGAAGAGATAGAAACTTGCTGATGAATTCAACTCGTATCATACAAAAGCCCTCAAGTGTATCATGTATATGGAACCCGGGAGGCCAAATGCGCCCTTTCACTTCTGGGTGACCAATAGCAGAGATCATTGTCAGGAGTGCTGATGTACATATGAAAAAGAAGCGAAGACCTGTACAGAGCGCCACAATAGAGGTTGGAAATGAGAACGACTGGAGATGATGTCGAAGACGAGAGGCAAGACGTCCTAAACAGCGATTGGCAAGCAAGTCTACTGTCTAATTATTTCCCCGAGTCGACCAGGCGATACCAAGTGATAAGTACCTGCTCCGTCAAATTATTGGACCAGGCGGCCGCAAATAAATCCGAGATATAATTAGACTGCCAAGTTCATGTATCATGCGCAATGCGAAACAGTGTGTCGTTTCTTGTGCGCAGACGCTTTCTAACTAGCTGATCGCAGCCCATCTTCCCCTTCTGGCAACAGAGCAACAGAGCAAAGTTGTTGATTCACGCCCAGATTGCGGCGCCGATAAACCCTGTGAGCACAGAGATCCATTTGGAAACTGCACCAAACAAAAAACAGAAGGCTCTGACTCACCAGCAGGCTGCAATTAGCTGCTCGCCTCACCTTCCAAATTGCGCGAGCCGCCGTCGCGTCAGGACAATGTCGCGAACACATTACTCATCCTCGCGTCTGCGCTGGTGCTGACAGTGCACGCAGCGTCTCAAGCACCGTCGAGCCAATCGAAACCCGCCAAGCAGCATCGAAGCGTCCTGTAACCATATTATCAACTAACGCGTTGCAGTGTTACCATCGCATCGTTGCTCCTGCTTATCGATCTGACGGTTTCACGCCATCGCGAGCCTTCACGGACGCCCTACGGATGTCTCACCACAGTCGCAAGCGTGTGCACCCACGACTGCCTCCGCCTGAGATGTGCTTAGTGATGCGTAGCGTCTTCTTCTCCTGAGTCAGCAGGCCAGCAGACGCGCCTTGCATCATAGCAGCGATGGTCGATATAAATGGACTGTTGGAATGGAAGAAGATGAATTCATAGTATAAGAACTGCATTGTCCTCTCGAAACCATCGTCTGCCCTCTCACTCACCTCAGATCTACTCCACACCGCCATGTCTCACGGAAAGCAGTTCACCCTCTACACCCACAAGGGCGGCCCCAATGGCTGGTGAGTACGATTGTCGACGAGTTCGCATGCGCGGCGCTGACAGCGTCCCGGCTGCAGGAAGGTTGCGTTCGTCCTCGAGGAGCTCGGCCTGACGTACGAGAGTGTCTTCCTCGATTTTGGCAAGCAGGAGCAGAAGTCCCCCTCATTCACCAAGTACAACCCGAACGGGCGCATCCCGGCGGTGATCGACCACAAGAACAACGACTTCGTCGTCTGGTGAGTGGTGCACGTCTGGACCATTGCTAAGGTGCTCACGCCGCGGTGGGTGCACAGGGAGTCGAACGCGATCCTCATCTACCTCGCTGAGAAGTACGACACGGCGCACCGCATATCCGCGGTTACGCCTGAGGACAAGATCTTCCAGCTACAGTGGCTCTTCTTCCAGGCTTCGGGCCAGGGGTGCGTCTTCCTTCCCCCGATTGTCTGCGATGGCGATCGCTAACCGATTTCGCAGCCCGTACTTCGGTCAGGCCATTTGGTTCAAGGTCTACCACCCTGAGAAGCTCCCCAGCGCGTTGGAGCGTTACCAGAAGGAGACCCTGCGTGTGATCTCCGTCCTCGACGGTGTCCTCGCTAAGCAGGAGTGGCTTGTTGGCGGAAAGTTGTCCATCGCCGACATCTCCTTTGTCACGTACGTCCGATCTCTGCGACGAACGCGCTATTGGGCTTACCTATGTTGATGAAGGTGGAATAACGCTGCTGTGGGCGCGATCGCTCCTGATATCGAAGGGGCAAATTTGGAGAAGGACTACCCTTCGTTCTGGGCGTACGTAGCTGGCCCGCTCTGATGTTTTCGCGATCTGACCAATTTATTTGCAGTTGGCATCAGAAGCTTGTGGCCACGGAATCTATCAAGAAGGTGTTGGAAGCTAGGAACTCCGTCCAGTAGAAGCTGAGGGCGAGGGAATTATAATTGGATCATAGAACTTGTAAAGTAGCAACTTATACCACTTCGGGCAGACGAATGTGCCAATCTGTTCAGCCACGGAGATCCGAGTGAGCATCTGAGGAGAACACTTACAAGTCTCTCATTATGATATACCGATCAACTGTGAACAAGTCTAGTCTCCAAACTACGAATGCCTGCGATTGACTATTCATTTCTTCACTCACGCACTTTGGGCCCATCGGGCGGTAATTTGTGCAACCAAAATGGCCCTAGGAGGATATTGGCACAATGCTTGGTCGCTTTTATCTTAATCAAAGAACGCACCGACAGGATCGTGCCTATCGTGCTGCACCGTAGTCCATGCACCCAGGACTCCAAAACTTGATCGGACACCACCAACCTGGATGCCTTCAGAGCTAAATCGAGTAATGTTTCAACTTCTTTTATACATAGCCTAGTGTAGGAAATGCCCACCTCCATACCGCAAGGCCATGTTCACCCGATTTCTGCAGGTAAAGGCTCGAGGTCAGTTATTTATTCTCATGGAAAAATTCGCTCCATCGCACTCACAAAATGCCAGCGAATTTGGTTATCGGGAGTAATCTTGACATACCCGACCATCGTAGCGTTGGTGTTCGCGGTACCCACGAAGTTGATTTTCGGTCGCGTCGGATGATTAGGGTCGGCCTCTGTCGAGATGACGCGGAGTTCGACGTCCATGCAGCGGAAGATCTCCACAAAGTCAGGGTCGTCAAAGATGGCAGTATGCATAGGACCTGTATCGGAGTGCTGAAAAGGACGTGTGACTACTGTCTCCCCAGATATACAAAACACTTACGTCAAAGTGATTGTAATTGTACACTGTTACCGCAACGCATGTGCTCAGCACGTACGGGCACACGAGCATAGATTCGCCGCTCACCAAGAAGATCGCGATGATCACAGAAACAAAACGAGCACTGCCAAGTGCCCTTGACGCCCGCCCAGTCCGGCTCCTTGTTCAAGTCCAAGCTGCGCGGAATAGAACTTTGGCAAAATGGTAGGCTCAATGGATATACGACGAACAGCTGCAGCGTCGTTCTGTCCAGGTCCCGCTGAGGCAGGATATGCATCGACATGACGTGATGGACGGCCCACACATGCTGCCAGTTCACCCGCCCGCTCCCGTCATGTGCGAACGGGCCAAACTCGTTGTCCCATCGGTAGTTGCGCATTGCATAGACGTACGCCCGGGATTCAGTGCGGCGCGTGGGGCGATAGTCGCGGTTCGTCAGCCCAAAGTGCGCGTGCAGCCGATACTTGAGCTGCTCCTCCTTGGGCGGAAGCTCTGTAAGCCATGCTGGATGGTCCAGGAGATGGCCTCCCCGCGCGAACCAGGCGAGGTTGAATGCGGGATCCTCGGAAAGGGCATCCTCTGTTGGGGGGATGTTGGAGATGAGGTCGACGAGTGTTTGGAGGACGGCGTGACGCTCGTCCGGTGGACACTTGCTCGGGTCGTCCATCACTGTCCGCGCCCTGATGATCCGCTGAAGGCGCGCTCTCCAGTCGACGTCAGCAGACAAGGGCTCGCCGAGATTGTTGCGACACTCGCGCGGGTCGTCGAGTGATTGAGCGAGATAGAGACTGCGCCAGAGATGTTGATCTGCTGGCTCGTATATGAACCTGCGGAGTGCAGAGCAGGCTTGTGCGATCGCGGCCACATCTAGAGGGTCGGATTCGACAAGGATTCGCTCTAGGATCTCGGGAGGCAAAGCGAGGAGGCCAGATGCCGATTTGGACATATCAGTTTGTTCGCGTATAGTCTGTGGAGGTTCATAATGTGAAGCAGGAGCGATCATCGTGCACTGAGCGTAGCGGTGCCCGTGCCGTACACTCGAAAGAGGTGCTACGGGTAAGAACACATACTTCAACTTGTGAATTGTGTTCGCACTTACTCGCGCTTAGCTCAGCGCTACGGCGACCGTGGTCCGAGTCCCCTCGAAGTTCAACTTTTCAAGCCAGTGGGCGAAGTGGACACGGCAAAATATCCGCCATCCACAGTACTGACAATGGTATCGCATCGCTCGACGACAACATCGGAACAGCAATATCTTGAAGGGGTCCGCCTCAAGGTGCTCAGGTCACCCGACGTAGTACAACAGACTCGGAAGTGTAGGTAACTGCCAGTGAATCGCCCCTGGACCGTGGCCAGACAGCGCCGCCGGAAGGCAGGGAAATGACTTGTCCCTTGCTGCCGAGATCATTACTCTGGAGCAGGAGGACAATTTGGGAGCAGCCATTTTTGTCCAAAAGAGGGTATGATCTCATCTTGTTCTTGCGTCTCGTACTGATTTGATTTTAATCTGAAGCAGAGCCAATATTTGCTTCACCACCAATTGTCCATGTGCAAGACCACACTCGCCAAATGCCCGTTTGACTCCCTCTCTAAGCTGACGAAGCCACCTGGCCAACACGGTTAGTCAGTGTGCGAACTACAGAGAAAGTGCAGCCAAGTATCCTGGCTGAGCACACAGCCATCAGTATGATATTAGCTCGGTATTAGATTCAGTATGAGTCTTGATAACAGGTTGAGGCATCCTCGGCACAGGATCGGACTCGAAGTGGAAGTCACCCGAAATATGGCCCTTATGTGACACCGCCGACCTTGTGTCGAAACTTTAACTCTGAGTCCGATGGGGAAGTTCCGCCGGGATCGCTTCTGCAGCACCAACTGTGAGTAAGTTATGTTTGATAGCTAGACCTTTCAGCGATGACCATCCCAGGGTAACCGATAAGCCGGCCGCTCACTCTCGAGTTACTGGCTGAACACTCGGGTTGGATTTTCGCTTGTACGGGAGTAGGCCTTCTCCCGAGCAAGAAGGAAGCATTGCGACTTAAGGGTCATTTGACCGTTGCTTTAAATCCAAGCTAAGGAGCTGACCAACCTAGAGCATCTTAGTGACCATACTGGCAAGAGCGAGACGGGCTATCCATCTCACCGACGGGTGATTTCCAGATCTTACACCGCGAGAACCCCTCATTGTGTTTATGGGATCAATCTTCCGTGTGTAGCTAATACAACAGATTGACGTATCATTGCCCAATGTCAGGCTTCCCTTCTCAGCACCTGGTGTCTAGGCTGCGTTTGCGCTCTGGCTCTCCGCCACACACAGCAATGGAATTGGACGAACTACACTTGTCAAGTGCTGCAAGTGATTTCGATTACCATGTAGCTTCTGACGGAAGTGATAATACCCAAATCACGGGAACGGACAGTGACGGTATTTAATCCCCAGCAAAGAATCTGTGGTGATTCTTCTGGGGTTGTGCTTGGATTGATTTACCGTCTGTAAGTTCATCCACAACAGCAGCTTGCGTATGTCCGATCGTCCGAGTCCGACCATGTAAGCTCTCACCAGAAATCAGGTCTGCTCTTTGACTGACGATGTCTCTTCGGGCTCAAGCAGCTACTGCGGCGGTTGAACTTCATTCACTGCCTGTTTCTAGTCGGGAATTCGTTTCCGCAAAAGGGATTTCTATTTATCTTGGGAATGCTGGAGTCCATCAAGAGCCCTTCCACATGCTGTTCTGGATCCATTCTCTGTCGAGCTCAAGCGCTCGTACATACTCGGGTGATTATCTGGCTGCCCAGGTTCAATATTTTCCACACATAACAACGTCGGACAATAAAATTGCACTTCCTCACTTTTGTACAGACAGAATACGTGCCATAGGTGTCGCAATATCAGAGAGGTGTATCCCGAAAGCTCCCTGTCGTGTGTGCCAAAAGGTTTCTGTCGTCGCCCCTGCTGCGAATCCTGCCGGTGCCCCTCGCCTCGCCGCTTGCCGCGACCGCTACTACGTCCACCGCTTCTCTCGAATCCACTTGCTTAATTCCGCTTGGTACTTTCAAAGGAGACGGGTACGAATTTAGGACAAGGCCTTTTCATAACGGAGAGCAGATCTGGCAAACAATACAAAGTTTTGCACCTCTTGAAATCTCTTATTCATATCGAACAAGTACTCAATATGTCTGCACGTGTGGGGTGCTATTTACCCTGTTTCATAGTAATCGGGGCACGCGCAGGGAACGTGAAACGAGAATCCAGACCAGAAGTGCGTGGCTTCTGCCTGTATGTCGCTGAAGCTCATATCCTTTCATAGCGGATACTTGTGTGAGAAGGAACCGTTATTTTTTCTTTCGCGCGCGGATGAAGATAGGAAGCAAAATTCACATCAGTTGCATACACACCTAGACGCAGCAAAGAAGCAACTGTTTGTATGGGTTGCGAATGGTTGGGGCACAGTATAGAAATAGGGCAAGTCTCTTTCAGTTGCTCGAATACGAGTGCAGTCTCACGGTGTAGGTGTACAGGAGTATAAAAGCCCTTCAGCTGACACCGTGCCTTCAGCACTTCGCTCTAGATCCACCAGTCCTTGTCCAGTTATCGTGAGTCCTCTTGCCTCGAGAACTCGTCGTCATCTGATCGCGTTTTCAGAATATGAAGTTCACTATCGTCTTTCTTAGTGCTGTTTTACTGATCGCCGGATACGCGAAGGCAGCCGACGATAGTTGCTGGTGCTACACTGAATCATCGAATAATGTCAATGATATTAGCACTCTGCAATGCTGCAACAATAACCGCGGAATATATTATTCCCAGTCCTGCTATTTCGACAACGAATTTACAGGGAGCTTGAACTTTTTACGCTGCTGCCAGGCGTCTCATGGGACCAGCAATGGTGTCTGTGAGAGTCAGTGATTTATGCGGAGAATATGCTCTCGATGCTAATTCAACTATCCTACGTTAAGAAATCAGCCGCGATGACGAGCCAACTGCCATACCAACCGAGTATGAAACCATCGACTCCGCCCGTTCCACTTGAACCAAGTGCATGCTACAGGTAAGCTGTCCGACAGGGTGGCTTAACCATGTGGTTTTCGCAACGCCGCTGACACACATCACTCTTACAGGCCGGTCCGTGTAGGAAAGAATGCGGCTGATGAAAGCGATTGAGAATTTGTTGGTCCCTTTGGAGTCATTCCTCAAGTCTGTGAAAAGGGTCGGTTTACTTTCGTACATCGTTGTCCGAGTAATGTGACTAGCCCTCACTGGTTGTTGAGTATTCAAGCAAGTTTCACTGGCAAACGACATGCATCATGATTTTGAGCGACCGTGTCCGACAAAATTTACGTTTAAATTGTTTGTTGCAGTGCGTTCTCGAGAAATACGACAGGCTCTGGCTTCTGAAACCCACAAAAGCACCTTTTGAGTAGGGGGCTATTCAATGGCGGTGTATTATTTTCATGATCATTATAGTGCGAACAGCGGGACACGCAATTGCTTTTCACACTACTCCTCAAAAATGCTAAATCTCATGAACCCAATGGCTCATGGGTAAACACCTGACCGACCATGGCTAACTTGATAGATTGGCTTAGCTAAATAGGATCCAGAAATATTTGACAAGACGTCAGCCTGGTTCGAAGACAATCTTCGCTGCATTCCCTGCTCCATTGAGAATGCTCTTAATGGAGGAGATATAAGGGCATTCATGTTGAACGTACTGGTGTAGGACAGTCATGCATTAATGCACCACATGTCTGTGCTGAGCGCAGACCGCAAAAACGGAATAAGATGGCTACAAGAAATCCAACACAGCAAGCACTCATTCGGGCTACAGGAGTTCAGTATAGATACAAGAGCAAAGAATTCGATAGCGACAGCAGAAGCAGAAGATGGTCACCGCTCTTGGTCTCCGTTCAATATACTTCTTGCCCACACAGAGTCTCCGGCCAACCGCTCGGCGAAAAACTCACCAAGTACTTCTTGTAGCTGCTGGACGATGTGTCCATCTGCCTCATTAGTCCGATCTAGTGGAATCGGCGCCGAACTGGGTGGTTGAAGCACTTTCAATGCCTCCTGTGGTATCTGTTAGGTGAAGCATTGAAATAAAATAATTGGAGATTGACCATGACTGTCTCTGCAATACCACCATCTTCCCCCGGCATACACTCACTCCCCACTACTTTAGCCCCACCCCCCTCTACGAGTCCCTTGCGAACGGCTTCCTTCCCTATGCCTATAAGACCCCGTATTGCGCCTTCCCGTGTGCTCCTGCTCTTTCCAGAAGAGATAAGTGCGAGCAAAAGGGTCTTCATAATCCGGGGAGGCAGGGAGGGGTATGTCGTCGAGTATTGCGTCAGCAAATGCGACAGGATCTGTGAAGCGGTCGTGCGAAGATGCGCTGCATGCGTCGGAGGAAGAGCAGAATGCAGGAGAATGGAGAGAATGGGCGGGAGAAGTTGGTGGAGCTGAAAGAATTTACATGAGATGGGTCGATACGAACTGGTCTGTGACTCACGTATGGTTCGACGAACAACGTCGTGTTATCGAGGAGTGCACCGATAACGTCCAAAAGCACCTCCAGCACCCGCCCATCGCCTTCGCTTTGCGCCGCACCTTTCAGCGCGCCGACCACGCCCTCTCCCACCCATCGCACCAGGTAAGGGAGCAACGCCTGCAGCCCCGCGTCATTTCGCAGGCTCGCAAGCGCTGCCGTTCGCTTAGCATAATCTGACGTCGTGGGCGGGAGTAGCGCAGACGTAAGGCGGGTATAATACAGTTGCAGCTCGCGCGACAAGACCTGCTTAACAAGTTGTTGCTGAGATTGCTTCCTTGTCGCTTGTGCAGGCGACGGCCGGTCGGATGAGGGTGGCGTGAGGGGGAAAACGGTGCCCCGTGTCGGGGAAGCCAACCTCCCTGCTTGATCGAGATCTGTATCTTTTGGAATGGCAGGGGGATTTTCGGGGATGAGTGGCTGGACGCCTTCCACGGCGAGCCAGTGAGCGGTCCAGCGTGGGCCCTTTGGTATGGTGAGCTTTTCTTCCCGAAGAATCCGGTCAAAGTCAATCTCTTCGTCTTCCACGAAATACACTGGGCCCGCTGAGGGGGCCTGCGAATGTGGAAGTGCTCGTCGGAATGTGGGCGGGTTATGTGGGGAGTGGCCATAGAGAGGTTCGATATTGAGTACGCGCAGTGCTTGGTCGATATCGGAAGTCGTCATTGTCGTGCGGCGCGCATGTCTCATGAAGCGAGCGGCTTCCTACGACGAGTCAGAGTGGAAGAGAACAGGAGAGAGACAGCGCACCTCGACGACTTGGTGTATTCGGTACTCCACATCGCTTGCCAGGGCTGACGCGACCAGATCAGATAAAGAAGCGATATTGAGGGATTCCGATACATCCTGAGTAAATGCACTGCGAGGTCAAATTTAAATAACTAGTACCATGAGTACAGCTTACTCGAACGATATCCGGCTTCAGAATACCTGTGGGTTGAGCAGAGGGCAGCCTCAGTTTCTGGTTTGGTTTGTTCATGAATATCCCCAGGCTGGGATTGATTAAGCAAGTCCTTTTAAGCCCAACAGCAGCAGAAGGTAGCAAAGTAAACAGTAAGCCCCAGCTATTCAACGTCTCGGAACAGCGCTGCAGGGAGCGGATGTATATTAGGCGCCCGCCTGGTTGCGCATTCACATCACATGCGACGCGTTTCCGCAGACCCGGATCTGCTGCCCAGTGGCCACTGCCCCGAGCGCCGTCGAGGCCATTGGCAGGGAACTCGCGGGGAACCGAGTTTCGCATCAGCAATCACACAGTATGTCGCCGAAAATCCACTTGTCGCTGGCTGCCATCCCTACCGACGCGGGGTCGGCCCTTATTTGTTCCCTGGCCTCGAAATCTGCCTGCAAAACTCTCTCGCATCATGTCTCGGTCATTCTCTTTGGGTGAGATAGCGCAGCACAACTCGAGCAGGTGAGGGCATGGTTCGGCACCATTCTGGTTGTTGCTGAAGTATATCCCTCACAGTTCATGCTGGGTCATCATCAGCAACAAAGTCTATGATGTGACCGAGTTTCTTCCCGTACGTTGAGTGCATTCTCGCTTTCTCGGAAATGTATCTTACATGAAACAGGATCATCCGGGAGGAGCAAAGATCATTCTGAAGTATGCAGGGCGCGACGCGACGGCGGCCTACGAGCCAATTCACCCTCCGGATACGCTAGACAAAAACCTACCCACCAGCAAGCACCTCGGAGACCTGGACAGCTCCGGAGCTTCTGCCCTGCAGAAAGAACAAGAATCGCGCAAGAAGACGAGGGATGAGGTTCGCGTGGAACAGGCTCAGGCGCGCAAACCTCCCCTCAACCAGATACTCAACCTGCGAGACATCGAAGTAAGCTCATTCTGCTAGAACCGATCCACCCCTTATTGACGGGCATCCAGAAAGTCGCGCGAGATGTACTCACATACAAGGCATTAGCATACTATGCGTCCGCTGCCGACGATGAAACAAGTAGGTCTGCAGATTGGCGAAATGCTCAACCTACTGAGCTCAATTTCTAGCGCACAACGAGAACGCACACGCCTTCTCGCGTTTCTTCTTCCACCCCCGCGTTCTCCGGCGAATCTCGCAAGTAGATCCCTCCACGACCATCCTCGGCATCAACTCGTCTATCCCGATTTTCATCAGCGCAACGGGGCTCGCGAAGCTGGGCCATCCTCTCGGTACGCGACACCCTGCTCCTGCTCACATCGAGCTCTTCCTCGCTAACAACCACTTGTTGAATAGGCGAGGCTAATCTCGCTCGCGGCGCAGGGCGCACATCCATTATCCAAATGCTCTCCACCTACGCCTCGCTCTCCGCGTCGCAAGTTGCCGCCGCGCGGCTCTCGCCCTCACAACCCCTCTTCTTCCAGCTGTACAAGCCGCGCGACCACGCGCTCGCTGCGGAGCGCATCCGCGAAGTCGAAGCGCTTGGCTACCGTGCAATCGTCCTCACTGTCGACGCGCCTGTTGCAGGCAACCGCGAGCGCGATGTGCGCGCGCCATTTGAGCTGGAGGCACAGGAGCGCGAGGCGGCGGGCGGGCAAGGTGGTGAGATGCCCCGCCAGCCGGAGCGGGTAGATGAAGATCTGGAGGAACAAATCAACTTGAATGGAACTGTCGGCTCGTCGCTATCGAACGCGGATTTGGATATGACATTCACGGAGGTCTGTTGTTGTGTAGTGGTACTTGCGTCAGCACGATCTGACTTCGCGCAGACGATTCCCTGGTTGCGGTCGGTAACGAAGCTTCCGATCATGCTCAAAGGTCTGTACTATGCTCGTGTTGTATAGTATATACTGTTACTGACGAGGAATTGTAGGTATCCAGTGTGTTGCAGTGCGTTTGTGCATAAGTGAGACTGCGAGCAGCATTGACACTCTTTCTTTAGGATGCAGTGCTTGCCGCAGAGGCGGGCGTCGATGGTATCCTGTTGTCTAACCACGGCGGTGAGCTTCCATTTAGATCTGTTAAACAAAATTCACTGACAGCTTCTTCAAGGCCGTCAATTAGAATAGTGAGTCTTCTGACCATCGCTGCGTCGATTCTTACCTATCTCCATTTCAGCTCGTTGCCTCCCATCGAGGTTCTGTACAAGATCCGCCAGCAACGTCCCGATGTCTTCGACAAGCTTGAAGGTGAGTCCAAGTATGTTTCTTCGTGTTGGACTGAACCTAGCTGATATGCTGAGTAGTCTACATCGATGGCGGTGTTTGCCGAGGAACGGGTGCGTGTGCCAGTTCGTCGCTGATATTCGGCGAGATCCTGAGAATTACTGCAGATGTCTTGAAGGCCCTTTGTCTGGGTGCCAAAGCCGTTGGCATGGGACGTCCGTTCCTTTATGCGCAAAGCGTACGTTCCTTCCTTTCCACGACTAGCGAGGTGCGATCATCTTAATCGATGGGCAGGCATACGGTGAAGCTGGCGTTGTCCACGCCGTGCGTATCCTCCAGCGCGAGATCGTCCTGGGAATGCGGCTGCTGGGCGCGACTAGCGTGAGTGAGCTTGTTCCGGAGATGGTGAGTCTCGTTTCCACCGATGTTGTTGGCTATCAGCTTGCGTCCGCTGATCACTCCCGCAGGTGGAGAGAGTAGACTGGCAGCCTCTGCCTGCCCGCTTGTAATTGTGATGTGATTCCCTAGAGATATCTGTTGCTCATCGTATCTAGGTTTGTGAACCGGATATGTCAGTGCGTATTAATAAAACGCTGCCGTGGGCGCTGTTTGTATGCCTACTTACCCCGGTTCGCGGACCGCTGGATTATTTGTCGGTAGTAGAGGCGCTGAAGGCTCACGGGAGACGCTCTGACCCTTCGATAGGCGAGAACAACTAAAATTATCTGCGTCCACAATGGCAAATGCATCGCGCTTTCCGGTGGCTTCGCGCGTTGCCTTGTGAAGGAGGACATCCTCCGCCGCTGATATTTTCCCGCATCTTATCCGTTGGGCCCAGGTTCGTACGTTAAGTCATTGGAATTCCCTTACACGTTGCTGCCGGGCTGCAACAATGTGCTTGGTTAATACTAGCCCTAGACCTATGGTGCCGTGATGTCACACCTCTAATACACACCTCAAATATCAAAAAGAGCGACCGCCCCGATGATTCCTTGCCCCTTCAATGCGACGCAGAAATTCCCTGGCAACAGCCTGTTTTTCTGTGAACCGTCGCTTGCTAACTTGCCACTCAGGTGCTCAGCAAATCGAAGCTTGATCCCCAGGAAGGTTTTCTGGGATTCGGATAATCTTTTGTGCTTGTTTTTCTTTCCTGAGTAGATGGTACTTAGGCAGGACAGAAGATTGATGGACTAATAATGGCTCGGGACCCGTACCGATGAAGTCCTCGTTCCCTTACGGCGCGAATGTGGACCAGTGCATGATGTGTCTTCTCACTCGTGCTTGATTGCGCGAGCCGCCGATGTCGTGCATCGCTGACTTCGTTCCGGAACGTTTTACAGATGCAGAAATCAGCGCGCATGGCAGGTGCCGCATGTTCGCCTGCTGAGGACGTCGTGATTCCGACATCAACCCGATGGACGATGCATGTCACAACGATAGCGGTTGAATGGCGGATGTGGTGAGTAAAGTTGAGGATGCTGACTGGGCATGGGACGTGTCGAATGGTTGGTTTGACAGTGCGTGTGTACATCCACCTCCGAGCTCGCCAATGCTGACCGCGTCCGTCGGCAAGGTACGATGATCTCGTGCATATATGGTATGAGCGAGGGCGCATGTATACCATGAGGTTGACTATATCAATAGGTCCAGAGACCAACCATACACCTCGGGCAGAATGTATCGCAGTGCCCACCGCCATTCACTGATGGGCAATCTCTAGACTAAGACAAGCACTTGAACGCCCAAATTCCACATCAAGGTGATCGGGAGCCAGATCGCATTGTCATTCTGATGAAGGTGCGATTGCTCAATCGATGTTTTAGGTTGTTTCAATGCCGCCTCTTTGCGCCGTATGTCCGTCTAAAACCCATTTTGACAAGAAATATCCATTGTAAGTCAAACCAGTGACCTTGGTGTACTACAAAGAGAAATTGCCATTCAAAGTCCCAATCTGCTCGACAAAGTGGATAAGTGCATGCACAGGTCCTGAAATCTGAAAGGCAACGCCGAACAAATGGTATAGATGGCAGTAGATGATGCGTTCAGACCTGCTTGTTCTCCCTCACATCCCACAGGACACACCGACCCTCTCCAACGTTTCTGACCGAATATTCCTTGTGTTCGAACCACGGAACCCACACTCTCGTCTCGTACAGTTTCGAATCCGAACCGATCGCGGCGTAATTGTTACCACCTGATATGTGAATGTGGAGTGTCGACTACCGAGCTTGATGGGTCACGGACTATCGTGCTTACCTGCACATGCTAATGACATGAGGGGCGCAGCAACCACGCCTCCAACGGCCCCCATTCCCGTCAGAGTGCATGCTGCAGCCGACAACACGGACGCAGTCCCGGCAGCACATGCGATGCCAATAGTCGCCCCCGTATCCCAAGACTCCTGGGGACTAAACTCGCGAGACCAGTAGACGATTCCGTGCTCATCGTCCTTGCGCTGCGCCCACCTCACTTGAAAATACAGAGGCATAGTCGGGAGGTGAGTCGTCCATCGCTCGTTAGGTTTGAGATGATTCTTCCAATGCGTAGGTGCACATATGGAGAAGGCGACGTGAATGTCTTCGTTCAGGTTGTTAATTATGGTGAGGTCCGGCATTTCGTTCTTTTAAAATGCGAGAGCTAGCGGTAAGCTGTAGTTGTGAGTGAATGAGATCCCGGCTATGCTTTATGTGAATTGAATAAGGTTTGCCTCATGGATGAGGGCCTGTTCGGTTGCACGACCTCAGCCTGAGCCTTCACGCCAACTTGGAAGTTGAGGCATAGTATAGCAGAGCAATGGCTGAGAACCCGAGGTACGGCGATTGTCGAGTCGATGGGGTCGTCGTTATTGAATGTGCGCCGCGGCACTGTATGTAGCTAATTAGCGGCGAGGGTCATGATGTTAATCATTCTAACGATTCTAGAGGTTACATGGCCATGTATATGGTAATGATTCCGGAGACTAGCCATATACATGGAGTTGTCACGCCTCGACGGGGATCTATCCGGTGGGAGTGCGGTGAATGGCGCCGATCAGAGCGGCAGCAACGGGGGATCTCGAGCTTAGTATTGCTGGGCGTAGACCACCGCCCGTCCTCATATCGAGTGGTATCGACGCACTCGGATTCCTGGACAAGGACTTGAACGACCAAATCCAAGATCAATGTGATCGGAGGCCAGATCGTGATTGGTCGCGTTTTAATGCTGAATTTAGGTGATTACTATACTAGTAGATGAGGATATCCGCCTCTTGCGCAAACATTCAGAAAGTAGCTCGGCCTGCGTGCGGGTAGCGTGGAGGGAGACGACCGCGAGCGGTTGATAAGACCGGGCTGGAGGGGATATTAGGGGTGCCTGGTGCCGTCACCTCCGTTCTCAAGAACTCTCGGACATGGCGCCGGCCTCGACCGGCATCGACGGAGCTCTTCTTGTGCGAGCCCTCATTGGTCTACTCCCCCTCAGGCAGGGGTCTTGTGTCCGCACGTCATCCATAGGCTCTCGGATATAAGCCTATCATGGTCATCTCCATGGCTTCCATCCCCCCCTCTTTTCAGACCGCTCGACTTTTTTTATATCTCGCTCAATGTCAGTCGACTCGCAGACCTGGGAGGGTGTCCCCCTCAGTCAACTATTCCCTGAGGAAAAGCTCGGATGGACGGGGTATGTTTCGTTATCATTCCGTGATTACCCTGACCCCTGATATTCGTGCCGACTGTAGTTATATCGAGTGGGAGGACAAGCCTGACAGGAAAAAGATCGCACAGGCTATCCTTAAAACAAAGAAATTCACCCCAAGCCCCGGTTCGTCCATCCTGTCTCTAGTACTCAATGCAATGTTGAGTTGGTCTGGCAGAGTTCCAGTTGGAGCCACTCCCAAAGACGAATCCCATTCTCATCGGCTACCGCTGGAAGGAGTACCATGAGGCCCTTGGTCTCAGGAGTATTGTCGACTTTAGCTGGGAGACCGTTCAGAAAGAGAAGCCTGGCATGATCCACGTCCTCGATTTTCCTTACAACGGTGAGACCCCTCGCGCGGCCCTGCTTGAGGGAAAACTCACGGACAACATGTACCACTTGTGCGTTGATTCACGCAAGTTTTCTTATCCCCTGCTTGACGGCTTGGACAATCGCCAGCGTCCGGAACCACGGAGGAGTTCCCGACATCGATGAAGATGCATTTGAACTAGAGATTGGTGGGCTCGTTAACCAGCCCATCAAACTTTCCATGAAGGACCTAAAGGATCCGAACAAATTCCCGTACGCTGAGACGCTGATTATATGCGCTGGTTTTATCCATAGGAGCTCACTCGTGCCCATATCACAGACAAATCACCGCTACTGTAACCCTCCAGTGCAGTGGTACACGTCGTATTGAGCAGATTCAGGAATATCCCGGAGAGGGTGACGAGCTAATTCAAGCAGTGAGTTTTATCATCTGCATCTTCATTCATCTCCTTGAACACGCGCCTAATTGTATATCTTCTCCCACGCTGTTTTCATTCATTAATAGCCTTGGGGTGAAGGCGCCATGTGAGTGATTGTTCTTTTCGTGCTATCAGCCTGCGATGCTTCGCGGGCGGTCCCATGATCAAGATACTGACGTTCGCCCCCGCTCTGCTCGGTCTGACAATCATGGCTGACGCGATGCGGCGCATAGCGGGACGGCGGTATATCGCGGTGTGCCGCTGAAGACGGTGCTCAAGAGAGCCTGTGGCGGGCTCCTACCCGAAGCAAAGCATGTCGAGCTCATCGGTGCCGACACCTATTTCAAGTGCGTACCCTCTCCTTCCGTCCCGCGGTTCCGACGGTTGACGCTTCTTTGTCGCGCATACAGAAAGGGAAATGTGTACAATTACGCTGTCTCTGTGCCGACGCGCAAGATGCGCATGAAAGAAGAGGTAATCCTCGCGTGGGAGATGAATGGCGAGCCCCTACCCAAGATCCACGGCTTCCCCCTGCGTGCAGTCGTCACAGGCATCATCGGCGCGCGTAGCACGAAATGGCTCTACAAGATCAACGCGCTCGAGGAGCCGAGTTTGGGTCCGGTGCAGGCGCAGGAGTATATTTACTTCACGAGCCAGGTAGGCGTGCCGTCGGATTTTCGAAGAGATGCTCGTGCTCATTTGTTGTAGATCGGTAAGCAAAATGCGAAATACTCGAATGGGTTCTCCATTCAGAACATGCCCGTCTCGTACGTGTTCTCTTCGGCCGTTTGTGTACCGGTGGTCCGATCTGTGCCCCTCATCAAATAGGAGTGCCATCATCTTCCCACAAGATAAAGAGGTCATTATTCATGACGGTTCAATTGAGCTCCGCGGTTGGGCATATAGCGGTGGCGGGAACTGGCCCGAACGTGTCGAGGTATCCCCAGACGGGTACGTCTCGTTCCCGGCTGCAGCTTCCCTTTGATTTATAATTTGTTGACCGTTGACGTATGTACCGCAGCGGACATGTCTGGTATGCCGTGGACCAGGACAACATGACTGAGAAGGTGACCCTGATTGGGACTCGGGTTGCGCATATATGCTCACGCCCAGGCTTCCCTTATAGCACTATCACGCATGGCGTCTCTGGAAGATCAGCGTGCCCGTTGACGCCGAGGGGTGGATCGAGGTCTGCGTCCGTACTTGGGACTCGTCCTGCAACACCGAGCCGACGTTCGTGCGCTCCGCGTGGAAGTGAGTGTCCCCCGCCGTCGCCGCAAATCGCCTCCTTTGTCCCTGCATCTCCCCACGTAACAAGATACTGATCCACTCGTACAGTTGGGACCTGCACGTCACATCCTCCGCGCATCGCATCAAACTTTACAGCGTCAACACGACGCGCCCTGCCACGGCGCAACGCCTTGCCGCCTTCGCGGCGCACGGCCAGTCGTTCACACCGATCACGGGGCCAACCAAGTGGACCGTCGAGAGCACGGAGGATTTCCTCGCCGAGATGCGCAGGCACCCTCGCGATCCCGACAACTGAGATCTCTCCTGGACCCGGTAGTTGGATATGGGCGTTTGCTCTTACATGAATGCTATATTTCCGCTATTCAGCATGGCGTGTATTTCTAGTTGCGCGATATGTAGTGTGTTTCGGTCTTCAGTGTACAATAATTCCATTGGGTGATCAGATCTATGGCGACATTAGCGCTAGACGGAGTGTTATGTAGAGGATGGCGTATCGTACGTGGGCGAAGATTGGAAAGCGAGGGTACCGACAGGACAGATGATTGGACAACAGACAGCAGCCGGGGAGTGCAAACATGAAGGTCATGACAGAAGGAACGGAAACATCTAAGTAGGAATATCCAGTGTCAACATTATTGTGCACCCCGAGACTCGACACTCTTCTCTTCCGCAATGCGCATTACCTCCATGAGCAATGTCTGCTGCTCAGGGGTGAGCGACGTGGTTGCGATCTGGTAGACAGGTGCATTTTTCATTTGGAACGCTAGAGGGGAGGACGATCAGCGAAATCTAACTACGTACACCCAAGGGGCGTTTACGTACCAGTCAGCGCATTTTTGAAGGTAACGTATGGGTCGACAGGGTCCAGCGGGCTAAGGTACCCGAGCTCCTCGTCTATGTCCGAATCTTCGGATACGTCGGACACGTCGTCGCCTGCCGCCTGCCTCTCAGACTTTTCGCGCAAACGGGCACCCTGAAATCGCAATAGTGAGCGACGAAGCGGCCGGGAGCTAGGGACAGTCGCGTACCTCGTTCGCGAGCATCTCCAAGTATGCAGAATCCTCGTCCCAGACGTCCTCTGTGATTATGGCCATGAGAAGGCGGTAGGAGTGGATGAGATTGTTCCTTACCATCATCTTCGTTCAAGTTGAAGATCTTGGACTCATCCGCGTCGGTGTCAGAGTCAGACTCTGCTTGGAAAGCTTCCTCCATTTCCTTGCGTGCTATGATACAGGGTGAGAAATGAAGGCTTTCTGAAGCCAACAAAGTGTTTTGAGACAAACCTGCAACAGCCCTGGGGAGGTCCTTGAACAGTTTCAACGCGCCTGCCACGATACCTGACCAGCCCTCCTTGACGGAATCCGGGATCTGGGCGGGGTCCATCTCAAGGAGCGCGCATATAGTCATAATACTGAGCTTCTTGTCGTGTACACGGGGTAGTCGAGCGTCGGTATTGATAGCTTCGAACCATTTGTCGAAAAATGCACGCGCTGTTCCAGTACGGAAAGACTCTATCAGGTGAAGCGAGGCGCCAGGGTTATACAAGACAGCATTAATGAGGACCTCGAGATTCGCAAGTCGCAATCCAGCGGTATCAGCTGCATCCATTGTGTTCAATGCGGTAACGATGATAGTTTGCAGTGACTATTCGGAAGGAGGTCAAATTCAGGTACTACTAGGATAGTGGCAGACTCACATCGTCGATATGACCGCGCAAGTTCAGCATCAAAGATTCGGCTAGCTTGGACCCGTTTACCGCATCATTTTCACCAAGATGTTCGCTATTAACAGACGTAGTGTAGATGTCGACGATCATCTGCCTATAATCCGGGCGAGCCTTGAAGACATCGATACCGTACGAGATGAAGTTGTCCAAACTTGGTAACATTTCTGTCGGCATTCTCTCAGTCACAGGGATCTAAGCGATAGCAGCACATCAAACTGACCATCCAGAAAGTCAATAGCATCCGACTTAAACATCTTGTACGTCAACTCGAATACAGGCCACATGTTGGGAGAGATACTGCGCAATTTGAAGGTAAGACTGTCGACTAGATCATACATGTTGTCGAACAGGTCTATATGGAATTTAGCGGCATCCGTCAACAATGAGCATATTACTCACCAAGCAATTTGCTGTCAAGGGTCTGGACGACAATTGGTATGATAATCTCTTGAATTTGTGCAAGTATCTCAGGGGACGAATCCACGGAAGAGACAATCTGTACGATGTCAGTGAGCCAAGACACGCAAGGCAGATAGTAGAGCATACCGTCCCGATAGTCTTCGCAACGCCCATCGCAGCGAAAGTCTTATCCTCGCCCGTGTCGTTGTCCATGAGGGTATCAAGATCAACCTCTCGTCCGCCGGCCTCGTCAGCAGCCATACTTTCGCGCGCCAAGCGGGAGTAAGTTTCACACTACAACTTGGATGTGGGCGTCTCATTACCAGTCCCGATATAATGGTGCTTACCAGACGGGCCGTGAGTTCGGCAGCAACAGGTAGTAGTTCGTTATGATATTGCTCCACCATGGTCTCCATGCATGTGTTCAAAATGTCTAGGTCCGTCTCCTCTGATAATTTCAGCAAGGCTGACAACAAATGCGCGATCGGTATGCTGCGTGCGTAGAATAACGGAAAGCACAAACTTTGGATAACCTTGCCGACTTGTGGTGACACAGCAGCCTTCACTGCGCAAAAAATCAGCTCGCCAATCGAAGCTCTGCTGTGAAATCATACCAGTGCTGTGCATGGTGACCATTTCGGTCAAAGCCAAGCTTGCTTGGATACGTACGGGCAGTTCAGGGTCATCGATACAAAGGGTAATAGCCGTGAAATGTTGGCTCAGGATCTACGATCTCTAGTCACAACTGGTCCAAGTTCACATATTACATGCATACCTCATCACTGTTCCATTTCATGTTAGACTTTTCGATCGTCCCGAGGACCTCACAAGCCTAGAGCACTAATATCAGCGACAGTTGACAAAAAGGGAGGACCGAACATACAATTGCTCGCATATATGGCTCTGAGCTTGTAAATTCAGGAAGCACGTGTTGAATCATAAATTGCTCCATATTATCCTTAACGTCGGGATGGCGCATGATGTAGTGACCCAGAGCAGCAGTCATGTTCAATGCGCCGAAACGTTGAGGAGACGCAGGTTTTCTGTTAACTGGGTCAGGTAACGTCCTCTTGTAATAAAATGCAAACTGACGACTGCAGGACCCGATTAATGAATCCGAGAATCGGGAGGAACGTTGCCTTCGTCCTATTGCTAGCAAGCGAGAACAAGAAAGAAGTGGCAGCTGAAACCGGTGTATCATAGTTCTCGTACTCATCTAAGAACCGACTCAGCCATAATTTTGGGACTGAAATATCAAAGGTACTCCCACGCACCGATAGCAGTACGAACGTAGTCGACTGGGTCCATGTCCCACTGTTCTTTCTTAGCGGGCGTGAAAGATAGCTGAGGGAACACGTATGAAGACACGAGGGTTTCAAAGTGTGGCTTGAGCATAGCCCACGTCGACTTAGGTTTTACGCTATAATTAACGGCCAGTCAATCGAGCGACCGATTCTGCAAGGCGAGAAAAAGCACCATTCCGTGAAGAACGTAAAAATTTGGTACTGGCACTTCTTCGATAGCCAGGATTGTCCTGACACATATAACTCGACTTGCTGGAGATAGATTTTGAAGATCTCCGGCGCGAACGTTGTCACGAAATGTTGCGAAAACTGGTTGTAGTCGTCCTTCATTGAGCTGGGGAGCTGTGATGGATTTCCAAAACGGTGGAATAGGCGTCCAAGAATGCCATACGCCCACTTCTTCGCTTTCCACCACTCGCTGCGCTCCCTATCATCTTCGTCCTCAGGCACGGCGCCAGCGGGTATCTGCAAATTGACCACTTGGAATAGGAGGCGACCCCAGGGCACGAGGCTTTCTGGACTCTGCTGGTGAGCGCTCAAGTGGAGAACGATACTCGTCTTGTAAGTCTTCAAAATCTGATGGAGCATAAAGGGGATCTCGCCAGACGCATTCGCAGGAGGTGTGGTCAAAAGCTGGGTGGCAATGTTCACCAAAGTAGGGAACAACTCCGATACGAGGCGAGGAAGTATGTCATTATTTTGACGAAAACTAACGATTGCATGCGTAAATGATTGGGGATAGGTTACACTCACACAAACTTACCGGAAAGCCCTGACCATTTCAAGAGCGGCAACGCACCCAGCAGATACCTCCTTGATTTCCCCACTTGCCAGAAGCCGCTTCACTTCGTCCAGGAGTGTTGGCCATTGATCGGGAAAATCACGGGCGACGATGTTCTTCAGCGTACTCGCAAGTTGAACCGTGATCAGCGAGGACGGTGATGCAGATAGCAACGAGAGAAGAGACGCTTTGAGTGCATTGCGATCTGAGAGTGCTATCGGGACTTGATCTGCTCGCTGAGCCGCAGGATCAACAAAGTAGGATGTATGCACGCGATTTTTCAAGTATACTGCACCAGCTTGACGAGTTGCACTAACGATATCGATTTCAAGACATATATGAGACGCGTCCCAAGAAAATAGATCAAGAACGCACAGCTCAACATTGTCGCTCCCTATAATTTGGAGGAGAGCGGTGACCATGCCTTCTTGGCCACCAACCTGTACATAGTATAACGGCGGGTCCACAGAGTGTATGTGTACCATACCTTGCGGATCTGGAGTTCTCCTGCCTTTTGGACATTTGGATCAGGATTGTAGGTAGTCGCGAAAAGATTCGATAAAGTTTGGAGATCCATCGCAATTGTCTGAAGGTTCAGGGAATTATCGTGATTCGCAGACAGATTGCGATGAGAAGAGACAATTGTAGAAGGGTATGGGAAGCAGGGTATAAGTACAAGACGATGCCAGGCCACTGGCCACAATGATCAGTGAAAGGATGAGTTCCAAAATTTTTGTCAACGCGGTGTGACACGACGCGTGCACGCGTTATGCATTACGGCGCGTCGAGTTGAGTTGTCTCTGAGTTATCTACTAACACCTTCCATCTCCATTTATATGAAAATTCATGTCTGTTTTTGCTAGTAGCATTCACACATGTATCTGTAAACCAGATACAGGATCCAGGTATTACTAGCATCGATCCCAAAATTCTGCTATTAGAACGCTAAAAAGGACGCATCAGGATGATAAAATATAACCGCCCGACTACAAAGTTATGATCAAGTAGTATAGACACAGAGCATTCAATCACATATTACTCCATGCAACTTCGTCGAAACATCAAGGTGTGGTCAGGAGATAAGTCCATATACCAAAGATAACGTTCAGCAGGAAGCCTACAACGATCCCAAGCTGCATACGTCTCCTACATATGAATGACGCAAGGCATTGTGTCACTTGTTAGATGCTGAGTAAACATGGGAATACGCTTACGAGAATATGACACTACCCATTGCTTCGTGTTCAGTGCCATCGTCCCAAAAGGCCGCTGGTTTGGGAGAGTGGAAGAAAAAAACTGGAAACAATGGAAAGAAAAATCCGATAATCACACCATTGAGAACTGTTGATGACGTATGAGAGGTCTGGGAGAGAGAAGCACCCCCATTGTCGAATGAGTCAATCCATTGCTCTTCGAGCGCGCGAGCATGCTCGTCGACTGGTTAAAATAGACGTCATCTTTCGGACACGTATTCGGGTATCTGGAAAAATAGGGGGCATACAATCTTCGTCGTTCTCGAAGTCCTGATCAATATAGTCGCCTGCAGAGTGCGCGTGAAACTGTAGTCGGATATTCGCAATATCTTGTTCGGAGAAACCGGCTGCAGCGAGTCTGTCAAAACCTCTCAGCGGTTTCAATTGAGCTGTCTGAGTAGATTTCTGATCAGCTCCGCTTAGGTGTAGACAAGCAGGAGCGCCATACGTACCTGAACTTGAGCCTCATCATCTTCATCTGCCGTCATCTGAGGTCCGACAGAACAATGGAGCCATATGGTACTAGCGTGTCGCTCTTTCGTTCCCTCGCCCTCATCCTCGCCATCCCCAGACACAGCCCGACGCTGGCGCGTTTCCAGCGACGCGAGGCGCGAATATAGCTGCGCATTCTCTGCGAGGAGTTGTCCCGAGAGAATCAATCTGAGACGTCGATCCTCCAACTGGGGTCTTGCATCGCGTATCTACTGGAAATGGATCAGCCAATACGACTCCAAGCGTACAGCCGACGCACCTTCCTCTTGATATCACGAACAACGTCCGTCTGGGCGACCTGTACTGTGAGATCCGGTATGCCTTCGATAAAGCGGACGACCAGGTCTTTGTCTACATGCTCAGCAGTCTGTACCTGGGAAGACTCAATGTCAACAACCCGCTGCTTCCCTAGAGCTTTGGCGCTGAGCATGGTGTGAACGAGGAATGGTGAGCTGAACAACTTGAACTGACCCGACGAACGGAGGGATTGACAGCGATCGGTCGGAACTAGAATTCACGTAATCTGAGTTTATACCTCTAAGTACTTATATATTTAATGCTAAGCCAATGATAGCTTATTTGATAATCGAGCGCATAGCATCGCTTTGTCAGCATCAAACACAGGGCTAATTAGTAAAACGGTCGCCGACCCTACAGCTTTCAGTACTCACCCATAAAGCAACAGCTTATACTGTAATCGTAACTCGCAACCTCATCATTGACTCACCATGCCTCGCGCAGAAGGTTGGTTGCATGGTATATTCTTCCAAATGGTAGCTTATTGGAATGATTACAGTCGGAACACCTAAGTACCTCGCAAACAAGATGAAGGCTAAGGGCCTTCAACGGTTGCGATGGTACTGCCAAGTCTGCCAGAAGCAGTGCAGAGACGAGAATGGATTCAAATGTCATGCACAATCCGAATCCCACCTGCGCCAGATGTTAGTCGTCGGCGAGAATGCTGGCCGGCACATCGCCGACTTCTCTTCGCAGTTTCAGCACGACTTCGTACAACTGCTCTCGCGTCGGTTCGGCACCAAGCGAGTCAAAGCGAACACTGTTTACCAAGAGTTTATTCAAGATCGGAATCATCTGCATATGAATTCGACGCGATGGGTAACGCTCACTGAATTCGCGAAGCATCTCGGGCGGACCGGTGTAGCCAGGGTAGATGAGACTGAAAAAGGGTGGTTCATCGCTTGGATTGATAATAGTCCCAAGGCATTGGCGAAGCAGGTACGCTTTATTCTAACTGTATTTTTTGCAAGGCAGTTAATTTGTGCGGCGCTCTCTACAGGAAGCGTCGCTCAAGAAAGAACGGGCGACTATGTCGGACGAACAGCGGGAGCGCATGCTCATCAGTGAGCAAATAGAGCGCGCTGCGGCGACAGCTGGTCCATCCGATTCCCCACCACCTGTAGAAGAAGGCTTGAAGCGGGACGAAAGCACAGAGAAGGTTGTGCTTTCTCTTGCGCCCAAGAACCCCGTTTCCACCTGTTCGCCGCCGTCGGAATCGACTGGAGGCCTGAAGCTTAACTCGCTAAAGCTTGTGGCGAACCCCCTGAAACCGGGCATCAATCCCCTGAAACGACCCAATGTGTTCAAGGCCGCTGCTTCCTCGATATCGGTCCCAGACTCGGAGAAAAGTATTGGGAAGAGAGAGGCTCCAATGACTGCAGCCGAAAGATTAATCTTTGAAGAGCGGGAGCGGAAACGTAGACGTATGGAGCGAGAGACTCTGGTATAATTTCTATGGCACACCATCGCCACACATGTATACTTTACTGAATTGTGACATCTGTATGTGATTAGTTGAATCTATCTGCGAGGTCCTAGTCACTTATATCATTTCCTGTGGCAATCAGAAAATCGGAGCTCACCAGCCTGTACCGCCTTGGCCTTGGCTTAATGGTCTGAATCGGTCCGAAGGCAAAAACGACGCGATGAGTTCATTTTGATCTACCTTGACAACATAAAACAGAGAAGGACACTGGGTATCTGGGTATTCCACTTGCATTGCCAGCACTTTTCTCGAGCCATCTCATTCTACTCCATCAATGTTTTCCTTCAAAGCGAATCCTCACCCCGTTCGAGCTGGCGTTTCCTCCTCATATGTGAAAGATTCTTGGAGCTCGCCGGATCGGACGAAGCGGAGTACGCCACAAAAACCCTTACAACTAAAGTCACCCAGGGACGAGCTTACCAACTTCGACATGTTCTGTCCTCCTCGGCCCGTAGGTAAAACGAAAAATCTCGACTCTTGTCCACTGGTCCAGCCAGGGATGTATATTGAATACAGGCTCGACGTCGACCGCATCGCTCAAGTCCTGTGCCGCTCCAATCTGGAAGCAGCGAGAGCTCAAAGCGCAGATTTGCTTGGGCCTTATGGAGGAATACAAGTCGTTCTTTATAGATGACGGCCGAATTGTACGAGAAATTGTGGTCAAGGACGTAGGTGCTGCCAATCCACCCGTCATTCCGACGTCGCGAACCATCGTATAATATCTCACCAACGAGTGCCATCCGACTGTATGGTATTCTTTGATCATGTTAGAGCCTCTCCTCTTTGTCGACGCCAAGCAGTGCACGACAATCGGCACGAGCCTCTAGACCACTGAAATGGGGGCTTCACGGAACTACTGTGGTCTCGTGTATGAAGAACTGGGGCGCTTCCTCAGTGAAGACTTTGACAAACAAGGGGTCGGGCTTGGAAACGGTAAATCTGCGCGGAACAATCAGTATTCATCGTAGTAGTCCCCAACAATTGAAGACCCGCGTGTAATCTGGACGGATTTGCGAGCTGTAATTCACCTAGACGAGGATCCGACCGTCTTTGTCATTGAGGATAATTTTGTGAATGCGTGAGTGTTCACTTGTTATCCGTGGGACACAGTAAGACTGAGAGGGATTTCCCTAAGCTGGTATGATACAGTAGACACAAAAGGGCTGAACTATACTAAAGTTATGACTTCCAGGAGCTAGCATGTTGTCCTCGTGTGTTCGATGAGTCTGGTGAAAGATCCGGTTGTCCGAGAACTTGTTCGCGCCTCACGTCGGGCCGGGGATTTGAGTCACCGTGATGTGGCCCATGGGAGTGAGCTGGGTTAGTGGTAGATGCATCGTCCTCCGCCTTCTCTCGCTAAACCACATGGTTCCTTGCCAAATTACAATAATGCTCATCGATTACTTCCCAGAGAGCCGAATGAACACGGTTCGGAAAATAGCGGCTAGAACAAGAGATGTACGCTTTCATATCATGTTGCTCGTCGCCCGGTAGCAGCACGCCCTCGGCCCCTTCCTCTCCCCCCCTTCTTTGCGGGCGGCGGGCTATCCGGTTCATCACTGGGGTCTCTGACCCTCGCCGCTCCTTTTTGCTTTGTCTGTTCGCGACCTCTGGTCGTCTCCTTATCAGCGGGCTTCCAGTCAGTGAATTTTCTTCGACAGGCATTGCTCCCCATTTCCTGATAATCTGCTCTAGTCACGAAATGCTGTGTGAAACCAGGCTTCTTTGTGAGTGCGATCGCGGACCTGTATGCCTCCGCGATGGGACTAGGAACGTAACAATGTCAATGCTACTGCGTAAGAGTCGGAAATGGAAAGGTCCGTACTCGTCTGATGTGTATACGTTTACTTCACAATCGACAGGCGCTAAAGAGCGCAATTCAGACATCCTGAGCGCACAGGATATCCTTCTTTAGGACTGGCCAAGTCCCTTTAGCTGTGCAGAAGAGCTTACAGACGCTGAATAAATCCAGGGAACTTCGTATTTCCACCAACGGCGCTTATGTGTGCCCAAAACATGCCTTGGAGGTCTTCGGGCAGAAGGGCAATGCTTCTTGCAACTGTTTGGGCGATGCCTGGCTGCTCCAATCCTGGCGGTGGACACCCCAAATAAGTGAACGTGATCAAAGAACCATTGAGCTTAATTACCAATATCATCGGGGCGAAAGATAATTTCTGGGACTGTGAATCTCTCGTTATTCATGTACATCACCTGTGCTGTATCGTTTAAAGTGTCGCCAGGCTGTCTAACACGCCCAGGACGATTGATTGAGAAGTCTGGCAAGATGTATTCCTGCACGATGGCATTACGTCTGGGGTCGACACTGCGGTGATGTACGATTGTGTAGGCTCTGCGGCCGACAGACGGTTGAGACGTACCGACAGATCTCTAGGTCTCTACTGAAGTTTGAGCTGACATAACAACAGGACTCCTTGATGTCGTTCACAATATACGTCTCGTCCATCATGTTCCACTGTCGGAAAGAGGCGAGCTCCTTCAGCTGATTAGTCAGGAGCTTTCCACCAACATCTATTCTAACTTCGGGTGTGAGACTCTCTCGTTTCCGTTGACGAAGACGGATCGCACCTCTTGACCGCATTCCATATGATAGAATTATTCATGATGGGAACCACATGTGTGAAACTGAAGCCAGAGTCTATCACGATGACACATTCCGGCGGTTCAGGTCCCGGTGGACCATACAAGTTGCCATGAGGAATGAGGGAGGCAGCTGAATGGAAGATCAGAACGACCGCACCGATGCGGTTATACTGTCACTGACGAGTGCAACGATAGTAGGATTGGAAATCGTATTCCTCAAATACGAACTGGTCGTATACTTCCTGTATGTTCGGGAGGTTGAAGTAAGGCTCGGTTATTAGAAGGGAAGCGTCGGTGGTGTCAACCTCCACGGATCGCAGATGAACGCGCGAACTAACGGCGATATTAGTTCAGAAACGCACCCCCAAAACTTCATTTGAGAACATTCCATCCCATATGGCCTTTTGAGCATCCCAGTCAACAGGGAACCCCTAGAATACTATGAAGACGTGCATCTCTTTCCGAGCTATGGTTTATCTAACGTGCGCGTACCTTCTCAAACGGCAAACGGTAATGAAGAGATGAGAAGTCGCTGCATTTGTCTGATTCATGTCCAATATACGTTTGCTTGTCTCCTTTCGAACGGACGATAGCATTGGGAACGATTCTGAGTAAAGTGAGCGGCGTGTATGTTTGCTTGACCGCATGGCTATCCTACCTTGGATTAATACCGTGGGTGCCGACCACGCCAGCTTTGATAGTATGTGCGCCGTTGTCCACGACGACCAAGGACGAGGGCTTCATGCTACTTGGGCAATTGTCTCCGCTGTGGGATAGCGTGACTGATACATTTGGTGAATACAAGACGAAGGGACACCGAACGCGAGCCAGACGCCCATAATCACTAACGTCGCGGCGTTCATTGCTCTAGCAGAATCCCGGCAGCTGGTGTCGGTATCTTCGTTCTGCGCTTTTGGTATTGCCTCCATCCATCAACTTCTAGTACGTTATTCCGCAGGAAATCGAGGCTGTGTCTAGGCGCGACTTATTGGGCTGATACAAACCGCTCAGCTCTCATCAGTGGGCTCTGTCCACTCAGCTGTCACGGCGTTGTGTTGAATCAACACCTCCTCTCGGTCCTTGGGTTCCAACTCAGACAGTCTCCTGACTCGCCCTGTTTCTCGGTGCTACAACTGTTCATCCTGCGGACGGCCATTACCGCATCGGACACGAGCCTCATCCCCTCCGGTCCATTGCGAATCGTCTCTGAGAGGTGCCGATGTTTGCCTGTGACATCTGAGGCAGATCCGACCAAGGACATTCTTGAATGATTACAAGGCAACCCGTTTGAGGTGAGTGCTGGCAGATGATCATTGACTCAGGTATCCGGCACTCTCTTGTATTCTGACGGCTGTGTGAGAATTCAACTTTTATAGACAACTCGCACATCTCTGGACTGTCCCATCACTCGATGTGCGTCGCATTCTGGTCCCTTGAACATCCTCAATATGCTCTGTGCGTGCCTTCTCTGACCACACATCAGCGGTGAGGCTGAGCCCCTTGACGGACCAGTATCCTCTGCAGCAACCGAGACGAATATCTGTCTCGGCCTACCACTCCAGCACATTATCATTCATTCGGCGACGTAAATACCGATCCTTCCGATGATTCTTCGAGCGTTCTGTCCGGCCGAGACCTCCTGGCGGGGGGAACGTGGGCAGGTATCAGTCGTGCTGGGAGAGTTGCCCTTCTGTACGCCACATGCTCCTCCCGAATGTTCCGCCCAGAAAGAGACTAAGGACCCTGCAGTACCAATATCACGGAGCCTGCTGGGAAATACACCTCTTCCAGGGGCGGTCTAGCTTCGTCTTTCCTTATGCCAGAAACGCCAGAAAGGGCTTTTCGGGCTGAAGTCGAGCGCATCGTTGCGCAGAATGCAAAGTATGCCGGCTTCAATCTCCTTCTCCTCTCTCCTGTGATGCAGGGTCAATCAAATCGGGCGCTGCGGATGGATGCCGCGCTTGTGACAAATTCTGGAGGCGGCGGAGTAATTACCACACGCGATCTCTCGAGCGAAGAGAGGCGCTGTGGAGGCATGTCCAATGGCATCGATCGTCAGGGCGCGAGCGAATGGCCGAAAGTCAAACATGGAACTCACGCACTTCAAGAGATAATTAATACCATACCAGGGAACTCTGATGAGCCTGAACTAGTTGAGCGGCTGTTTGACATGCTGACGTGAGTGTCGTGTCATCACTTGCGTATTTTGAGCTATACTCTAACGATCAGATAATTGTTATTATGAAGTTGGAAATGTGATGGTCGCGTTGACCTTTCCACGTTGCGGAACACTGTGGAAGTTGAACCCATAGCCGTAACCCCATCATCGAGACGTCCACAAACTGGATTCTATGGTACTCGGCTGTCCACCGTAATTCTTATTGGCAGAGATGGAGATGCGCTGTTTATTGAAAGAGACGTATGGACATTGACTCCCAACGGTATGGTGACAAAAGCGGATGCAGAAAACCAGCGTGTCTTCCGCTTTCACGTAGAACTATGATAGCAGTCGTGTACACATAGTAAGGTGAAGTGATTACAGTCTTAACAAGAAAATAATATACCGGTATACCGTAACACATACAGCATAGTTGACACAGGAAGAATCCCGAAGCTAGATAGTAATATAAAAAAATAATCCAAACATAGTCGGATATATGAGCAAAATCTAGTACGTGTTATCTGCAGTGTCCCGTGGCATGTGTAATAATTCGCCGAGAAAACAAGAGTTACGCCATATGGTAGGGCTTCTGGTAGACGCCCTGCTCTGTAGATGAGACGGGAAAGTAGTTGTCATAACCAGCGGATGCTGCCATCGTCGACCACTCGTGGATTGTGTTCCCCATACTGGACTGGCTCGATGATGAGGTTGGCGACATAATTTCGGTCTCCGCTGGTGTTGGTAAAGCTTCATACGAGGACTCGGCCACATATCCTGCTTCACCTCCACTTATCCTACACAATCAGTCGACTGGTTATAAGACAGGCCGAAAGACACTCACTGCAAGATATCGTCCAACTCAAAGATACGTGCGAGAATCAGGCAATCTTGCTCCGAATGGTGATGCTCTGGTAGTTGCCGTAGATGCTGGATAGTATTCCGCAGCTGGCTCGTCAGCCCAATGAGTGGATTAGCAGCGGCTGGGTTCGTTGAGCAGGAGCAAGACTGGGTGTTGGTACGGTGAGACGATATTTGGGTATACGACTGGTGAACATGGGCATATTGATCACCATGCGAAGAACCATCAACGAAACGTTGTTGCTCGTAGCCCATCGGCGAGCTGGATGATGAAGATGGATAAGAGACGCTGGGGTCCTCTGCCGAGGTCGAGAGGCCTGCATGGCCACTGTGTTGCGGATGCTGACGATAGTACATGGAAGAGGCGAGGCGATTCTCGGGCGGCATTGTTCCTCCGCCACCAAAGGAGGCAGTGAGGCGATATAGCTGCTGCGGTAATTCAGGAGGCTGCTCAGTCTTCACACCATGAGACACATGCGGCGGAACACAGTCGTCATAGTGCCCTAGCTCCATATCTCGACGCGTTTTCTGATATGGCGGCTGTGTGCGCTTGGCCGACCGTGAGTGCCACTTCTCATTCACATCTCCATCACAGTAGTTTGGTTCCGCCCATTTGGGATGTGGTTTGCCTGTGTCCGTACGTACGCTTGTGAGCAAGTGGTCATATGAAATTCAGCGAGGGACCCTCACCTCGCAGCTCGCGGACCAAGCTTTCCAGCTCCGCAATCCGATTTCGTAAGCGGGTTGTCTCGTCGACATTGGGGTCATCCCTACTCACACGATTAGCATGCGCCTACAAGAGAGGTTGTTTCGACTTACCGAAGGGAAGGGTCGTCGACTTCATATACGCACAGCCCAGTCTGAAAAGTATCTCAACACGGTGCGATCTAGAGTAGCGGACATCAGAGAACGTACCAAGCCAAGCTGTATACATCTCTGGCACGGCCGCTTTCGGTCACACTAACAGTATACTCAGGTAAATGACCGCAGTCAGGCTGACAGTCGTGAGAGTGAGTGCGTACCTTCCGCTTTGAAGTATGGCAATTCAAGCACGACTGAGTAGTCCTGTTCCTTCGTCTACACAATGGCAATGTGAGCATGGTGGGTATCGAGTGTAGATGGCGAGGGCCTGTGCTCACCGTTTGCGATGATCGACCTCGAGGCCGAGTTCAAAGTCCATGACTTCACCTTTGAACTGAAGAGTGTGCAAGTGAGGGTCGGACTGGAAAGCCATGGTTGAGTGATGGGTGGGCTCGAAGCGAGATTGATCGTACGTACTTAAGTGTCTCCGGCCTGGGTGGCCATCGGTCTAGCGAGGCCCTGCCAACAGTTTGCTCCGAGTAAAATAGATTACGGTTTGGATTCCAGCGGAAATATGCAAGATACCCAATACAAGTTATGCCGAAATGATTCAGTGGAAGTGTGGCACCGCGCCCCTGAGCAGCTTCTGGACGCCTTCTGGGCTGCCTGGGACGGCACAGACGCCCTGGAGGAAATTGTGACATAACGTGCGAGTTCGGGGAATAGAAGCAGATAAGATTCATGGCTCACAGCCGCTGTCGAGAGGATGCCGTGATGGCATGGAATAAGTATACTATGGAGAAAGGTACGCAACGGAAGGCGGAGTCACATAATCCACAGCAAGAGGATTCGGCTCCATCCACCTGTGGTTGCCTACCGTTGTTACCTTCCGTTCGCTACAACATGGCATTCTTGCCCACGTCTCCAACGGATGCGTCCCCCGAGCCCCAAATCCACTTTACGTTCCCAAACGAGAAGCCAAGCCATCCTGACTCAGGACGCACCGGTGGTTACGAGACTGTTGCTGAGCCTTAATCTTATACAGATCTCCGCCAACCAGTACCCGTAGTGGCTCGTATCGTGGATCCGGATTCACGAGGCCGTCCCCACTGGACTGCGAGATTCAGCTTCTATAGTCCTCTGCCGCCACATAACGATGCAGGATCCGGGTCACGGGCGCCATAATCGCATTGCAGTCTCGCGGAGACTCGTGTAGGCACACAAAGTTTAATGTTCGCGATGCAGACGATAGAGCTAGAACAAAACGCACGAGACGCATTGATCATGACAAACATCCCTGAGGCGTGATCAGACTCGGAGACACGCGCTCTGGGCATTGCGCTGGGATTGTAACGCCGAGAAGAAATAGATCCCGGATCGGATTTTTGACACGCTACTGACTTTCTGATGGGGTACTCTATGCAAGTCCTGTATGTCACCCAGGACGTGTGGCATCGAGCACCGGGTTGGCATCACAGTTGATGCTGTGTGATTCCACACATACACATGACGATTTGGGATATCAGAATGTGGCGTTATGCTTTGGAAAGACCTCAGCCAGGACAGATGGAGCCCCAGACCGACGCATCCGATCCGAGACTAAACAAGATTCGCCGCCGAGTAGGAGCTCGAAACCGAGAACACGTGAGTAAAGGATGGGTAAAAGACAAGAGAACTCGCTGGCCGGTTCCGCACAAACTCGGCTCACCGTGGAGACCACGCCGGCGCCATCCAGTCGGGTCATCTCTAGGTTATCTTGTCAATGAACGAACAAGGTTCGTAGCTGATAAATTCATCGCCGAGCACCCGGAGGAGAAGTAAGCCTATCCTGTTGTGGACGAAAGACAGACATCCCGATCAGCATGATCATCGCGGACACACGACGATAGTACTGGAAGATACAGATGTAGGACGACATTAGACATATCACCTTGACGGATTATACAAATCAAAACACGGACAGACCGCATAGTAGCTTTGCAGTCCCGATAAGAAAAAGAAAACACTTACAGAGGAGCCATACGTCGCATACAGAACCTCTTATACGGGTCCGATAAGTTCGAACGAGGCAACGAAACAAGGGAGGACAAGGGCACGCGGCGGGGAGTGCTTTTTATCTGATGTTGAATTAATGGGAACGGAAGAACAAAAGAGTATATCGGATGACGGCACTCTTCAGGTTACTGGAGCACATTGACTGATCCGACTATTAGAATGGGATGTGATTGTCCCTTGGGATTGTCGTACTGATGCGACTCTACCCATCATTTGCTGTTATCCAAAGCAACTACACATATGCTTCGGTTCACGCCTGAGCACGTAGGGGGTTACATTATGTATTGACAGTTCTCTGATCGTCCGATGCATGGGCGGAATCCGAATCGCACGAAACGCAGGTTTGCCGCCGAAACAATCAGCTGTCTTCTGGGCACACAGCCAGTGCACCCGTGGGTCAAGCCTATCGCCATCTGGTCTGCCAGCTCAGAACGCGAAGTATAGCAACCCTATGGCCAAGCCAAAGCGCACGAGAAGACGTCTGCGAGGTTGGTGCTCTAGGCGCGATAAAGATGATCCAGGATAGTCAGGACCGTAGGGAAGAGGACCTAGAACTGTAAGAGAAGCCTGGCGCTCTTCGGGATCGTATTCGAGTCGTGGATCCTGGACGTCTGGGGTCCGTTACGAACAAACCACTGTCGCAGTGTCACAAGGTCGAGGAGAACACGTAACCGGTGGCGTGGCTTCCACCGACGGTCGCATATCTCAACAGGTAAGTTTGTTCCACTGTCCAACTCGGTACTACTAAGCCTCAGCGCGTCCCGCGATTGTCTGAAATCTCCGGTAAGCACTCGACTTTTGCCTCCGTGCTATTTAAACCCTCCGCAGATAGCCCGGAATGTGTCATCGAATTCTGCTAATACTAAGGTATCATTGGCAGGATCATCAGGATCATCGGAGCAGGATGCGGCTTGGCCGAGGCGAACTCTAAACCGGCATTCGAATCAGTCGTACTGAGGCTCGTTGTGCATCACTTTAGCGGTCTGAAATTTATGGAAAGCTCATACTGACAGCTTGCAGGCAGATACGCTCCATGCAGCCTATCCCCTCCTAGAACCATAAGGTGATTTTCGCCCAATCGCTAAGGTTGTGAGTGTCATTTTTTTCATTAATTTCTCATGTCGACTTTCGTCGATGCCCGACACCTGCTTGACCGCATACTGGCTCAGATTTACCTGTGAGAACTCACCGCACCGCCATATTTTCTTCGAGCTGCTATTTGTAAGTGTCTTCGGTGGTCCTATGCTACCAGCTCATGGCTTAACGGCTTGTTTCATCCAATATTGCTCACTTGCGTCGATGAGGAGTTGAGCTCCCAGTATGTCGCTGAACACAACCAGCATCTCGGTGCTCAACCAATACATCGCCGCGCACAATTTTCTCTCTCGCCTTTCTTGTAAGTTGCAACGGTGACATTGTCATTTGTGACATGGAGCTTCCGCTTACATCTGCGATCTTGCCCCGGTTCATCATGAATTGTCCCCCACGAAAAATTAGGGACAACGAAGTGAATTTGCTCGAACTAGACTGATATTCTGCTGCTTGATAACGCTATCACGAGAAGGGCACGATGGTGGGTCTCATCTGCGTAAATTACATGCTATATTAAGCCCTCACGATTAGTTCTTCGACGATATCTAGAACACCACCGGACAGAAGGTTCGCTTCTCTCGCTCTCGAGTGCTATAGAGCGGAAATCCGGGAACTTGGGTCTGAGCAAGTCAATGCGGCACCCATTAAGATGTACTTGCAACTCAGCTCAATGGAGAGGAATGCCCGTTACAAGCACCGGCACGCCCCAGACCAGTCCCTGACCGGTCGATGCGACTCGAGGCTGGCTGTTTATGTGGAGCGCTTCCACAAAACTGCTACACGGAGAATAATGTCGGAGTCGTCCAGACAGCTTGCTCACTAGCCGAAGATCCGATGAAAGCCTGGCCATCCACGGAGTACGATTGACCCCTCTTGATGCTGTCGGCGCACTAGAAGAGTGGCGCAAGGTCCTTCACGTTGAGATTGGGGGAGAAGTTAGAATCAAGGGAAGGGCACCAACAACATCCGTCTTTGATCCTGAACACCTCAGCGCCGTGATTCCTCCAAATGAATCAGACCAATGCCCAGAAGGAGTTCTCTTCGAGGCATGACGTTGTTTGCGTGTGGACCCCCCACAATACCAGGATCTTTTGGTACTCTCAGGGCAATCTCCTTACGTCGCCCGGAGAATTATGTAGAAGACATCTTTGATTGTCCCCGGAAAAATTATCACTGGCAGTCTCTCGAATTTGTAGTGCATAAATGAAGAAGTGTTGTCCGCTTAGTTTCTATGTGCCTGCACGACGGGCGGCATGACTGTGAAGTCGAGCAACGTGCCGAATTACAGACGGCGCCAAACATGCGCCCTCCTTGCGGCGCGGGCCCAAAGGTGGCCACATTCTGTTGGACGTCGATGGCTGCGTTGTGGCCGACTTTTTCACCTTCATCACTCACTTTGCCAATATATCCTCATTCTCCTGACATGTCTGACCAGAAAGAGGTCGCGCAGTCTTCATCATCGCCCACGGAGGACTCCGACACCGCCGCTGTGATCCTGGCTGAGGCGCCAGAGCCAAAACCTGGGTTAGACGGAGTACCCGTACGTTGTGAGTACAATCATCTTACCTACCCTCTTTGACGAAAAACTGATATTATACAGGGTACGATGTGAGCTGTCTCCTTATCGGCCCTTGACAACGCTACGCAACTCGGTTGACGACTTTCTGCGTCCACCAGGCGGACCGTACAGAGCCGTATACCCGGATTTCGCCCTTTCAAGAGAAACATGACACCAGTGTCGAGTATGCACACACTTTCTCCGACTCGGAGGACACCCTTGATGAACAGAAACGTAGATTTTTCTACAAGCCCATTACTCTATCCGCCCTGGGGGCGGCAATGGCCGTGCTGGCGTATGTCGCTACCACGCAAGATGTATTAGAGGAGGGTCGGGATAAGCGCAGAGTGTGAGTTCTGCTCGCTTCCTTTCCGGTTGATGGCTTACTTCTCTCGGTGGTCTCAGTGGCGCGTATGCTGCGGTCGCCGGATTTCTTCTCTTCTCTATGATACAATTCCGAGATGGTCCTTTCTTCAGGCCTCATCCAGGTATGTCGGGCATTGTAGCGGCGAATAAAATAAAGATGACAAGCTCTTCGCTCTAAAGCATTCTGGCGAGTCGTTCTTGGTATTAACTTGCTATATGAGCTCGCCTTGGTATTCTTGCTCTTCCAAGACCTTGACTCTGCTCGAGAAATGATGACCTTTCTCGACCCGAGCTTGGGACACCCGCTTCCCGAGAAGAGCTACGCCGAGAATTGCGAATTCACACCGCTGAATATCTGGGTTCGTGTATAGCAACCGGACAAGTACCCTCTAAACTAATTGCTGCCCAGAACGCAGTCGATATTTTCTGCCTTGCCCACGCCTTAGGATGGTTTGGTAAGGCCTTGATTCTCCGTGATTATTGGTTTTGTTGGGTAAGTTTGTGTTTTCTAATACTTATCATTATCACTCATATGACTAGATCCTGAGCATTGCCTTTGAGCTTGCTGAATATAGCTTACAACACCAGTTGGCCAACTTCGCTGAGGTAGGTTAACCGCCTGTTGTGTTCGTTCATTCCTGCTAAAATATGATCAGTGCTGGTGGGACCATGTTTGTTGACTCGACTCTGAGTTCCATGCATATATCCTCACTATATATCTAGTGGCTTCTGGATGTCCTGATTTGCAACTGGCTCGGTGCATATCTAGGTACGTGTTGGATTATGGGATGCACATTTGACGGCTAGACTTGAGTCCTCTGATACTATTTCATATCGTTTACTTAGGCATGAAAACGTGTCAATACTTTGAAGTCAAGGTGAGTATTCCCGCAACATCGGTAGTTTAAGAACTGTATATAGTGCATGTAGCATTATACTTGGCGCGGCCTGCGACAATCCCACGGCCTCCGCTCAAAGACCAAGCGCGTTCTAAGCCAGTTCTCCCCGCAAGATTGGACCACGTTCAAATGGGAAGGTACAGCCTCATTTGGACACTATTTCACCGTCGTTTTGCTTTTGGCCGTATTCCTTGCGGCTGAACTTAATCCGTTCTATCTGAAGGTAGGCGCTGTTCTTTTGAGCCAGAGGTTAAGTGATTGACTGGAGCAGACGTTGTTGTGGATGGAACCCGAACACCCCTTCGTCATTGCGCGCCTGGTCGGCGTCTTCTTTTGTGCCTTACCTGCGGTAAGGGAACTCTATGTGTATGTCAACGACCCTAGGTACGTCCATGATCGTCAAGTATTGAGCCGCATATCGCTGAGCAGCCTCATTCCTTATCGCACCGTATTGGGGCGACGTTCGCCGTGAACAGAAAGGCTGTGCGAATGGGGCAACATGTCTGGCTGATGCTTGCCACCATTGGTACGGAATTGCTTGTGATCAAGAAATGGAGCAAGGGCCAATTCCCAGAGCCGCTGCCCACTAGCGTCAAATGGGCCTGGACGATTGGCGCATGCCTTCTGGTACTATACCCGATTGTGCAAGTGAGTGACTGTCTTCTGGGTGTCTAACCCAACATACGAAGTCTGCACTGCGATTTAGTTCGGGATTCCAAGCGCCCGAAGATACATACGACCCTCGAAGCGCGATACGAAGCAGAAGGGCATTTCGTAAAGTATATCCGATGTCACGGACGTTGCTCTCCTCGTGTACTCCAGGTCTGACTTTAGTTTACTTATGGCGCTCTTAATATCAGTATTTAAACCTTCCCGCGAGTCCGTCCGGCTGCTCTGCGCGCCCTGCGCAGTTTGATGCGCATCTTGGCCCGCCCAAGCCGCTCACATCTCGATTGACTTTCACGGAATGGATAGTGCCATGATCGTGCCGCGATCGATAAAGAAGCCCGGGAGCGCTCTGAGCCCACTGCCGTGGCTACGATCGACCGAGAGGATACCGGACAGGTGCGCGGGACAAGACCGGCGGGAAGATGGGAGGGAGATAGAGCGACCCCCTCTGTCCGCCGGCATCAGACCGAAGACGGCTTTGCACTCAGCGATCGGGGGCCTTGGTCACCGTGGGTGATGTCACTTGCCATGCCGAGCGGGACGCGAGCAACAGCGAGGAGGGGTACGACCCCGACGAGCATCACGCCGACGTCCCCGAGGCCGTGATGTGGGTGGGGTGAACATTCATGCAATATGGGCGTGAAAGGTCAACAAAGTCCGATGCTCGGAGTACGTTTACGCCGCCGATAAAGACAGTACAGCAGAGCGCTCAGCCGGATGGCACTAATGTGAATCACGAGTGAGACCACTGCGGCCAAATCAGATTGCTCAACGGGAAATGTGAGCGGAGTGGTCAAAGGGGTATGTTAGAGTTGGTGATCAAAGTCGCCATCCACCAGGGTGCTGCACTACATGATTACGACACACGAAGCATGGAACTGGTCACTGTTACCAAATGTATAGCACAGGATCACGGACCTGCAGCAACCCCTGCGCCCAAAGACCCGACCGGCAGTGAGGGAAGTAACCACACAACCACAGGCTGTTTGATATGCAGCACAGGGAGAAAACGGCGTACCCACGACGATGGGCAAGGACTGTATCATGATAGAAACGAGGCACTGTGGGTTATGTGGTGCAAAAAGGGATGGAAACAGGACATTGGCGAGCCTCGCGTAGGGGTACTAGCGACCCGCCAAACACCCGGTATGCACCTGCTCGAAGGGCTGCGGACATTTCGAAACCATATAACACCGTCTGCTTCTGCGTTCTATTGGTCCAGATGGCGCATGGAACACCACCTTGATCTCCGATATGAATCGCAACAAGAGCCAAAGGACCACAAAGAACAGCAGAAAACATACAGATAATTGAAAACATCCAATTAGGTAGAAGTGAGAGACTCGCTGCAGTCGTTGGTTTCGCCGAATGATCCAGAGAGTGAAACGTCGAGTTCGAGGTGCATGGCGAACAGCACTGTGTTGTCTAAACCGTAGAAGAGCCTGAGTGCACGGTTCAAGCTGGTGCGCCGAGGACATGGTTCGGGATTTGGCCGGAGTTGGAGGATTAGTCAGTCTCTTTCTATACGCGGACCGGAAGCGCCCAGAACCTTCTCGCAGGGGCTGGCTGGCACCAGGGTCTGCGGAGACGGTGGCTAGAGTTATTACTCAGGTCGTCTCGTTCCTCAACGACCTTGCTCTCTTTCGCTGCAACCACCATCGTCGATTCAACGTGGTACATACCCCTTTGATCACGTTCCTTTCTCCATGGACAACCACCAACGCTCTGGCGGTTTCTTCCATCATTTCCTGGACTCCAATCCACATATTGGACAAGCCCTCCAGAACTTGGTTCGTGGTTTGACTCACCAGCCACGACAGCCCGCGAACGAGCCCAGCTTGCCAGATCATGAGCTTGACCTAACTGGCATGCCGCCATTGGACATGCCACCACTTGATACTATCGCAGGAAGCAGTACTTCCCAGCAGAGGGACAGCGTAGACCGCGAAATGACTCCTATAGAGAACATCACACGGCTTGTAGGCGACATTTCTCTCAACTCTTCTCATTCACAGCCTGATCCCTCACCTCAGGGTCAGGAGCAAGCAATCGCACAGCCCTCTTCTGCAGTCGTAGCGCGCGAGGAAGCGTCTGGCTACGAGTCGGACAGCTCCATGCCTTCACTCCAAAGCGTCTCTGACTCAGACGGTGATGTCGATATGCATGACGGACTTGTGCCCAGGCGAGTTTCGATGCGCTCTGCTTTACCGTCACAGGCACCGCGGACGCATTTGCGCAATGCGCGGCGCGCGCGTGTTGACGACGATGACGAGGAGAACGATATGCGTGAGACGAATCGCCAGCGCCTACATTCACCAGGCACAGACGGTGCTCCCGTTCCCCAAGAAATGCGGACCTCAGCTAATCAGCAGCATACTGATCCTCCTAATCACCCGCCCCCTCGTTATGGCGCTCAATTGATTTATACATTCGACTTTTACTCCCCTCCGTCACCACCTCCCCATCAACGTCAGGATGATGCGCCTCAAGATGCTGGCGCCGAACCACACGATCATCACCATCACCACCATCATCATCACCATCATCATCGTCATGAAGGTCAGCAACCAATATATAATTTCACTTTCCAAATTCCAGTCCCTGGGACCCGCGGCAACTCTAATGACACTGGAGATGGTATTCCTGTTATGCCTGATCTTGATCAATTATTCGGGATTCCTGTTGGAGAGCAGCCAGGTCATTTCCCGTTCTTCCCGTTCGGCTTGCATCGAGAGGAGCAAGATGATCCGGATCGCGCTGAGAAGCTCATTCGAGGACTTGAAGAGGTTCCAATGAGTCTCGTTGAACGTATTGAGCGGATGGGTGACAACGAAGGAGGCTCGGGCTGTTCCATATGTTGGGAGAAGCTTAGTTCGACCGTCGAAGAGTCTGATGTGGAGATGCAATCGCATGCGGACGGGTCGAACGACAGGGATTCCGCAATTGACCCTGGCCATGCCTCGCAAGCGGGACCATCTGAGGGGATCGTGAAAAATGCGCACCTTCCGAAAGTGGTCGTTCTTCCGTGCTCTCATGTTTTTCACACGGCCTGTCTATTCCCTTGGTTTACCAAGCCGCATCGCACGACGTGCCCCTCGTGTCGATTTGACATTGATCCCGACTCCTTGACTTATGTACCTCCTTGGCAACGTCGTACTCGCCCCACGCCACAATCTCAAGAATCGGTGCAGGTGCCTGGCGAACAACCACAGCCAGCTGAATTCGCAGTCCCACCTCCTCAGGCTACACCCATTGCAGATTTTCCTCCGGGTACACAGCCAGGACCACATCGGACTCGCATGCCGAGATTCCCTTCGTTCCCTCTTGAATTCAGTTTTGTTATGCCACTGGGCGCAGGTGGTCAACTGGGACCTGGACTCGTTCCTCAAGGGCATTTTGCGTCAAATGCTGCTCCCACTGACCCTCAGGTAATGCGGAATATTCTCGAGCGCATGTCTAGATCACCTCCAGCATCAAACCGTCCGCAACCACCCCAGGAGCAGCCGCAGCCACAATCTCAAGCTCAAGCTCAAGCTCAAGCTCAAGCTGCTCCTGCTGCAGCTCCATCGAACGCGCAACTTGGCCACGAGGGACCTAACGTCCTTGGCCCACAAGTTCGCACTGAGTATATACGCCCGAATCAGCACGAGATCCGAAATTTCCTGCAGCAAATACTTGGGTCCCCACCGCGCGGTCCCGGGGTTTTTTTCGGCGGACTTGGCCATTTTGGTGCTGCTGGTACCGACCCTCTCACTGGCTTCGCTCCGCCTCCGCCTACAACTAATACAAACGGTCTGCGCTCCCAGAATCGCACTCGGCCACCTGAGAAGCGGCAATGGACACCTCCGGCGCCACCTGGCCCAACTTTGCGCCACCGAGTCGAACGCAGAGAGCGTGAGATGGGCATGCGGTGTTGGGATGTGAGCTGCGGACTTGGTCCCTCCGACGAGGATCCAGTACCCGTCGTGGATCCAGCGTCCTTGCGCCAGATTTTCATCCGGCGGCTAGGTGGAGGAGATGAGAAGGCGTGCGAGCACGCATTTCACCCATCATGTCTTGTCAGTGCGGAGCGTGTGGCCGGATGGGGCGGCGAGGACAAAAAGGAGAAGGAGGACGAGGAAGTTGAAGTGTCGTGTCCATTCTGCCGTTCCGTGGGAGTGATCTCGCGGACGGACTGGGACGAAGGTGCATGTGCGCTCGCATGAAATCATCGCGGTCAGTTCCTTATATGTTCGTCGCCGCCCATCTTTATCCTTCCAACGTTGATACGTTTATATATTCCCTCGGAAGCGCCGCTACACAGTGATACGTTGCTCTTTATTCAAGTCGAACGTTTTCGCTCTCACCATGTATAACCTACAGCCCCTTCATATACGATAGTAGTGTATGATATTGATAGTTACTAGGAAGTAGTGCATTTCTACTTCGATAAGTTATTGAGAGTGAATGAGAGCTATCTAGAGGACCGGTGGTAGTAGAGCTACTGCTCTCAAGGGTTCAAACGTTCGCGCCTTCGCCACTAACATGCGTGACACGCTCCACGTGATCGCGATCTGCTGCGACGCGGTTCTGCGGACGACTTGATTGTCACGGTTGTATCTAGACGAGTTATTCCCATGTCTCCTTCTGCGAACTCCATACTTTACTTGGCTTATCAGCGGGGGTCGTTTTTTCAGTCATGGCTGTGCCCTGGTTATCGTGCGAAGTGCCTACAACATACTCGCGAAGTTTCGCCAGCAACCATACTAGGACTGGATAGGGTGTACGGCATCCTGTATACGCAACGAAGCGGTGCGCCAAACAAGCCAAGGACAATTTCCCCAGTTCATAGGCTATCTTTAGAGGGCATTATGCAGCCGGACTTCCTGGATGTGGTGGAGGAAGCACACCTCGTGTTTGTCTGCATGCAAGTGGAATGGGGTGCGTCGCCAACATCGATTCCGGATTGACGCTTGAGGATATATTGGACCCAGGATTCTTGTCCGCGTTCGTCCTCCTGCAATTGAAATCCCGGGAGGTACTACTGTCTGCTGACAGCTAGGCTTACCTCACACCAGCATCCGCGGCCGAACATAAGTGAGCGTTCCGCCAAGTTCTCAATCTCTCGTCTCGGCCTTCTCTGGTGTCTGCCTGGCTTCTGATGGTGCGAACTTGGTGCCTCTGTCGCAAACACTTTGAAACCACGCCACCGCTGTCCTCGTGCCTCTGAAACGGAGTCGTAGCTTGCTCCGCTCACCTGTGACGTCCCGACTCGCAAGATGCCCCTCAATATCTCTTATGCATACACTGTCACTTCAGATAATATACTCTGGATTGTTCAAGACCTGTAGGCCTCAGTGCCGACCCCTTCCATCTTGCCGCTCCGTCCGTCCTTTTGTTCGGGAGGTCTGGAACCTTGGCTAGGCGGACACCGATTCCTTGCCTCATGTCTCCCATTCACAACCAAAGGTCCCCTAAAATGTGTCTAGCTGAGGTCTCCTGACCGGGTCGACCTTTTGCTTCTCTAAATCGAACCGCGATGCCCGAAAATCCCATGATTCAATTTGGTCTGCTACAGGGAACCGCATAAACACATAATTTCCTGGGTGAGCAGACCGAAACCAATATTGTACAAAGTAGTCCATCATGTTGGACAGGTGTAGTGGAGGACATGTGGTACTACATGGACGATAGTATGAAGGGCGAAGATAAGGGTAAGCCACAAGAGTGAATTCCGGGACCGGAGTGGGGGTTTCGTGGGGGTTGGCGGGTAGCGTGTGGCGATGGACACAAAAATGAGTGTAGTAGTCGAAGGGGAGGTATTGGGATCCAGTCCAGTCCTAAATCGGTATGGACAAATCAGTTGTGCGTCCAAATGCCACAGGATAAGGGCGCGTACTGACCGTGACAAGGTGGCGCATGATACAATATGTGCAAGATGAGTCGTCAGGAACGTCAACGTGAGCCCTTCGGAAGACCTAGCTCCAGCACCCAATATTGGTCCGGTTTACCGTCAGCTTCCACCGGTCGTCTCAAACCCATGAATATCGCCCGCCCTTCCAGCAGGTCAACTCGACGCATACCTTGATTCTCTTCGAAGCCCCGCAAAGTCTGCGATGCCTTGCATCGCTTACGGAAGTATGCCTCGCATCTAGCGAGGCGTTCTGCTGGAATATAGTATTCCTTCTCCATCGGCGACAACTGCTGATGGAAAGTCTCGTATATTGCACGATAGACATCCTTACACCGTATGCCCCCGGGGCCTGATGGCGTTACGTGGATATCCCAATGCGGGAGCTGCGCACAGCGGATGCTCATCTCTGACAAAGGAATCTCTGACGCGAGCTTCTCCAGGTCTGTACTCTTCAAGAGCACTGGCGGCATATTCGAGTGGTCGCGTATGAGACGTGGATCATGTGCAATATCAAAATAAATCAACTTCTTCGATCTTGCGGGATCGTATGGGAGCAGCAGCCAGTGGAGAGTGACCGGTTCTGGTGGAGGCACTACGACACGTGGTCGGTCAGTGATCTCCGCGCCAACTGGCTAACGATGACAGTATGGAAAACATACTGGGCTTCAAGATGCCCTTCCGAGGAGGCTTCACGCTCGCAGGGGATGGACATCTCTCCGTTGACCGTGATAATCCCGGTTGGGGCGAGGAGGTCCTGCTGCAACCCGCCTTGATATCCTGCTGAGGTGTCGAAGTCCTATTGATGGGCTTCCATCCTTCAGACTGGGACGATGATGATCCCCGCCGAGGACTAAGCGGTGATGCAGGTTGTGGCGTAGCAGTTTTCCGCCATGTCTTCAAATTATCAGGCTGAGGCGTCGATGGCCGTCGCCAGGCTCCAAAAGGTGAGCGGGGTGAAGACGAGTCCTCGCTATCCGAAGACCAATCCTTGCCGATCGCTGATGCCTCTGAGGTGGAGATATAGAATACATCTCCCTCCCCGACTTCGGGAAGCTCTATTCTGCCAATCTTTGGCGTCGAGGGTGTGGAGTCAAGACCTTTGAGCAGCTTCTTGAACATGGCGAGCCCGATAGGTAAAGGAGACGGGGTGACGGGCGTGCGGACGGAGAGTCAGGGAGGGGGAGGTGCGCCGGAGGGACGGCTGTAAGAGGTGATAGACGGTAAGTCAGATAACAATGTATGGGTGACCACGACTTACATGGTCGTGGCAAGGTCGTGGCAATCCTAGTCTCCTAGATGCCGTAGTCGTTCCTCACAGAGGGCAGGGCCCCGCAGTCGAGCTCCCGTGAGCAGAGCAGATATAGACCGAGAGGCCCTCGCACTAGCGCTTGGCCAGCAAAGTGAGGGGACTGAGACAAGGACGATTGCGGGGCGACCTCCTGTCCTCGCCCCAAACACGAGGCAGCCATGACGGTCCAAAATCCCAGCGACTCGCCAATATCGGGCGACCCGATCTCGTCCATGCTCTTGTCACGTGTCCACCCTTATTTTGTCCTATTGATCGCTGTAGGTCCGTCCACCCGTTGACAAGAGTCCGTAGTACGGTGTACTAGACAGGAACTACTTCGCCAGACAGCTTTCACTCGTTCAATGGCTCGCAGAAGACGATACATGCTTATGCTGATCAAGGTGCAATCATACAACACGCTCCGCCCGACACGAGGCTGCCACCAGCAGGCAAGGCCATCACGGGAGGCCCCCACGGAGCAGGTACCCTGCCAGCTCGTGCTGCTAGAGTGTGTGCGAATCTCCCGGGGGCAAGTATGCTCATCGCTGCCTGCGTAGGGAAGGTGTGGAGTAAGCTAGTCCCGGCTTCCAGCGCCCGCATCCCATGTCCTACGGACAGACCGACAGCTGCGATTGCCGACTCCTACCTTTTCTAGGCTCTCCTGCACAACGGCTAAAGATAACCATGTGCTGTGCCCTCAAACCGAAGCAGCCCGTGTACTGCAGGAATGAGAATATCATAGTCTCTGGCAGGACCGGAGCACATGGAGTGACTTGAAAAGGCAGGCCTGCCTGCCTTTTTGGAACAGAACCTCGAGGCAGCTTAGTAGGATCCTAGTATCGTTGTGAATCATGATAATGGTCATCACTCATCGGCCTGCAGATGGACGAAGATAAAATAGTGGACAGTATTGTATAAAAAGAGAGTGCCTCTCTCAATCTATCCCCCATTGCATCATCATCCCGACGATGCCTAAGGCTGGCAAACCCGATACCCGTCGCCCGCTTCCCCGACGAATTCCCGCGGAAGAAAAGCGCAACGAGTATCGAAAGGAAGTGCTGTGCTTACCCGGACCAATCGAACTTTGGCTGGCCGAGGCCATTGTCCATGAGCCTGACAATACATGTTCGCATTCATATCCTGAACACCCGGATGAAGTCTGGTGCTTCGTGGAAATGCAACATTTCAAGGTGAGTGACTAGTGCATTGAGGATCTCCGAAGGTGGTGGCTGAACTGTAGTTCCCTCGTAGGCGCCAGACAGCGACAACAATTTCTGCGATGGCGACACCTATATTCTATATTTTACCTATTCCGGCCCCAGGGAGTCCAGCGGTCCCTTGATCCTTGATAAATATGAGGGGTGGTCTGAAAGCCTCGATGCACCCAACTGGTCAAGGTGGCCTGAGGGGCACAGATTCAGCATTCGCCAGCACATATCAAAGGTACCTCTATGTATTCGTGCAGTGCTGTGGGCTGACAGGATATCGGTACGTGATCCGCTTCACTGAGGAGCCAAGAACTTGCTCACAATTATTTGAATAGTCGGTGGTGAACAAGGTGGAAACGATTCGGCTCGACCATCTGGAGGTAACATAGCACCATGTAGCTGGTCCTTCGCGGGGCGTACGGGCTTAGAAGATGTAAGCGGCGAGATGGATGCTGAACGGCGGTTTCGAAAATTGTACAGATTTTTATTCGTCAGTATTCTCATGGTATCGTGTAAGATTTAATGCTAGGACCTATTGGAGCTTTGGACCGTCATGGTGACCGCCAGCAATTCCAGGAGCAGAGTTGGGACGTCCTGGGCAAATCCACAAGTGTCCGACGGGAGCGGCGGGTGCGGTAACACCACTCAAGGCAGCAGACTCTATTCAAGAGATTGAACCTTGTCAGACGGCGAACATCCTGCGTGACCGCTCGGAAATCCGGTCTCTTGACCGTTATAGATCTTTCGGCCTCAGTAGAGCAAGATACACGGGGCAGAGAAGATACTTGGATGCGAAACCTTGTTCTCGCCCCCCTCCACACATTCAACGCCATTAACCACAGACTCGGATAGATGTCGAACCAGGGAACTGGATCATGAGATAACAAAATTGAATGGGACGGGGCTATGCATCCCTGAGCGTTCGAGACCAACACGGAGAGCCGCTCAAAATCTGCCATAGCAGAGCTCATGTGAGGATCCATGGAGTTTTGGGGGTGTAGAACATCAGTCGCGAGCTGAAGCCTCAGCATATACCTTGTCAAAGCCGTAACATTTTGAACGCACCAAATACTATCAATTGCCAATGCTTATGTATCAATGGGCCGTGTCGGAGTCCGTGTGTCTATCCCGATAGCTGGGATTCTTTGACCCAGGTGAATCAAAGTCCGGACGAGTCGGGCCTCGGCCAGAGTAAGCGCCTATGTTGGCGATCACGTGAATAGTAGCAAAAGTTTCCGCCACTTGTCGCGCAGAGGTATTGAGCAAGAACAGAACTCGGCTAAAATCAAGCAGGACAGCAGGACAGCCGTCCTCAGTACTCTCGTCATGGCCACACACGCCCTATTCGAGTCTGCTTCTGGGTATGCAGTCTTTGAGATCAAGTTACAAGAGAATGTCGGCGCCATGACGAAGGCTGTCCAGGACTCCATCGACGATCTGGCAAAATTTGGGAAAATGGTCACTCTGATCAGCTTTTCGCCGTTCAAGAATGCTGCACACGCCCTGGAGAATGCAAACGATATCTCAGAAGGTAAGCTTTGTAATTTGAATGAAGACTTTCGGACATATATATCGGATTTCGACAGGGATCCTGAACGACCACCTGAAATCGTTGCTGGAACTGAACTTGTCCAGGACGTCCAAAACATCGACGACAACGTTGGCAATATGGGATCCGGTGCTGGGGTCATCCATTAAAGCTGTTCTCAATATTGACTGCGACACCTCGGATACTTCAAAAGACATCATTCGCGGTATTCGACAACATGCACCCAAGCTCCTCAAAGGCATGCAAGCGGACGACCTCACCAAAGCACAATTGGGCCTGGGTCACTCGTACTCGCGCGCGAAGCTGAAATTCAACGTGAATCGGATAGACAACATGATCATACAGGCTATCGCGTTGCTTGACCAGCTGGACAAGGACGTCAATCTGTTCTCCATGCGCATACGAGAGTGGTACGGCTATCACTTTCCAGAGCTGGTGAGGATCGTGCCGGACAACTATCAGTACGCGCGAGCGGCACAGTTCATTGGAGCAAAGGAGACGCTAAACGAGGAGAAGTTGCATGACCTGGCCGCCATCCTGGACGACGACATGACACTAGCTCAGAATGTGCTGGATGCGGCGAGGGGTTCCATGGGCTCGACATTGTCCGAAATTGATATGCTCAATATCAACGCATTCGCAATCCGTGTGGTCTCGCTGGCGGAATACAGGAAGTCTCTCATGTCGTATCTTTCGGAGAAAATGAACGTCGTCGCGCCAAGTCTCACCGCATTGCTGGGAGAGCGGATCGGCGCGCGGTTAATCAGTCATGCGGGTAGCCTGACGAACCTCAGCAAGTACCCCGCGAGCACAGTGCAGATCTTAGGTGCCGAGAAAGCATTGTTCCGCGCTTTGAAGACAAAAGGGAAAACGCCAAAGGCATGTATGGTTATATTGTGCCTTGAAATGGATACTCAGGACCGACTTCTAGTACGGTCTCATCTATCACTCTTCTTTCATTGGACGCGCAGGACCAAAGTACAAGGGTCGTATCTCACGTTTCTTGGCGAACAAATGTTCAATCGCGTCGCGAATAGATTGTTACTCTGGTACGTGTGCCTCATCCTCATGACGTGAATGACGTTCGGTATCATTGATATCTTTCATCTGAATACAGACAAGCCGTCTCCGATGTTCGGAGAGGCGCTCAGGCAGCAAGTGGAAGAGCGCCTGAATTTCTTTGAAACCGGTGCTTCACCATCGAAGAACGCTGATGCTATTCGGAAAGTGTTGGATCAGCTTGCGTTAGATGACGACGAGGATGACGAGGAAGAGGCGATGGATGCCGAACCCGCCTTGCCTCTCATTGAGGTCACGCCGAAGAAAGATAAAAAGAAGAAGCGCAAGAGCAGCGACGACGACATGGATGTCGACGAGGAAAATGGGGAGCCTGTGAAAAAGCGCAAACTGTCCAAGGAGGAAAAGAAGGCGCTGAAGAAGGAAAAGAAGAAAGAGAAGAAGGGGGCCGAGGTATGTCTGCGCAGCACTGTATGAATGCGCTGATCTCACTTCCAGAGACAACAGGATAAGGGATCAACATCGAAAAAAGAGAAAACGAAGGAGAAAAAAGAAAAGGAGAAAAAGAAGAGTAAAGAGTGACCCTGCATTTTACGGTTCTGCTCTTCCCATTTTGTATCCTATATATACTCTTGGTGTTGTTATAATCACTGTCTCCGATTCACTATTCTTTCACGCTCAGGGTTTTGAAAAAGCCTTGTGACATGATCCATGTTGTTCAAGGCTCGTTTCCAGCGGCGGTTAAGGTAAGCCATACTACTAGTACTAATACGTGAAGGGGGATTTGTTCATACAAGGTAGAGTATAAAAGGAGCAATGAATAATGACCATTGGTGAGTGTGTGGGTATCAAATCCGGTTGCAGTTGGAGGCATGATCGTGGCAGTCAGTGACAATGACATATGGACGAGTGAATTCAATCAATCAAGAGAAGTGTCCGCCGCCTGGAAGACGGCAATACTGGCTTTGCTCCCAGTCACGAGGAGTGCCGAGGCCACGTCTCCCATGGTCTTCCTGATTTCGCTACCGACAGCTCCGTGGTGCTCCATGAGCTGTTTCAGCTCCTGTTGATGGTATTCAAATGCAAGCCGCCGCGACCGACCAACCATGATCAACGACCGGCAGCGAATCTCACTAGCAGATAAGGAGAAATTGGATGCGTATTCCACGACGGTCCGGAGAGGCGTTGGCGTCTGCACCTCAGAGAACTCTATGCGGGAGAGGGCGTCAAGTAACTGTGCATCGACCCCTGGCTCCTGCGACACGTAACGCGACCATAAGACATTGTCCGCAGTCTCTGACTGCAAGCGAGTCTGTGTTGAGTGGTGATCATAGATTGTGTCGGGGAACGCCGTCATCTGTAGTTTTGTTGAGTGGATACATGAACGTAGCGTCAAAATTTATAAGCGAGTAACATACCGTAACTTCAATCGGATGTTTGTCAACAAGGTGTGCTGCAGCAGGTTTGTCAATGGACTCTGCTTCGTGCGGTTGATACTGTCTTATCCGCAAAACCGTTGCAGTTGTCCGCGGATGCGCACATAGTTGAACCACAAAGTCCAACGCGAGGCGATCGTCCGGTCCTCCAAAGAACGGCATGAATATATGCTGCTGGCTGCTGACAATAGGTAACCCCGCTTCCCCAAGATGTCGCCGGTCCACGAACAGCGCGACGTCGGTGCGCATCCGTGCGAAGACACTGCGAACAAAAGTCGAATACACAGCTGAAGAAGACTGGTCCGGGCCCGAGGGGGCTGTTCGGAAGAGTGTCTCAAACGGATTTTGCATGTATCCTGTTGTAGCACGAGGAGTCGTCGGAGACAAATCCCTAGCGTCCCCAGTCAGCGCGTCCGGGGAAGGGGATGCCTCCAATGATGGCTGGAAGGGCAGCCAGGGCAGCAGAACAAGTTGAGACCGGTGTCGTTGAGCGTTTTCCGCAATGCTTAATGCGAGGTCATCATATGCCACAATCGCGAGCGAGGAGGAGACCGAGATCCCATTCAGGCTGCCAAAAGTACTAAAGATGTTCAGGAGTGGGTCGGCATGGATCAAAGAATCCGCATTGGACGAACGCATGACAGCGGAGGCTCGGTCGGAAAGCTCTATTAAACGCAGAGCATTGACTGAGACTTCGTGCGCGTTGGGTGAATAGCGATGCATCTTTGAACGATTGATCTTTCCAGAACCTGGAAGTGTTGAGAGGGACAGATTTGTATTCTCTCCCTCCGATAGTGCGCCCATCGCGGGCGGTTGAATCAGCTGCGTGAAGGCAATTAAAGCAGGGAGGTGCTCGATCTTGTCCAATACGATAGTAAAGCGGGACTTGTGCTCCCGCGCCTCTTCATTCAGGTTCCCTCCGAGCGAACTGGCTTCTGATCTCTTCTCCGCTGTATGTTCATCTCCTCTGTGTTTGACAGTCCCAGTAGCTCCATTATTGTCCAACGACACACGCACACGCATCTCCGGAGGGTAGAGCACGACAACAGCTGGCGTAGTCATGAAGGTGAGGATAAGGGCCTCCAGCACAAACATAGAAAAGACGCGCTGAGAGAGAATACCCGCTGATAACCCTACGTTCAACACGATCAATTCAACAAGGCTGCAGCTGGGTTAACAAGGAGAAGCGATTTTAAACAACTCCACGAACCCTTTGCAACTCATTAAAGAGCCAATCGTACTGGCTTCGCGCCAAGAAAAGCCCGCGAGTCGGGCGGCAATTGCGCAGCCGCCAAATTTGCCCGAGTAGGACAAGGTACATATCGCGATAGTAAATCCCCAAGTAATGCCTGGGTACGACACGTCATCAGTTTGAATCGAGAACGGATGATAGTACGTACCGTTGTTCAGTAGGCCCAAGTTGGTATTCAAACCTGAAATGGTGAAATACTACGGATAATCAGTGCCAGAAATCGACAAAGATAAGAGCCACATACTAGAGGTAAGAATATTATAGATACCATGTCTTCCAGCTTCTCTGTCAACGTAATACATAGACCACCTTCTCGGGGGACAGCCAATCCAGCTAAGAATGCACCGAAGATCGCTTGAACCTGCAGAATGTGTCAACACACAGTTCGTTTATAGTGCGGGACGTACGCACTCCGATGACATCCGTGAAAAATGCTGAGCCGAACATTAATAAAATTGTTATTGTCATAAAGAAGACTGTTGGGCCATTTTCTATCGAACCTGTCTTCCGCGCGAGCCAGTACATGACCCTCGTCATAATTATAAGTAAGAATAGCGCCCAGCCAAGGCACACAAATAGGATCCACAGCGCTGTCAAACCGGAACCTGCATTCACAAGGGCCACACTAAGTGCGAGAAGTACCCAGCCGACGACGTCATTTCCAACGCCAGCGGACAGAACGACGATGCCGACGGTTGTATCCAACAGCTTCAGCTCGGTGAGAATTCTGCAGAGAACTGGAAAAGCAGTAATCGAGTACGCAACGCCCGTGAATAGCATGAAGTTGGTGAACTTGACGGTAGAGGGGATAAAGGTGTGGTATAAGGGTACGGAGAGCGCGGCACCCAAACCAAATGGAAGGGCCATGCCAGCAACTGCGATTATAAAGGATAACCGGAAGTTGCGCTTGACAATAGCACCATCGATCTCCAGGCCAACAAGGAAGAGGAACAGACATAGCCCAATGTTCGCAACGAGCGAGAGGTAGGGTAAAGACTGCTCAGGAAATACATGTTCGGTGAAACCGGGGATGCGACCGAATGCAGTGGGACCTATACCCAGATCGTTTAAACCCAGCACTTTGATTGACATAGGTGGACCCACCCAGCAAGATGCCACCGATCACTTCTGCAATGACCTTCGGCTGCTTGATCTTCCCCAGTACAAGTGAGAGAACTTGTGTCATCATCAATATCACACCTGCCCAGCCGAGCCGCGCGAGAAGTTAGTACACATCGCCATAATGACAGAAAGGTGCGCCACTAACCAAGTTGTATAACCCATAGTCGTAGTGGGTCAGAAGTGTTGAAGTCAGAAGGATCTTGACCCGTTAATAGTCCACCCTTTTCGAAGTGGCGGTGATCAAGACTTGGCTTGACGAACAAACACAACAGAGATGCATACCTGGCCAGCAGCATCTCGCTTATTGTATGCAAACTTCGTAAGGCGCAAAATCGCGTCTGCAAACTCTCCCATTGTGGTCAGAGAGAGAGGTTGTCGACTGACGCCCCCGCTATGATTGTTGTTGCTTTAAGCGTTCGATACGGGCCACTAAGCGAGGATATCAGTGGAGTCACTGCCGAGTTCCGGTGGCCCAAAACAAATCCAGTGCTGGCCTCTGGAGATCAAGGATGATAGGAGAGATTCGGGCTTGGTTTAGAGTGTGGCTTGGAGTTGTCGCGGACATGCTAGCAGGGCAGAAGAGGAAAATGTTTCGGAACGGTGCTAGTCTCCGACTCTGGCTCGGACTCGGTGTCCCGGACAGTTGCAGCCACACTTACGGCTAGCGCCCGCGTCCCGCAGATTCTCCTGGCGCTTGAGCAAGGCGGAGATTGCTACGTTTGGAGGACGGAGGCATGGCGCTGCTGAGACCAGTCGATTTTGATCCTGGGGATCTTCTCCGCCTCATGTATTCTCATTACTAATCAGACAGAATGTGAGAGCCGTAGATAACACGCCGAAATATGGGAGTTTGAACTATCACAGTCATGGTGATATTGGGCCAGATACTCGAAGTTTGAGCCAAGTTGAACCTGAGCCAGCTTCTTAGCTACCGGCCTGATGTTGCCTATTGCAATCGACACAAGGGAGCATATGACACTTCATGGCGTGATCACAGTCAGCTGTGGTCATCTTGAGAAAAAAACCAAAGGGCCAAACTACCATGGCTGATCGAGCCTCGAGGTACTTATGGTCCGATGCTACCGCGAGGCTCAGAAAGGTCCTATCTCCCTAGCCGTGAGTAGCCACCACTTTCCCGCTGATTAGTGTGCCCATAGATAAAATGATAGGCTATGTGGTACTCGCCTCCCGTATATGGTAGTACCAAAACGTTGCGAAGATCTATCGCCCTACTCACGATGGCTGACTAGGTGTACGGGTAAGTATTATTTTCTATTAAGATTTGAAATAACTGTGAGTTTCACTCAGTCATTAGGGCCAAGAAGTACTTTCATCTACTATCGTGATTTAAAATTATTTTGGAGAGAGACGAGGAAACCAACGATAGGATGAACATTGAAGTAGCGTCTGAGGAACCCGAGCGGAAAATGGACAACACACCTGACATGGTCGAAGGAGAAGACGGCAGCCTTGTACCCCTCAAGGGAATGTGGTGTCAAATGTGTGGTAACTCGACTGGGTTCTAGTGTCCGTTTCGTGTAAGATGGAAGATGTTCAAACGGCGTGTCTATGGCTACAGGTGGCGTAAAATAGCTATACATGCAAGACCGAATCATACCAAGAGGTCGATATTAGTATCGGTGGAAGGAACAGAATGGCACATTTGTCCTTGCTGACTCTACGATCAAAGTGGAGACTGGTATCAATATGTGTATACAAATGCGAAGGTTCAGAATCTTTGGATTCTTGGATGAATCGCAGCTTCAGTTCTCTCGCCAATTATTCCCACATGAGGCACATCTATAAATTCAAATTTTGAGCTCCACACACAAAGAACCAGGACGACACCTACCGATAGACTGCGAGCGACGAACCCAGAACAAGATGCCGCATGTCAGCAATGAACTCACGGATCGTTGTGAACCACATGGAGCAGAGGAACAGTAACGTACACGTTGTCATGGGCTCATCAGCGGACCTGATCTGGAGCTGATAGAAGTATGCGCGGCCAAAGTCGCACTTGGGACATGTAGCTGAAATAAAATTTACGCGTGTGAGTAGCAAAAGAAAGCTACCAAAGAGGGCTAGCCCGCACCAGCAGTGGAATCCGCATGTTTCCACATTTCGTCCCCACCCAGGACATCATCGACCTCCTTTCGTTTCAATTTTGTACGCGAGGTCATCTAGACATTATAATGTGCGGCCCGACCGAGGTCGTCATTGAGGCAGTTTTTTGCGTTAGCATGTGAGCCCACCTGTTTGGTGATTGGAAATTCATATGCACAAGTGTTACAAGCCCATTTGTTGTATCCAGTCTCCGCAGATATAACGAGAAGATTTGCACAGTTGGGACAGAAAAGCATCGCTAATGACCAGTAAACGAGAACGCGAGGAGGGTGCGCTCTTCAAGTTAGTCTAGAAGTCGAACGTCCGTAACAAGGACGCACGCAGACGCTTAAGATTGTGATCTTACTAGGCGTCTAAGTACTATATAAGGTAATTTGCATATCGCACGCGTAATTTGCGCGTAATCGGCTCGTGCCCAACGCGCGAAGAAATGAACACTGTAGAAGCATGAGGATTGCACGTAGAAAAGTAGGTTCAACCCAAACCTTTCCCCTCTACATTTGGAAGGTATGGTATGAGAATGTGTAGCAAAAGATGTCCTCTATCAAACCTAATCCCTCGTCTGTGACGAATTTCGTGTCGCCTCAAAGCTATCCGGGTACATGCTACTACTAGGCTTATAGGCCGATGTCTAACTGATTTTCTAACGTCCCTTGTTCTGTTCAAGTAGTCATAAATAACTAGGGGAAGAATGTACTGTACTATACAGCAGTCCGAGACATCGAGAGGTATCCTCAAAGGAGGGGAGGTATTTCCTATAAGCGTATATCTATACTCTACACTTCAGATCACCGCCAACCATGGCAAGTGTTGCTCCGAGGCACCAACCGAGTTCTGTCCCTTCGATTCGCTTTCCGATCTCTACCGTGCGATTGCTATCTAACTCGTATCCGAGTCTCAATAGGCCATGCATGAACGTCAGATCCAGACACCACTCAGGTCGACCCTCAAGCTCCTTCATAAGTGCTGCGTCACTGCCCCAATGTTCCGTCCAGGACGGCTTACCTTCGCAGACTTGCTGTGCGAGCGTAGAGAACGTAGAAATATGGAGGGGTGAATTTGCGAGCGACGGGGATGCAGCCAGGAATGGCTGAAGGCGGTCGTAGAAGTAAGAAAGAAGGAGCACTTTGCCTGATGGGAATGTCTCGAGAAGGGATGGCTGGTAGACGCCATTGAAGGAACACGGCTTCACCTCACAGATCCTGAACAATGGCTGTCAGCTACACAAAATGATACCAGAAAATTGACTTACGCATCTTTCGCCATAACCAGCTCGACAACACGGTTGCATGCCTCAAATGAACCAACGTCCTCACCGACCATAGTTACGTTAAACTTCTCAATCAGACGTTCGTCTTCAACTTCTACTAGCTTGGATGTCCCCTTTGCGAGGCATGGATTCGCCACAGTCGCATTAGGGCCACTGCCGGTACCACGAAGGGAACCCATGAACTCTACCAGCCGATGAACGCTGCTTCTACCGCTCATCAATCCGTAACCGAGGTAGGAATGCTGGTACAATACACGATCCTTTCCGCCGAAAGTCAGATCGTACTTGTGTTCGCCCTGTTCTAGTGTCGAATCCGGCTTAGAGAAAGTTGGCTCAAACACAATCTGCGTCGATGCGCCACCGAGGTCGAGAACAGCGTAGGATGGTGTGCCCGCCGGGGTATCGCCACGAATCGTCTTCATGAGATAGTTGACGGTGATCCATGCGTATACACCTTCATCCTTCCCATCCATGATCACGACGCCGTCATCATCCTGTAAATTGAAAGGGTACTTCTCATGCAACCGTTGCCGCACGGCGGTAAGGATCGCAGCGCTGTCATCCGCGCCCAACAACCGAAGTCCCGCGGTAGCTTTGACAGCAATTGGCGTGCATGGGCGTAGGGCTGCGGGTACCACTTTGACCGCCTCGTCCAGTAACACGTCAAGACTCCGCGCGGCCTCTTGTGGGCGGCCTTTGTAGTCCGAGAGGCCAGGCTGCGTCTTACGGAAGACTTCGTATTCGTACATCGGTGACTTTCCACAATTGTTGAACTTGTAGATGTGAATCCGTGAACCAGTCGAGCCGGCATCAATCATGAGCGCGTATTGCACGAGTGGCAGCGAAGGATTATATGGCTTGGTGCAGTAAATCGTCTTTGAAAGATCGGGGTCATTCTCCGGACTTGTTGGAGGCCTTTGGGGTGTCATATCGTCGTCATGTACCGGCACATGTGGTGGCAGGGGCGGGGGCAGGGGCGGGG